ATATATATATATATGACACTGACACTATAGATGACACCCTGTAAATCTCCATGGTGCTGGGAGAAATGTATAGTCGGTCCAAATCTCAAAATCATGACCAACAGTTCTCCTGTCACCAGTTGTCGCCTGCCTTCGGGCGGGGAAAAGCCCTGTCTTCAGGATCCCAAAACCTTGGCTGCTGTTCTCCTGGCGATGAACCTCCTGAGCTGTGTCTCTGAAACTCTTTCGGTCGAGGTGAGGAGAAAACGACCTGCAAACCACCGGATCCGCTCGAACACATCAGCTTTGACGGCGCTTTCGAGACAAAAACGTCATCCCATCCCAGGCAAGTCTTGAAAAAACAAATGATACGCTTTCTCTTGAAGACACACAGGAACAGGTGGCCTTCAAGATTGAGCTGTATATTCCCAAAATGATGTGAACATGTAAACATGTGACCACCAAGAGTCTTTGACAGCATTTGATCAGGGCAACAAGGGCATCGCTACTAGAAACAAGATGTAACAAGCGCAATACTACTATAAACAAGGACGCTTCGAAGGCACGACGGAACGCCAGGCCGACGCAACGCCGAGCAGCTTGGCGAACCTCATGGCGGCCCTGGCACTGCTCCGCGCGGCGGTCCCGCAGTAGCTCGCGGAGGAAGCCTTGGCCGCTGCAGGCAACGAGGCGGGAGCATGAGAATGCCAGGTGGAGATCAGAAGAGAAACTCTCAAGCAAAATTGATTTGCATGTCATGTCAAGATTTTTGGAAGCCGACATGAGTATATATGGGAAATGGATGGGATTGGAATCTATGCCGAGATTGACCCTGGTTTCAACACCTCCCGGCAAGGGAGATAAATATGACGTACATGAAGTGTCGGGGACATGTGGGTCCGATTCCCTTTCCTGGCCACATGAAGTATAGACGAGAAGAAGGCCGAGGAGCCCGGCCAGAGAACCATCAAAAGCGTCTTCCCGAACGGGCCGAAAGAGTGAAGAACAAAAACCGCTTCGATCTGTAGAATTCCATGGAGAACTCTGAATAGTGCCTTGTATAGTATAGAATACAAGCAAACATTGAATTGGATATTTGTGAACAACCTTTAAGGGGTGAACAGTGCATACGAAGAACCGAAACAAGTCCTGACCATTGCTTGTGGATATTGCTTTTGCCGACCCACGACGTTTCGGCATGACATGTGGTTTTCCCTATCCCGGTGAGCTGGTGAACCATGGGGTGGTCAAATCGAGACATGACTTGGGTCTGTCCGAACTTGCCTGTAACAATTAAACCATGATCACTATTTTTGGACAAGGCCTCTACTAACCATCATCATCCACTGTTACAGGTCATAGGGTAGACCCAATACATATATCATATTACGACATATTGATTGGATGAGGGAATTGATTGACGCAGCATGTTGACATGACCTGCTGAGTTCGAGGCAGTCCGGACATTGCAGGAATCGAACACATCCGGCACGGGCCATCAGGTTGTTCTCTAAGAGTAGCAGACAAAGTCTATCAACAAAGCTTACTATAGGAGCTTCTAAGGGCTGCCCCAATGAAGTCCCACAAGTTGTAGTAGTCCATATGCCAAGGACACTCTAAATTATTTATGTGATTTAGAGCGTCCTCCTTGCGATTCCCCCACCTGTTCGATGAACGTGCATGTATATACCGACGTGGCATGTGCAAGGATCCAGTATGACGGCCCTGGGCCGTGGGCAGACTGCCGGCTTTTGTTCCATCTCATTTCAGAAGTCTTGACCATGTTTCCATGTTACCAGGGTTCATGTGTCTTTTCCCATATTCGAAGCTATTTCTGATAGTTCAGCAGACTGTAACCTTCAAAGCAGAGATCCCAACCGGACGAAGACAACACAAGGCTTCACCTGGATTGGGACGAAGACATGGGACATGGGCCCAGCGCGATCGGAACGAACTCTGAGGCTCACCTTCGCATGGATCACTTTGAAGCGCCACACCTTGCCACCATCGCCTGAAGGTGGACGGAGTTCTGGAACCGCCGATCCGGTTCTCTGTGGAAGGTCCTCGAAGGTGTTGGTGGCGGTTGGAAGGTGTTTTCCGACGCAATTTTTCCTCCAAAGTTGGTGAATGGAGTGGTGAGTGATGGGTGTGGTCTGGAAGTTTCATTTCCAGACCATCGATGTATGAAAGAGTTACTTACAAGTGTACTTACATTAGGGTCATAAATGGGGTAAACGATGATAAATGTATGTAACTATTCTGGAACTGACCCAGAGGGTCCAGGTAATTACCTCTTTTCGGATGGTCTTGGAGGTGAAAGTACCATCCAGAGAATGGAAATGGGGCCAAAGGACATCCTCAGGATGGTCCTGGACCCTTAGGATGAATGTTTGGGATTGCTTCGTTTTCCGTGAACCTCCGACTCGGTCTGGTCTTCGACCGTCCAAGATCAGCTGCATGGTCAGTAGAGGGACCCGGAGTGTGACAGGACCGAGATCTGGACATCAATTCATCCTGAGCGACGCAGAGTTCTCCTGGAGTTCTTCCAAATCTATCCCAAACACTCCATGCATTGAAGATAGTCGTGCATTCACCCCTGAAAACGTCACAGGCCTAGGCAAGACAATTGCCATTTATTGATTGTTAGTGTTTGGGTATGTTTTCACGGTTTAGTGGGAGTGGTGCAAGCATAGTCAGACTCCTGCGCTCTCTTTGGAGGTCGGGACTTTCACCTGTACAATCCTGTACATATACCGACTAGTAACTAGTATGGCAGACCGGTAGACCCCAAACAGATCGAACAGGGTGAATCTCTGATTAGAGACACAACTCACATGGTCATTGCCAAAACAGTGTTCTGGGCATTGCAAAGGCACCTGTGACCTCCCCTCAGAAATAAAATCTCCCCAAAAACGCCAGTTCCATGTCGGCTTACAGTATCTCAATCCCATCCAGCAAGCGTGCTGTGGATCTGCTGGATCGAGGGGTTAGGCACCAACCTCGTCGGTGCGACGAGGCGAGGACTGGTAATGAGGGAAGGAGCTCGCCCCCGATTCCTTGGGATCCACCCTCATAGCCTATACTAGGCATAGGTCAGCCATGGGACAATTCGGGCAGACTCCCCTCGAATCGCTCAGGTTGGCACAGAGTCACACGGTGAACTCCAAGCTGTTGGAGGCCATCGGAGAGCGAAGCCTCCAGCTCTCGTTCCAAGCGCAGGAAGCTTCCGTAACGGCGGGGAGCGACACATGTGACAGGTAGACAAGACGAATTGTGCTTTCAGATAACTTTCATGATGATCTGAGTGTTCAGTCTTATGACTTGGGGTGCTCAAGTTTCTTGTTTGGGTGTGAACATGTAGGTGTTTTGATTCTCCGTGACAACCCGGACACTGCTTCTTCTGTATTCAAGGACTGTGCGAACTTGGCATGAGCCTTCGCACACTTGCGTCACCGGCAGAAGCTGCTGCTTGAAGTCCTTGGTCGCCAGGCAGGGTTTAGTCACGTCTGAAAGAGAGGACCTCCTCATGGCGCCCTGGGCCCCGGCACCTTCGACTTCATAATCTATACTTGCCAGGTCAATTGGAAGACTTTTTGCTGGTTTCATGTGATCTACTTCGTGGTTTTCATGATCCAATTATATGGTTTTCCCACCTTTTCCAGCAAAGGTGTGTAGTGTTCCCAAACACTCCACTTCGGATGTCATGATCTACTTCGTGTTTTTTTGTTACGGCAGGCCGTGATGCAGATGTCATGTCCGGGTTCTGGCATTGCCGCGGGAGATCTGGCGAAGCTTGCATGGGCCTTCGGTGCGCTGCATGGGCCTTCGGGGGCTTGGAGGAAAAGAATGGACTCTGGGCAAACATCCCAAGAGTCAGCATAGGCAGAAGAGTTCTTCAAGGACAAGTGCGACAATACTCACTTTCTCCAGGATCTCACATGAGTTTCTCCGCTGGGATATAGCAGACATTCATGGACTAACTTAATTCATGTTACATGTACGCAAGAAGCGTTTCTTTTTGCACTTTCAGGCTATAGTTCCCAGATGGTCAACCAATCTGGCTGCAACACAGGAATCACATGCTCACCACATCCAACCTCATCGCCGTTTCAACCTGACGGCGGGCGGGCATCGCTCAGTGCTCCGGCCGCCTCTCGGGCGTCTCGCTCGGCCAGGGACTTCCGGGCTTCGTGAGCTCCACTTCGAGCCCTTGGCCGAGGCGACCGGCTGCGCCTTCGACCGAAGCTTCGAGTGCAAGTGGAAGAGTCCTGGAAGAGTGTGGAGGGGGTGGATCCATGTTGATCAGATTGGTTTTGATTTACTGGTGTTTTGTGAAGGATTTGTTGAGTGTTGGTGGATGATCTATGAGTTTTCGCTGCCCGTGTCGGAGAGATATCCAGTGGACCTTGTGTGTTCGGGAACCCTTGTAGTGACCCCCAATAGACAGAAACGGCTTCCAACACATTTTTACTGGGCATTCTATCTATTTGGGGGTCTGTACATATTTGAATATAATATGTGAATAGTTATGTGAATGTATAAGATTATATAAGGTTGGCTTGGAGGCCATTGCTATTATAGTAGCTTCCGAAAAGCCGACGAGGGCCACGCGGGTCGCTTTGGACCAAGCACGATGGGTCGGTCGTTCAGACGTGGGTCGCTTGGCTGAAAGATCTTGAACACGTTCAAGATCGCTTAAGGGTTTGGACATCAGGTTGTCAGAGTGTTTTGCTCGATTTAAACAATTCAATAATCACTTATGGAGCAGAAGGATCCTGTCTTAGAGATGTTCTACAGATTGTCTACTTTGTGTGCTTGTTCTTCCAGGGGATCGGAAGTCATTGGGAACGACCATTGGAATCCACCCTGTAGTAGGTTGTTCATCAAAGCGATTCAATGATGCTGGCAATTGGTAGCAAACAATTCGACTCCTAGCTTGGTAGATCTTGTAGATCATGTGCAAATCCAACCTTTGGACCATTTTGCTTGAGGGGCTTGAGCTATTCCAAAGGCACATTTTCTCCAGGTTCCTCAGCTTGGGTTGTCTTCACCAAAATATCTATTTCACAGAAAGCTGTTGATCAAGAGAATGGGGCCCATTTCTTCACAAGATGTGCTGTTTTGCCAACAAGACACCAGTTGGATCACCCACCTCGAAGATGGTTTGCCCACAAGACACCAGTTTGGCCGCTAAGCGCGGCGCGACAGCCACCACATCTTGGGTTGTTCGGGTACCGTTCTTCAGAGCGATCGAAGTCTCGATTGGATGCAGCACGCGTACATACCCTAGGGATCCACATACCGAACCCCAGGTTGGCCCTCCCGGCGCCGACATAAATAGTCTCCAATCACCGTACCTGAGAAGGTACTTGGATCCCTAGGGATACACAAGCTGTACAAACACAGTAGATTGGATGCAGCACTAGTCCTTGCGGTGCAACGGTTTGTATCTCATCCCCAGGGCTCCTGGCCTACCTCCTGAGAAGGTGGTTGAGGTGGGTGCCAAGGGGTCTAACTACCTTCTGAGGAGGTGGGCCAGGAGCGGCATGTTCGATTGACATCACCCGTTGAGTTCGTGGAGTCTTTCGGGCCTGAAATCTTTGCGCATCTGAACCGTTCAGCCTGAAGCGTTCACCACCAGACTGTACCGAACCGACAATGGGATAAGATTCTTCGACCTTCAGACTGACCTAATATCAACATCAAGTCTACCACTACTAGAGGGCGATTGATCAACACTCCTCGGTTTTTGCGAGTCCAGAACCATAACCGTTTGACCAGGTGTTGACCAGGTTTTGGAGCAGGAGATTGGTCTGCAAATACTGTCTCTGGACGACCCCAGATCGACCGACGGGCGGTGCCGACCGACGGTGCGACCAGGGCTTTGTGATGCTGACGGACGACCAGAGCTCGAACGACCCTGAGCACGTGGCAAAGATGGTTTGGGCAGCAGCTAAGGCACGGGAGCATGGGTTGTGGTGAAGCATCAGGATGCACCACCCTTGCCTTTTGGAAGAAAATAATGATTTGACTATTGAACTATAGAGTCATAGGGAGAGCCTTTTTGGAAGAAAAACATGATCTCAAACGCACTAGAACCCAGTGGTTGGGAGGGCCTGCCTTTGCCAATACACATCTCTTCATGCGAGCGCCGCTTTGTCATGTGCCGCAGCAGGTGGGCTATGGGAGTGTGGCACTCATGGACAGGGTCGCCCTGCAGGTTCAAGTTCAGGTGGGGCGCCTCCCCGGGGGCTGAAGAGGCGAATCTTGTGCTTCATGAATCTGTTTGTTTTGTTAAGGCCCAGTGAATGGGCTTTGGACGCCATGCTGTGGCTTTCTATTATGGTTCATATCTCAGCATGATGTTTTGTTTGGCCCTTGCGTTCTTTTTGCTTCTTTAAAGGGGCCAGCGGCCAGCTTAGGCCTCCGTAGTACGTAGCCAGGCCTTCGGTCAAGTATACGCCCTGGACCCTGTCACAGGCTGTTCTGAAGGCTTTTGACATCGTTTTTGGTACACCTTCAATCCAATCCAGCAACGGTTGAGGAAATGGCCATGTGACTGAGCTCCACTTCAATCATGGGGGTGATCATCTATACTGTCTATACTGCACACCTCAAGCTTTCTTTCATCATTCCTGCAATGGTCCATCAATCTCCTCTACCCACTGAACAATCCAGCTGTACCCTCCCATTTTCCCCTTCCACCCCGCCACTTCCAGACCCCTCCGCTCCAGAAAAGCAGTCCTTCGCTCCGTTCCGCATCGACGTCTCTATAGAGGTTGCCGAGTTCCGACCCTCGAGCTTGGCCAACATCGCTTGGTCCTTCGCGACCTTGGCCGCTGGGGCGTTTAGGATGCACGGCGACCTTGGCCGCCGGACGATGCGGAGGCGGTGGGCCGCCATGGCCACCAGTGGTTTGTTGAGCAAGAAATGAGGAGCTTTGAGGGGTTTCACTTTGTTGTGGGTTTAGGGACATTGAAACCTCCTCAAAGTATCCCTAAAGGTGGCGTTCTTGCTGATTTTGTACTTATGGTTGTTGGAGTTCCTTTTTCTTACACAGCTGAATGATCCAAGCCAAGCACTTCCACCTCCTACTCGTAGCATTCTTGGGATCAGAGTTGCTAGACGTGCAGAGTCCCGAAAACTGGACCTCAGTTCCGAGCCTGGCAACATCAGTGACACCGAGCCTCAAGCTTTTCAGCTATTGTATCTAGAGCCGAGGTGTCGACAGGTCGACGGCCTTACATAGACTCGACTTAAGTGATCTCTTGCTAACATCAGAGAATCCCGGTATACTCTGTGAAAGAGGACCATTGGACATTGCGATATGTGCGTTGCGAACTGTGTGCCCGGTGTGCCTTGATATGTTTGTTGCAATTGAGGCCTACTTGGTGCCTTCCATGATGGCTGCCATCTCCTCGGAAGTGCTGCGTGGGATCCATCGACAGGAGATCTGCCACTGAGACTCGAGTGAGGTACCCTGACACATCCACTCGGAGAAGCGGAAAGCACAAACGGAAAGACCCGAGGTGAACCTTGGGTCCCATGGTGGTCCAACAGATGTTTCACCCGTGAAACTTATATATACAATTTGTGATAATTGGTGGAAGGTTGGCAATGTTTGGGATATCTCATGTCCATCTCATGTCCAGCCGCTACACAACCTTTCAACCACGAATCGAAAGAGCGGGTCGTGCTTCAACCATGTTCAACCAGGTTCAACCATGTTCAACCTGGCCACTTCCACGCTTCTCACCTGGCACAGTCGGGGGGCAAACGTGGAGGACGCGAGAGACTTGGCGAACTTGGCGTTCGCCTTTGCGACCTTGTGCCAGCTGAAAGAGGATGAGCCACTGAAGGAAGCCTTGTCTGAAGAGGCATTTGAGAATGCACCAGCGAAACAGTACCAGTCCGTGTGTGTGTATGGGCTCTAAGGCTTTTGGGGGACCTCACACCACCGAAACTGGTCACTGAGTTCGGTCACCAGGTACACCAGGTCGGTCACCAGGTCGGTCACCAGGTGACCGGTCCCCCGGCTTTTTTCCGAGCGCCGAACTGGCTCGATCTCGATCTCGCTGAAGCAAACGCCAAGTTCAACTGCAGGCGTCCGGCGTCTTTTCGCAGTTCGGTTGGATGTCCTGGCTCACCCCCACGTTGGGCCCTGGGGGTCGGGTTCATCCCCACGTCGAAGCAGACCGGATGATTTTAGGTGTATTCGCTTCGCGTAGGAGCCCGCGGATGGCGGGCGAGACAGGTGAGAAACAGCAAAGACTTGATGTGGACAACATAGGATGTAGGACTTCCGAAGATAGATTGTCTTACGGCAGTTCTTATGGCAGAATATACCTGTTTGATCTTCCTGAGAGTTAGCAGCCATGGCAGGTGCTGAAGAAATTGAATTGGATCCAACCTCAATCCTTAGCGTTCTTGACAGAGGCCGGGTGATGTCGCCGATCGTGTCGACGGAAAACGGAGTTAGACAGGACCGAAAACGAAAAGCTCCATGCCGTCATTTCACAATGAAACAGGCCCATCACAGCACATGATTTTTCATGGACATAGATGAACTCATAATAACTCATAAATATATACAATATATAGATATAGATAGGGTGTGTCCCATTACCTGCAATAGCCAGTAAGATATTATCATTATCACTGTATATATAAATATAACTATAATACTATACATGGTGTTTGTTTTGAGAAAAGCTTTTACTAACCCTCGTCATCCAGTGTTACAGGGAATGGGACATACCTCAACATAGAATTTCAAATTCTACAATCATTGCGCATTGGTCGGTGGAGATCATGATTTTGCATGGATTTATCCGTAGCTCATTTATAAACAGTGTTTTGAATCACTTCATTGCTGGTCAGGTGGGTTTGGAGGCGTCAACTCATCCCTTCCTGCTCCAAAAACTCAATGAGATTCTGGCGACTTGGATGACTTGGCTGGAGTTCAATATTTTGTAAACATATAGAATGTTTGTTTTTTTAATATATATATATATGTGACTATATATATATATTAGATCAATCCAGAGGTTTTCTTTTTTTTGCAGAAGTGGACCACGATATGGGAGAGAAAGGTCAAGAGAAGCATTAAATAAATGGATTGCATTGAGTAATGTTCTCACATTAATCCCGCATGTCCCAGGATCACCTCGTCACAGCGTTGGCCACGCGAGAAGCTACTTCAGCCTGGAAACGCCGAGTGGAAGCGGCCCTGCAGGAGATGGTGTCGACCGACGAGTGCGTCCGGCCTGCAGAGTACGAGCGCCAAAAATGCCCAAGAAAAAGGGGCGCAAGCCATGGAGGCTCCAGATGATCCAAGATTCACGATTCACATTTCAGGACCCAAACCCACCCAAATTTCAAATTATGATATCATATTGGCCGTCAAAATGGTCGCGGTGCTTGTGGTGTTGCTTCGACGAGTTGCTACGCAACGACCGACGTAGCTTCGTCTACGGGCACTGTGGTGAGCCCCCCTCCCAGTGGTGTGGCGCATGCTGTGGACGGCGGGCTGGATGCGCAGGAGCTCTACCTGGATCACTTGGGTTCGGTGGGCTCTCACCTGCTGCTCTCGCGGCTGCAGATCGATGCCCCAGCCGCATGGTGACCGTGTGGTGACCGCCTGGAATTGTGGGAAACATGGAATTAGATGTAATTAGGGAATCATGAGGGAACTATGAATGCTTCAGAAATTTCTTGTATTCTTTAGAATTAGCGGTTGTCAATTGAATTTTTATTCACAACCCATGGAACTCTGAGAATATTGTCAGATACTTTCAGCAGTGTCCCAGTTTGTCGGGAGTGGATCGTTGTTTTGAACGGTCTTAAAAGGTAAGTGGTGTTCAGGTTCACGAACTGAGCAGCTTATCAATGTGAACATCACGTGTTCCAAAATTACATGGATGTCTGGGCTTTTGAAACCTATAGTAGCTTGTTTAGTACAGTGGTGCAGATCCGAGGCATCCTGAGACCCACTGAGTACCATCATAGAGCAGCCCCGGACGGAACAACCATACCACGAGCATTGACAAGCCATCAGCTTCATTCATGATCTACTGGCATACAAAGAGCATATAGAAGAGCTGCTTTTTACGGAATCTGTACCCAAACACCCCAAACCTGACACCACTCGATGGACTGGACTGTTTTCTTCTGGTGGGGGTGGGGCTGCCCTGGTGGAACAACCCCATACTGGGTGGTGCTTTCAGAGATTTTTAGCTTCATGTTCAACCTTTACTTGGGAGGATTTTCACCCACTGACTCCTATTTTTGGGTTCAGTTTCGTTGAAGCCACCTCGTTTGCGCGCCGTGTTCCGATCTGCAGGATCAGGACTTCATCCTGCGCGCCATGCAGAGCTTCCCCACGTGCGCGGGGCGCACACGCGGCTTAGATCCTCGGTGTTTTGGCCTCGTGACGGGCCACCCGGAGCGCACGTGGAGTGGTATAAGTGTGGCGACTAGTTGACTTGTTGGCCCTGCATGTAGTTGACAAAAAAAAAGGATGCGATGCAACCCAATGGACTTCTGGGACTTTAGTACAGTGTACTCACCTGTTTTGTGGGTGATGGTGCTTTTCTACCATCCCCTGGATGGTGCGGTTTTCCCTTTTGTTCTCCGTGTCCATGGTTTTTGTGGAAGACAAAACAGAAAACGTGCGACGTTCTCGACCGGTCAGGAGACGCAGCGCCCACAGCAGCGCCGCATCTTCGCCTACTCCGAGCATCGCCTCCAGACGACGGACGCGACCGGCGGACGGGACGCGACCGCGGGGCGGATGCTGCGAGCTGCTGGGACAAGCTGCTGGAGGCGGAGGCTGTTGGGGCGGATGCTGACTGGGTCGAGGTCAATGCGGAGGTGAACTCCGTTATGACATGTTTACCTGGCATGTGTTTGGCATGAGAGTGACCAGTGATGGAGCGATGTGGTACGCCACATGAAGGAAGACCTCTTGGCTAAAGCAAGCATGATTTGTTTGACAATTCTGAAGACTCTTTGCAGTTGCGCTAGAGTCAGAGGTGGAGCTCGCTGCCAGGCAGTCTTGAGCAGTACCCGAAAGGTGCTCTGTTCCTCGAGTCAGTTCATTTCTTTGAAAGAAGACAAAGATATTGAGGAACAGCGATGGCCTCCCTACCAGCGATGGCCCTCGAACCAAAGTTGTGTCACTCAACCGGGGCTGTCCATGGATGTGCCAAGAGGTCATTGGACCGGGTAGGCGGCTAAATGGTACACCACCTACCCAGGAACGTGGATATCCATTGAGAATTTCGTGGATACGTGTTGGGAATTCTACGTAGGTACGTGATGGTACCTACCACTAAAAATGGATATCCTTTTAAGTTTCTTGTTTGGGAATTGCTTTACCCACTCAAATCCGTGACCTTTCTTTTCCAGTGGAAGTGAGGGGGTCAGCTTAACACTACAGTGGTTTCACAGTACATGGCCAAAAGAACAAGATCACTTTAGATGGGATCCCTTGAAAACCACCTCTTGAAGATTGAGCCATCTACTCTCAATCCACTATAAGTGGGAGGCACCTGCAAAAGGTTTGAGTAAGGTAACCTCAGCCCAAGGAGCATGGTTTCCAGGGCCTGCGGCGATGGCAGAAAGGCTGCGTGGTCTATCTTGGAGGAGTTGTGAAGGCAGAGAAACCATTGCGGTGGGTCTAAAAGTTACCCAATTCCCAATTCTTTTGTGTCCAAGTTTGTTATTTCCCTGTAGATTCACTCCTATTCACTACCATACCTGGCAACGGGCAAAGATGGGCAAGGATTCAGTTAGATCGCGGTGCGGATCGCACATTGATGTGGGATGCCCCATCGCTGCCCTGAGTCAATGGAAGAATGAGGACTGCACTGCAACCTGTTCCGCACCCACGATGTGAAACTTGTGTGTGAGACATTCAGTGGAACATGCAGTTTCTGTTGAGCGAGGAGGATGGCTAGCAAAGAGGATTATCGTACACCAGGGGGTAGATGATGAAATTCTGACTCTAATACAGTATGTAATGTGTTTCGAACACAATTCACTGGGGGTTTAGCATGGTTGGCTCAAGAGTTGTCGGCCAACAGATTGTTGCTCAACATGCTGCTACTGCTGCTGCTGCTGCTGCTGAATAGGAAGGCATGAATTTGCCATTCTGCCAGAGTGGGGGACAAGCAGAACCGGGGAGAAACTAAGGTACATCTCCACTTGTTATCGATCAAAGAGCGGTCTCAGTCATCCTAGAAGTCACATGGTCACATGGTGTCGGGAACTTGTTCGAAGATTCGGGCACTTGGCATGTCGCGAAAGATCCAGAAAGAACAATATTTTTGAGATTTGTGAGATGATTTTGATTTGCCAAAAGACAAGATCAGGAAGATCCAGAATGTCCACTGCTTCTCTTGCTCTTGGTGACCCATGGACAAATAGATAAGACACCATCTCCAAGGAAAGACCTTGACACTGGAAACTGTGTTGAACTGCCTTCAGGTTGGCTGAAGCCCTTGACTTTGCCAGTGAACCACTATGTGGATCGCTCTGTGTGTGCCGAATTCCAAGTGCTAAATGAGATTTGTGCCACTTGGTGCTGATGCAGAGATCCACTTACATCCACAAACACCATTTGTGTGTTTCGCACTTGAACTTCTTGACACGCCATGTTTGCTTTCCACTAGACTGTGCCAAATGGTGCCAAGGTGAGGTCGGTTCCGATCCCTTTAAAGGGGTCCTGAGGTCAGACCCTGTGGAGGGATCATTAGACCAATGATACCTGAGACCCCTGTTTTGGAGGATGTGGACCTTTTCGTCCGATCACAAGGGAGGTCAAATGGGTTCACTCTCTCTCTCTATATATATATATATACATAACTTATGCAGTATGTGCTTGTGTTCTAGGCTGTATATCCTGTCACTGTTCTGGTTCAGGGGGACTACCTGCCTTGGATTGATTATAGAATGTAAAACATACTGTACTAGAAAGGTTACACGAGTATGTAACGACAACCTTCGAGGGCAGTAGTAGGATGCAAAGAGCATGTGTGGATCTCGGAAACATCTGAGGGGGGGTGCCTTTGAAGGTGATGTTCCCACCTGGAACGATCTGTAAGACTGGGCCCTGAACACACCCATGGTTTCTTGGGATGTTTTTAGGGTACCTAGAAAACCGGACCCAAGTATGCAAAAAAGAAATGTCATCGTGTTTGCTTTTTCCGGTACAAAAGGTCATCTGTCATACTTTAGGTTTACTACGTACAAGTTAGGACTGGCCACCAATGTTTGGATCCTGAGGACTTGGTGAATGAAGAAGCCTTGGCAGATGACATGCAAAGCTGTGCCCTCGTCGAAGGCAGGGAACACCTTCAGGTCGGTGCCGGTTCTACTACAGGTGTTTGTTTTTCTCCACCTGTCAGGTTGAGGCGAAAAAGCAGACCCTCTCTCCAACAATGGTGGATTTCTGAGCGTCCGTTCGCCACTGGAAAGACCATTGAACTCTTCTAGAAACAGGGCTCCTGGCCCACCTCCTCAGAAGGTAGTTAGACATAGACCATGTTTGTTGCAGGGAGGATAGATTCCGTGCGGGGTGTTCTCCGGAACGCCGGACCGGCGGGTCGTTCCATGTCGCGGTGTCCCGGAGCCGCTCGGCACATATTAGATTGTTAGGGTGTGCCCCAGTAAACCAGTAACAGTCGGTCAGAGGTGATCACTATTGTTTGAAAGGGAAGACCTTGGGCCTTAGTCCATCGTCGTCCACTGTTACTGGCAATGCGATGGAGCCAGGACGTGATACTTCAGCTTAGATGTCAAACTTCAATGCGCCATTGGTGTCAAGATTGCCATTGCCACAGCAAATCTGTGATTTGGTTGTCAGACAATTGTCAAAATGCAAGTTCAATCAATTGTCAGAACTAGAACATATTTGGCTTCAGGTCAGAACATATGTCAAGGCATAGTATATCAGTCTTCATGTCACTATAAATGTCTTTGTTCTTGTCACAATTGGTCCGAACATATGCCAGGGTTCTGTCGGGACATGCGTCCGGCTTCGTGGCAGAACTGGTCACCGTTTGGTCAAAGCGAGTCTTCGTGCGCTCGGAACCCTGATCGGTAAATATGCAGCCCCACGAGCGAAGCATGCGAAACCGACCAGGAAAAACGTGTTCTTGATGTGTCTCCAGACGAATGGGTTGACAAGCCGAAAAGGAATTATCCCGGCAAGAGACCCCAAACAGTGTGTTTGAGGTCTAGAGGTGTAGCAGCAGAAAGTCTAGTAGATCTAGACGCGTTAGGGGTCCAGAGAGGTGGTGGTGCTGGTGGTGGGTGGTGATGGTGGTGGTGGGTGGTGATGGTGGTGGGTGGTGATGGTGGTGGTGGGTGGTGATGGTGGTCATGGTGGGTCATGGTGGAGTACTGCGCCTGCCCGTAAGAATCCCTCAGTGTGGACACACTGTTTGGGAAAACACAACAGCAACAAGAGTCGCTGAAACAAACAAACAACCAACCAACCAACCAAACAAACAAACAAACAAGCGAGCAGCTATCTTCTTACATCAAAAGCGCGTGTTTTTTCTTTGCGCTCTTCGTTGAGCGGCAGGAGTTGTGCAGCTCTTGGTGTCCACTGCGCCTTGCCTCTCCTGCATCTCTGCGGCCCTGCAATTCCAGCCACCGGACGTATTGTGTTGGCTGAAAGCGTTCTTTGCATGTTGGTCGGCGGTTTGAAGGTTCCGCGCACGAGTAGAAGGTGGAGGGCAAGGAGGTGGAGCTGCTTTCGGTGTGTGCTCTTTTGGGTGCTGAACAAAGCTGGATCTCGTCTTCTCAGTTGTTTTCAACGAATGAGGTCTTGAGTCTTGAGGTGGTTTTGTAAGTTGACTAGGTGAAGGAGTTGTGGCATATGTTTTGTTTAATTGCGTTATATATACCAGTGACTTTGCCTTGGCTTTACCCTTTGCCTTGTACGATCAGATTCATGAACTATCTAGAACTCTACACTACATCCCCCAAACTAACATGGCCCCTGTCGGTGTAAAAGACTCCTGAACAGCGCGGGGGTTGTTTGACTTGCGACATTCATGTTTGCTTGAAAGGCCCCTGGTCTTTGTTCGTTGACGTTTTGCGGGGATTGGTTCTCCCTCTAAACAAGAACCGGTGGGAAGTTCGATGATCCTTCGGTCGGAGTCGGAGTCGGAACTGGCTCCACTTTTGAAGACATGAACGCTTCCGCACCCATGGACCAGACATGCTGTAACCCGCAACCGCTTGCACCGTCGTCCTCGAGGCTGCTATTTCCAAAGGTCCACCTGCAGTTCGGCTGTGTCCAACCCTGGAGTGAACTGCCAGGCGGCTTTTTTGGCACTCGTTTTGTGTCCTCGGTGCCACTCCAGATGCCATCCAATCTGAGTCCAGTATCAGCCTTTGGTTCCAATATGTTCCAGTATAGGACCATTTGGGGGGACCAAATTGGATACGCACTAACCCCCAAGAAGGAACCGTCGAAGATAGCATGGGACCTCCCACTTCAGACAGATGGCATCTCGTTTCTAAGATATTCTAAGTACACTCCTTGGAACCCATGATGAAAATGGATAATCGCAACATGGTCATCCAACAGGCCATGTCATCCACTAACAATGGATGATGCAAGGAAGTATAACCAAATTAAAACATCCGATGTTGAGGACCCATGTTCGCACCAAAAGGAATGTAGTCTTATGATGTTTTCCATTGGTGGGTATGGGTGTATGGGTGTGTATTATGTTCAACTAGGGAGAGACCTAAACCAAACAATCCCATGCAAATCCCGGGGGGAAGACCCTGGAGACCTGAACAACCTTCCGATGAACCACCCAGGCGACGCGGACGCGACGGACGTCGATCCGAATCAAACCCCCGTCGTTGGAGGGTTTTGTCCTATTTCTCCAAGACAACCGTTGGCACCATGCATGTTCTCGTTATGCTTATTTTGTTCTTGTGAGGCGGTTGCGAACCTTTCAGATCCGACGAAGACCTGCACGCAGGCTGCAGTCGGGCGTCGTACGCCTATAAGTCGTGGCGCGTGCGGAAAAAAGAAGTCGTGGAATGTTTCTAAGTTTATGAGAGGCGTTTGAACAGCTACTTACCCAGGAAGTCTGTGGATCACATGTATAGGTCACCTTCTTATAAGTGGGATCGCGAACACCTGGAAATCCTCAAGTCCAACAGCTGAAAAATCCGAATCACCAGGGAAAACTGAGGAGGCCAGAGCATGTCACCGTGCGTTTTGATCGGAAGACACTGGTGGCCCTGGCCGCGGGGGCGCATTCGGCCGGCTCGGAGCCCCCACGGCTCCAATGGGGGGTGGGATCAACTCCGCACACACGCGCAATCAAATAGCTACCCTTGTTCATGTACGTCCAAATTCTACATGGCTGTGACAGCGACACAAAAATGGATGTTTGGAAGATCAAAATATCTGCGGTCCCAGAAAAAAGAATGCTGATGCTCTGACGTTCCTATGCTGAGATCTTCACCTGGTGTATTCTTGATGAGATCTTCACCTGGTTTGAGTGAGATCTTCACCTGCGCCCCTGAGACGCACTCTAGTGCACCAGTTTCTACATAACATGTATTGCCAAAGGTGCACTTCAGAACTGCCAGTAGTTACCAGCAGGAGCCCATGAAGAAACCCAGGAATTGGTCTGCCAAAAATGGACCCACGCCACCTCCAACAGTGAAGTGGAAGTGGACTGGTTTTCTCGCTTGGTCTTAGCTCTCCATGGAGTCTTTGGGCCTTTGCCCTCCTCCAAAACGGGACATGTCTCCAGGCGCTGCTGCGCCCTCGCCGCCGTCGCCGCAGCAGCCCGCAGAGGCGGAGCTGTCGGAGGCGGAGCGGGCAGATCTGTCAGAGCTGTGTCACTTGGGCAGCAGCACAGGGGATACGGATACTACTAGGAGCAAGGACGCTAATAGGAGCTCTTGGCATCGCTACTAGGAGCAAGGACGCTACTAGGAGCTCCTGGCATCGCTACTAGGAGCAAGGACGCTACTAGGAGCTCCTGGCATCGCTACTAGGAGCAAGGACGCTACTAGATTGTTATAAAAACCAATGCCTGTTGCATTGTCATGCATTTAATGTATAGCATGTGTGTTTGTGTTCCATTTTAGTGGAGCCTGGGGGTTAGGGTTTACCATTTGCAATATCGCTGTTCAGTGGGTGGGGAGGCCAAGGCATGCCGACCTGGTCGGCAGTGGAAAGGCACCGTTAGTTCGGTAAAACGCACGTATATATGCGGTCTTAATCCATGGTCATCACAGTGATGGTCTCAAGTCAAACAGAGTCGGTGTGAATCAATTTGTAAATTAGCTACTTATACTTATATATACTCATATTCTTGTTGGCTACACTGCCTACCCTCCCCAAAAATAGATAGATAGATGGATATAGATAGATAGCATTTAGCCCAAACATGTCCTTTTGTCCGATGGGTTGCCGACTTGAGGTGATATGCCGATTGATGCCAGGCGCTGAATTGGTGTGTTGCTGTGAGGTTTGCCCACTTGGGCAAATGTCTATCATAATGGCATAATGCTACAAAAAATGTTTTACACAACTCAAACGAGGCTAACCTGTTGTGATGCAGAATGGACAAGTTGAGGATGGATCCATTCTAACAAGATGGGTCTTTTGGGGACTGGACACTGAAACTCCACTTGCGTCTCATGTTGTCCTGGGACTATGTCAGATGATCTTGAACCTTGGATGTTTTCCTGCTGAAAGTATGTTTGGCTTCCAGATCCCTCACGCAAGCAGATTGAAGTGGAACATGGCCTCTTCAAAAAACACTGCATTCGTCTTCTTCTCCCCGGTGGGGAAACATCCACGTCCATGATGGTTGAAAAGGGGTGTGGAATCATCTCGATTTGATGACTACCAAATCTTGGGCCAACATCCTTCTGAACTTGAGCAAGTTCACGTTCAGACGCCGTTTCCAGAAGAGCCATATTATGAGTATTGGGAGATCCCCAGCAAAATGAGGGATTTTGGTCTTCTCTTCCGAACCTGGAAGAGCGGGTCAAACAACCTGGGAGGTCTTCCCCCCTTGAATACGCATCCATGTGTTTCTTTTCTTGCCCTTGATCGCAGGCAGGTGACCGATCGCCGTGGCGTTCGAACCCCCCAACGCCTCCCAGAACGTGGCGTCGGTCCCGACGCCTCCCCACACCGCGGGGCCGGGACTGAGACCCCACAGGACCAGGATGGACGAAGACCGATCAGTTGGGTGTTGGAAAAGGGATGAATGAAGGGGTGCACGTACCAGCCATTTTCCCATCTGTCCAGGCAGATCCAAGCTCATAGATCTGATGGATCTCCAGACAGACCCCGAGGAATGGCATCGTCCAGATGTGGATAAATGCCATACAGGCCATGCACTATATTTCACTATACATCCCCACCCTCTTACCTAAGGACCTCAAAAAATGTACCTTACAATTGTTGAGGTCCCCTGATAAGGGAGGTGTAACACGTCATACACTGTCTCATCGATGTGTCTACTCCACCTCCAGGAGCTGGGAGGAGCTGCTGCTTTGCCTGCAGCGATGCTCGCATCAAAGACTTGCGGAGGCGAAGACTTGGGGAACTTTGAGATGTAGGAAGACGTTCACTCAGAGTGACCATCTAAGAATCCAAGTGAACAAGACCCAGTTATACCCAGAGCAAGTAGAGCACTGAGTGCTCTCCATATATCCAGAAAGTCGGCTTTCCATTTCGATGGATTTTCGGGCACTGCAGAGCTTGAGTATGCTGTTGCTTAGCTCGCTACGGAGTGAGCCTTTCCTGATACATTCTTCGGTTCTTGCCCAAATTGATCCAAAGATATCCAATGGGCCAGATGTAGACAAAAAGGGACGGGTCTTGCATTTTTGCGCAGTTCGTTGGAACACGTTTGCAAGACAGCAGACAAGGTCTTCTTTTTGCAAGGATCCATGCATTCGAAGCTGGTATCCACGTCAATCTCACGCACACGGCAGCCTAATTCTGGTAATGATTTGGTCTTGGTGATTTTGGGGTGCTCCAAAAAAGACACTTTGGGATCTGAGATGCAGCAGCGATTTTGGGTTGGTTTTTAGATGTTTTTGGTGACTCACCCAGCCAAGTAATTACAATGACAATAAAGGAAACATCGCCTGCGAGGACTCAGCCAGCAAGTCAGCTTGGGGGGTCTAGATGATTCACATTAGAGTCAAGATTCATAAGAATCAGCATCAAATGAAGGTCGGAACTATCAGTTCCTCTCCATCATTCTGCCCTCTTTTTTTCAACAAGTGCTTTCTTAAGCAGTCTTCTTCAAGTAAACAAAACAGCAAAGGGACTTGTTGTAGGAAAAGTGTGGTAAGCAGTGTAAAGAGAGATCAGCTCAAAAGCTGGACAAGTTGGGAAGTGAGATTGAATTTTGTCGTACGTTTGGTGCTAGTCTGGGGAGTTTGGTAAGCAGCCGAGAGAACGTATATTGAGCACGTTGGTGGTGTAAGCTGGGTAAATCATGGTAAATCATAAGAAGGACACTCAGGACCCACTGTCGGGGTGGTAGACATGAACACCCCAAAAAAACTCAAAAAGAGGCTATCAATAGAAGCCCCTGGTCCGGGCGTCCTGGTAGAGATGCTCTTTTGATAAGAAAGTTATAAACCTGAGGTGCTGATCCCTTCACCAAAGAATCCTTCACCTGAGAGCATGGCCATTTGAGAGAGTTGAGGGTTTTGATAGGACAGTTGCAGGTTTTGATAGGACAGTTGTATCGTTTTCAGAGGTTTGCTGGTAAATTACCACTGTTGAAGTGGTGCTGTGAAAACCGTGCACGATGCGTTGAAACTCACATGCACCCTCTTCAGGGTCCAACATCTGGTTATATTTGGCTGTTGTTTTATGTGGTCTTGATAACTAGAGCTTGGACCTTCACAACTTTTTCCGGTGTGGGATTTGTTCAGCCTTTTGGGCTCTGGCTTTTGGGTCGTCTCGTTTCGGGGAGTGCTCGTTTACTCATCTCCGTTGCTCGTCGCTTCAGATCCTCCGACGGAAGCGCTGGCGCGTCCTCAGCGAGACGGTGCCCGAGCGGGCACGGCGCCTGGCGCGACTGCTGCGGCAAACGATCGACGCCCACGAAGAAAGACCGTGACAGGGGGGGAAGGTCTGGGGCGGAATCACCATGGTGTTACGGTGTTTCCTTCGCTTCCCAAATTTGGAAAAGTGGAAGAATTACCTGAAAAAAGAACTCCTTTCTGGGGGGGATTGGTTGTGCCATGTTGTGCCAGGTGGAAGCTTCACCCCAGTTCTCTCCGACGAGTTGGCCGACGAGTCGGTTCGAACTGGTGGCTCCTACTCCATTGTCCCTACCCCAAAGGATCCATGTATACCCCAAAGGATCGATCGAACGGATGAGAAAAAGTGTACGATCATGTAATACATCCCTTTCAACATGTATTGGAAAGCCACGATCTATTTGGAGACCTTTACAAAGTAGATATGACCCACCAAAAAGCCACCAATCTGCAGCCATTGTCTGACTGCAGTCCCCTGGATCTGTCCGGAAACGGCCATCCGGCTGGCGAGTCCAGGTTTTTCGGTCCCGAAGTAGCGCACGAATCTCAGCAAGCACCTAGCTGTGTTTGAAGATCCTTTCCCCATCTCCCCATAGATTTTGGCTTTGTAGATTTGGGGTTCGCCGGTCTAAACCATTTGGGGAACTTCCTGCAAAGTATCGCCTTCACAGGACACTGGATCTGGGAACTCTCTCACATACCGGTGAGCTCGCTCAGGGTGGGATTTTCTGATCCTGGGAGGGGGTGATCAGCGCCAGGCTCTACCAAATCCCTGTCTTTTGCATCGATGGATCCATCGATTGGAGGGGTTGCCAGGAGGCGCGGCTTTCTCCGCCGACCGCCCGTTCTTTCTGTCTTTTCTGCGCGGCTTTGTCCGACGGACCAAATCGTTTGAGCATGCTGGGGACGGGAGAAGGGGAAGGAAAACATGTAAAAGCCGACCTACTGGTTCCCCAACAGCAGGTGCAACTCGTTTCAGTCTGCCCAACCTCCCTGGCTCAGGAGGCCTATTGGAAGGGGCAGAAGTGTTCAAGTCTTGGAATATGAGTTAGCCTTGGAATATATTCGCCATCCTTCACTGAGAACCCATATGCATGAGGGACCTTGGCCGACCGGGGTCTGGATGCTCAGCAAGCCATGCTAATCGCGTCCTTCGGCACCGCGTTTGTCCAAGCTGTTTGACGCTCAGGAGGCACTCATGGATGTGCCTTGGACCGCCGCCTTTGGCCTCCTGAAGGCCGGGGGAGACCACCACGGGGCTCGCTCGGCGTGTTCCAAGCACGGCTGCCGGGGCCGGGGGGTTTGGCGGTGGAGTGGTGGAGCTCTCCTGAAACGTTAGCAGGAACTTCATGGACTACAGACCTCGTGGAGTTCTATTGAGCCAGTGGTGTCCCCAACATGACTCGAAGACCGCTTGCAGCTCCAAGGACCGGTGTGTCGAAAGTGCCAGAAATCATAGAGGCTTTAGGGCCTTTAGGGCTCCTGGCCTACATTTGTTTCGATGGTTGGGTGGTTTTGGGGGGTCTAAGTACCTTCTGAGGAGGTGGGCCAGGAGTTCCAGGCCCTAGTAGGGAGGACTGCCCACCAATCAATAGATCTCAATAGTTTGCACGTACATAGACATTGTATACATCATTGTACTAACCTTCGCCATGAGCGTCAGCAAGGCACGCCAGATGTAAGCATGTAAGCGTTCAGTTTTACAATAAAGTTGACTTCGTTCAGTGTTTCTCTCAGATGTTTGCACTGGGCCACCATTGTGCATATCACGTGAAAGCGACCCCATGTGCTTGGTTGAGCAGCCTCTTCGGCGACGGGCAGCGCGGCAACGTTCGCGCAGGTGAGCTCCCACACGGAAGTCTCCTTGAAGGTCACCAGCCTTTTTCAGGCTGCCAAACTGGAGGAGGTGGTGGCGGTGCGAAAGCTACGAGCAAGAGAGTGGCAGAGGGTGAGAAAGCACTGACTGGTTCGGAGGGCTATGGTTAACTTTTGGGAAGCTTTGAAGCTGATGCTTGCGCCGCTGCGCCTAGGTTCATGCGAGAACTTCTCCTGGCCTCATTGTTTGCTAACGTTGCACCTGTTTTTTGATTTTTTGGATTATTTGATCAGCATATTTGAGCAGCATGTCAGTTGAGCTGGGGCAGTCCATTTGGGAACCTGTTTTTGACAAAGTGGTGATCCAATCGGGGCCGAGAGGCGGCGACTCAATATCACTTTTGTGGCCAGGGCCACTGTGCGAGGCTAGGTACAGTAATTGAGGCTGGTCATCAATACTAGGACCTGGTATGGTCCTGGTACAGTAATTGAGATGGTCATATATATACCAGGACCCCCGTGATTTGGGGCTTTTCTGGACGCTGTCACCGAGACCTTGCTTCGGGGTGAACACCCCACCCCCTACGTAACGTGGGTCGTAGGTCATCGTGTCGGACCTAATGGAGCCCCTGAGTTGATCAACTCCAGACCTTTTCCCCTCAAAATCCAAGAAGGTCTGTCAAATGGGTTCTAGCTTTAACATGTATTTGTTGTTCAACACTCATTGCAGGGAACGAGCTTTGCAGGGTTGTTCTTTCTTTTCAGACCTGAGACCGCCGGCTGAGCCGTGACCCAAAAGTGATGGGGGGGAAAGCTGCAACATGAGCATGCTACGAACATGCTACGAACGTCCAAGAGAGGTTAAGTTCCCCATAAAAACAGGACCCCACTGGGGTACCTATAGTCGACTAGGGTCCTTATGGGTCCTGACCCACCTCTGTTGGGCGACTGCCCACGGAATCACACCCGGTGCAGGTCCTGAACTTGGATGTGCTCTTAGGTGCCGCAGACGGGAGATGTGGACAGAAAGGACCGGATGTTCACTGCCAGGTTGCTTCCTGGTATAAGAATGGTATAAGAATGGTATATTAATATCTAGTGATTAATGTATGTACGAACAAGGACCAGGTTGATTGACCAGTGGAAGGGTGTTTCTGCCCCCAAACAAGCCCCAAATCCAACTGACGTGTGGCCCCCAAATTCAGACCAGTGCGACTCGAATTCAGAATGTCCAGACCATCAAGTTGTCGAATCCTGAATCCAGCTCCTTGTTCTGGTGAATAACACGCTTCAACTTAGAAAGTAACCGATGCGTATAGGGGTGGTGTGGGGGTTTGATGGTATTACCGATGCATCAGGTGCAGTGCTCTTCCTGCATTGCCACGTGCTCTCCTTGGGTGGAAGGCTCCGGGTAGATCGGATGGCCCGCCAGGTCGTTATACCAAGGGTGAATTGGTTCTTGGTGGTTTGGAAGGGATTGATCGGGATGAGGAATAGACACGTGCTGTCCTGGGTTACATGTTCCTACAAGTTGTGGTCACTTGTTCCTTACCCTTTGGGTTTGGGAGGTTACTGATGTTTGAGACACTGCCAGAAAATGACAGGGAGTGACCTTCTCGATTGACTCCTTTTGAGGGTATTGTCAACCATCCACCAAACAGGCTCCAGCCTCATGTTCTTCCGCATCTTAAACAGAAGGACGGCAACAAGCCACCCGTCGATGTGATCCAGTTCCACGCCTCCACAGTGAAGATAGAAGTTTGAGCTCTCGGAAGCCACCAGCCGGGTCGGAACCTGACGAATTCGCGCCGATTTCTGGGTGTGGATCCGGGTGTGGATCCCGGTCACTCCGAGTGCCGTGACGGGTCCGCCTCCGTGCGAGTCCGAGTGCGTTCGTTCGTGGGTCACGTTCGATGTTTTCCTCCAAGGTGTGTACCAGAGCGGGAGGAAGACGAGGTAGACCGGGAGAGCCCCAAGGATCAGAACCAACATGAACCAACTATATACCATTATATAACATATATATATAACTATATATGCCAAACGGCCCAATGTGGGGCTCCAGATTGGTGTCCAGCCGCAATGTTGGGAGCCCTGGTGAAAGCCATCCTGCTTAAGATGGACTCAATGAACGGATTGGTCGCACTTTGCCTGGCATTCTTTGCGTGACCAAGTCCTACAGGTCCTTGGTCAGCTACCTGAAGAAATACTGCATCGTTCGTGGGTTCCCCTTCTAAGTTTGGAGGTTGAACAAACACATCAATTGAGTTTGATGAAGATTGACTCCCACCCAGTGATGTCGACCCTCAACTTCTCGATTCGTCGGCGGTCACAAGGTGGTCAATCAGGTGATTGCCACCGAAACTCCACCTCCGACGTCCGGCGAGGTCGTTGCTCGAACCGTTCGCTCGTCCCGTTCGGTTGAACGCCGCCTTCGTTCTTGCAGGTTGCATCAAAGCCCTCGAGAGATTTGTCAACAGGCCGACGAGACCGCTGACGGATTCACGTGACAGACCGGCGAAGTCCTTCAGAGACGAGTGACGGATTCTTGATTCTTCCGACATTTGGAACTCACCCGTCCTCGAAATCGATCGAGTTCCAAGTTTTGACCCAGAATCGAGACAGGGCTGTGGGTCATGGCAAGACACCCTGGGAGGGACCACCGGTCGAACTGGGAGGCATATAGAACAAATGAAAAGAACACCGCGCCCAGAGCGAGGTCTAGAAAAGTGGCAAGTTGGCACCCACTGGTGGCGCTCAAACATGCTCAAACCAAACCAGTGGCCTACCAGCAGTGCCAATGCAGGTCTTTGAAGAAGACCAAGGGATCATCACCAGTGGCACCTTGGCAGTCGGACAGGGGCAGGACAGGCCTAGGCTTTGTAACAGTTGCCTCACCCGGTGATGTTCCGAGCGCCTCAAAGTGAAAGACAGGCCCGGTTGCCACCAGTAGTAGTACTGATCCATGGCCTGGGTTTGTCAAGATCAATAGGATGAGAAACTTTGTGCGGCCCCCCCTAGGTTGGAGTTCTGACGCCCGCACTTTCGACGATGTGGCGAAAATCTTAAAGGAACGCGTTGGAAACCTGTTCGTGTGTAGTAAAGACCGACCGCAAAGCTCTGACCGTTGATAATTTCGTTGAGGGGCAACAAACCCATCGTTGAAGCCTTGGGGCTTACCTTTGGCGCTTCTGGTTGGAGCATTGCAGCTTTAACCCACCACAAAGGATTTGATGGAAGTCTATATGGCCCACGTTTGCGCGCAGCCTTCTGAAGCCTTCAAGTATCCTCCACTGCGGCGGCTCGACTCTCTCTTTTTTTTTGCAAGGGTCCGGAGCGATGGGGAACATAATCTCGAAGCGCCTCGAAACGGAGGCGCTAATGGAATGTGATAATTAAGTCGATTTGTCTGCGGCTATATCAAAGGTGAGTCGGCACGAATTCTTTGCAAGGCCTACCCCTACTTCCACGACGGCAACCAATGGGTGTGGTAGTTCGATGGCGAGTGGTGGGTCTATGTTGAGGCACAGCGCGCACTTTTCTTGTCAGTGCAGCACAAACTCCCACGCTGTCAGTCAATTCGTTGAAGCGCAAGACTGCTGAAGGTTGCCGTTTGTCTTGCGCTTTGAATTTGACAGGCGGTCGACGAATGCGGTTGGGAGCAGGGTACCGCCTGGTATCCCTTCGATGAGACCGGCCGGTACGACGTGGACCGCTCCTGGTTGGGCGCCACGCCACCCACTCTCGAAGAATGGGAGGAGGAAGGCGCGGCTTAGGGCATTTGCATAAGCCTGTAGGCTATATGTGCCAAGTATCACGTAGCTAAAGCGGCGTTGAGATAGTTAACCCATCAACGACGCTCGTCGAGCATGGGAGGCCGCCTAAAACATCGCCGGTTCCTGGCGTGGGCGCTCTCCGAGAAGGCGCTGCGGTAAAAAAAACTTTGAGAATCGAACTTAAGTTGACCTTGACATGCTCGGACGGTCCACTCGCAAGCCAATGTCTCAAGCAAAAATGTGGACACAGGTTCCGATGACAGTGGTCGTGCTGACAATGGAGTTCTTCAAGGGCTGACAAGGCCGGCTGGCGGAGAAAAAAAGCACAACGAACAACCGTGATAGGCCTTTTGGGGAACCCGCAGTATATAAATAGGTAACGAGCCGGCTGGCATACCTCCTGGGTGGTTATTATCACGTACCATTTCTTTGAAAGAGAACAAACTGGAGGCTTTTGGGCTTCCCTTTTGTGGCTCGTCGTTGGCTTGGCAAGAGGCTTTGGGGTGAAAAGATGTCTTGGAAAGAGGCTGTGGATCTTGGTGACCATGATCTTGAAGGTCATGATCTTGATACCCTATTTCACATAGCATGCTTAATACCAGCATTTTTGAAGTGTTCAAATTTCCACATCAACCAACCCTGAACTGAACCATTGAGTTATGACCGCTACATCTCAAACATGCAGAACATTCAGCATTGAGTTGTGTTTGTCACATTTCAGCAATCAGTTTTGCATGTTTGGTGCACAAATATCAGTTGGTTTTTGAATATTTTGAATTATGGTTTGCATAGTTCTTGTAAAAACCCATACAAACCTGCTGGTATTTAGTGATCATGGTCTTGGTGGCGATGATTTCTTGATGATCATGACCTGGGTGGCCTTGATCTTGATGCCCATGATATTGATGAAGATTATTTTGATGATATTGGCTTTGAACATGCTGAGGATCTTGATGATCATGGCATTGATGAGCAATGTCTCGGTGAGCATGGTTTTGACGATAGTCATAGTTGTTGTAATCATGGTTTTGGTGGTGGTGGTGGTGGTGGCACCAAGATCATGATCATCAAAGTCATCAACATCAAGATCATGATCACCAAGACCAGGATCACCCAGGTCATGGTCGCCACAATCATCATCATCATCATCAAGACCATGATCAGATCAAGATCATCAAAATCACCATTAAGACTTAAGATCACGGTCATGAAAACCAAAATCAAGATCATGACCATGAAGATCATGGTCCAAGGTCATCAAGATCATCATTATCAAGATCCCCATCACGCAGACCATCATCATCCAGACCATGATCATTGAGGGGAGCTTTTTGACATTTCTTTGGTATGTAGTTTTTGTCAAAGCAAACATCAGACAGTTCCAGTTGGGTTTCACCAAGAGCTTCAAGGCAAGAGGGCTTGCTAAGCCATCTTAGGGGTTTGGAATTTGCATGTAAGATGGACTAAGGCTGCAGTTTTGGCAAGGCTGAGCATATCTACAAGCCTTGCTGTTGGTTCAAGAGAAGAGGCCAAAGTTGCCAAGCACACTTCGCAACCATTTTCAAGCAAACTTCACTTCACAAGCTACCAAGCAAGTTTTACAGCGTGTTTTTTAAACTAGGTTCAGACAGGGTTTGGATTCAGTGACTGTACTAAGCAACCTTCATATCTTACTACACAGCTGCTGCTACAACAGCAGCTTCAGAGCCATGCCTCCCAGGTGGAGGTTTGAACAGGAGGTGGTCAGAAGAAGAGTGAAGGTTCTGCGAGGGGGAAGACAGAAGTTTCTTCTGGTGGTGCGCCATCCCTTTTACTTGGTGGAGGATCGGTGCAGTGACAGAATCAATGGAGGTCAAGGTCGCAGGCCAGAGATCCAGGCAACAACCCCTTGCCCTATAAGAGGGAATTCGACATATTCCATCAGTGGGTCGACAGATGGGGGGGGAGGACAGGAGGAAGAGGTTGGAGATCTCAGTGGTTTGGCCATCCAGGCACACAAGGAGGTGGGAGTCCAGGTGCTGGTGCCCGGTTGAGAAAAGGATTGTCAACCTAGTGAGGTTGGCTTGTCGCCTCAAGGAGGGCCGAACCGGCAGAGGACTTGAACAGAGAGAACCTGAGACCATAGAAATTGAGAAGACACAGTTGGAGAACAGAGAGCTTGGAAAGATAAAAAATTGAACTGGCAGGGCCTGAGAACAGAGAACTTGAGAAGAGAAAACTTGAGAAACAAGGTACCATAGTGTACATTCTATACATGAAAGCAGAGAACTGGAAAAGACCACAATTGAAAACATAGTATTTGAGAAGAAACAACTTTAGAACAGAGGACTTGAAAAGAGAGAGAGCCTGAGACACTAGAAGCTGAGAAGACACAGCTTGAGAACAGAGACCTTGAGAAAAAATGCACAGTCAGGGCCTGAGACCATATAGATTGAGAACAGACAGCTGGAGAACCGAAAGCTTGAGACAGAGAACTTGAGAAGATAAACTTGAGAAAAAAGGGCATGTGTGTACCACAGTATACATGATATACATGATTTTCATTTTGACATGGTCATGCATAATATGCAAGTTTTTTGTGCGAAAGGAAAGAAAGAAAGACAGGCAGACAGACAGAAAGAAAGAGAGAAAGAAGAAAAGATAAAGAAAAAGAAACACACACAAAGAAACAACAGAAAAGACAAACAGAACGAAGAAATCGAAAAAGACAATAAATACAAAGACATAACAAAAAACGCACCATTAAAAAAAAAGAACACATAAAACATTAAACTAAATAAAGTTAAGGCCGCCATAAAGACTTAGAAGAGGCAGTTTGAAAACCCAAGGTTTGAGAACAGAGTACTTGAGAAGATAACATTTGAGAAAATGACATGTGTGTACCATAGTATACATGTTTTACATGGTACACATGAAAAAAGAAAGAATGATGGAAAGAAAAATACAGAAAGAACGAAATAAAGAAATACATAACACAAGAGAAAAGAAAGAAAAAAAGAACGAACAGAAAAGAAAAGAACAGAAAAGAACACAGAACAGAACAGCACAGAAAAGAAAAGCACAGAAAAGAAAAGGTTAGATAGTTAGATTAGATAAAACAAGACAAGACAAGGAAAGTTAGGAAAGAAAGAAGAAATATATAAAGAACGAAAGACAGACAGAGATACATAGTTAAGTAAATTTCAAGAAAGGAAGCAAGAAAAGAAGGCAAGCAAGAAAGAAAGAAAGAACAAAATAACAGTTACAGCAATACAGAAAGTCAGAAAGACAGAAAGCAAGCAAGCAAGCAAGCAAGAAACAACAAGGAAAGAACAACAAGAAAAGAGAAGAACAGAACAGAACAGAAAAGAGAAATAGTAGAAACATGACAAATAGAAAAGAACAGAGGAAAGAAAAGAAAAATAGAAAAGACAAAAAGAAACGACATGATATACATTATATACATGGTGAACATGAAGAAAGGAAAAATATAAATAAACAGAAATAAACGGAACGAAAAGGACAGAAAAAAAAGGAAAGGGAGTAACTAACAGAAAAGAAAAGACAAGGAAAGAAACGGTGACAAGGGAAGCAAAGAGAAGCATTTTCTGGTAATGGGATATACCGTGATATACCCAAACTACCAGAGAAAGATATTGAATACCAGGACAAATGGCTAACATCCATGTTGACGTCCTGTCATGCAGTTGCCATGTGGTGTGATGGTGCCACAAATTTGAAGCTACCACGATGGCACCAGTGTTCGTCGGTATTCCAGGGTTGACCAAGACAATACTCAAAGGTTCGTCAGTCCGATTTCAATTTTTGTTTTTGGCAGCATATTGGTGGAGTAAGAGTAACATAGTAACATGTTCCCGCAAAGAACGCCTAAGCTGCAACCTCGAGGTTCAAAAACGCCGAGGCACAATCACACGCATTCTTCCGTACAGGAGGCAGAACCAGAATTTGAAAAGCCTTCGGGAAAAGAAACGCTTGCCACTGGTCTACATAAATTGATTGAAAATAATGTCATTCACTCCCTCCCAAAAGGCTACGATTCCTTTGTATAGGCAAGAACGCCGAAGTAACATGAGGGAAGGTCGCATATTAAAACCATGAAACAAGGCATAGGCATATAGACACACCAATTATGTACAAAAACATGGCCCCAAAAACATATGTTATTATGAAAGTTCCTGGCACCAGTGGTGGTTGGATTAAAATATAATATATATATATGTTTTTGAACATATTTGAGCCGAACATTGCCCTAAAAGGATAAAGTCGCTTTTGCCCATAGGCAGAAAGTGTTGCCCCCCAAAAATATCCAAATGTATTTGCTGATTTGACTAAACAACCAAAAGAAATCACCTGCAAGCGACCATATCATGGACTCAGTTTAATCACTGGTTGGAACACGTAAATGTTGTCCATGTTCAATGCCCTCGTCATTGGTTCACCAAGACAAAATATGTTGCAGTTGCCACTCACTCATCGATCTCAATTTTTATGTTAAAACATGTGTTGTTGTTTCGTTCTCATGGGCTTATCCCTGGCAAGATGATTGTCGGACCACTTTGAGGTTGGATGCCATCGCTAGTAGATTGGAGGCCATCTGCTCCACGAACTGAGGCTCGGAACCACACGAAGCTCCACCAAGTACCGCATCCCAGCGTGGATGCGTTGGATTTTTGCAAGAGTTCTAGCGGTGTTCTCTTTCGCAAAAGCATCCGCGGGTAGAGCAGAAATTTGGGTAGACAGAGTCTGGAAATGTTTGGAACATATTACTTACTAGATACTAGGGAAGAGGTCGATGTCCACAAAAAACAGCCACCACGTTACCGCCACAAAATGTCAGCTGTCGTTAAGTTGGCTCACATGTCTAGTGTTCAGTGTTCACTGTATTCATTCCCCTCAGATGTTGGAATGTTGGAATTCTTGATATTCTATACTTTGTGGCATTCCAACATCATTCAACCTATGTGGCTGCATAGCAACATCTGAGTTCCCGCAGTTTGTTTGTTCCTTTGTGGCTGCAGTTGTCACGTCCTAAGTCACTTCAACTTCAGAACGATCGAAGGAACCGCTCAACCATCGCGTTTTCTGTGTGGCGCTCCCCGACGTTTGGCGGGTCCTTCTGGCCGATCAAAAAGAAGGGCAAGGAATCAAACCCAGACCCTCCATGGATGGAATATATGACATATTATATGCATACGTATATTTTATATACAATATTGTATAGTTATACTACATATTTTTGTTGATAAATTGTTTTTTCTGGAATAAATGATAATACACAATATTATATGATCTGGATAGACCAAACCGTGGTTTAAGACCCTTTTTCCTCTCATCGCAACCCAGTGCTTGAAAAGGGGTCCATGTGGTCCTTTGCAGGAGGGTGCATTGGGGTGGTTGAAAAGGGGTCAATGTGTGTAGAGTGGTCCCCAAATAGATAGTGGCACGGTGTCCGATACATGTTCTACGTGGGGATCTACATGTGCATGTTATGTGGGAGTCTATCCCTAAGGGTCCAGGACCATCCTGAGGAGGTACCTGGACCCTATGGGTATACATATTAAAGCTATTAAAGCCACACACCGAGTCTGCGGGCACCGTTTTCCCAAGATCATTGTATGGATGTTCGAGACCGGCTTCATAGACCGGAGCACCGTTTCCTCCACGATTCGGGTTCAACAGCCGTTTTTTCTTCAAAGGATTTGGATGTCCCTTCTATCAACAGGATTTGGATGCGAGATGAGTGCTTATAATGTATTTTGCTCTCCCACTATGTATTGTTTATAACGTTATGTATTTGGATGTGAGGATTGCTCTCCCACTCTGGCGTTTCGACCGGAGGATTCCACTTCGAACGCATGCGACCAAACCCGACTCTCCGACAAACCCTCTCCTGTCGAGGCTCTCCCGTCGAGGCGTGTGGTCGAAACGCGGGTCTGACCGGTGGACGGAAGGCAGTGACTAGTTTCACCAGGGTGAGTGACCATGGTTTTGCTCAGAGTAGCGAACCTTGCTCCGTTCGTAGTAAGGCCAGGAGCCCCGATCGCAGCGTCGGATCGCTCCTAGTATAGTTTCTTGTTGATTAGATTTGTCTTTTTTTATTCAGGATGACTGGATTGTGCCTCGCAATTGGTTCCTTTTCTGGATATGTCATATATTTCTTTTGGTTCCTTAAGCAAATCCCAGGTTGTTGTTGTTATTGTAGGACCGAGTCGGACCATGTTGTTTTCACAGGACCAGGCAATGCAAATAGTCAGGTCGTGTCAGATGGCCAGGTAGTTGAGATGACCAGTGCGTGGCCTTTTCCCTTTACGCGAAGAGGGCTCCATGTGGAGATTTCCAATCACACAGGGAAGGACCTTGTCCGGCAAGCTTCCTGCGTTTTTCTCCACCAGATGTGCCACCATGAGGCCATTTGTCCTGGCCGCTTATAGTAAGAGATATGTCTATGTCGGGTTCCTTTCAGCGTGCTCTCTCCGAAAGCATGCCTGCAGTTCACTAGTTAATGAGATCCTGCAGCACCTGGGACATAGAAACACGGAAATGCAAATGCTGTGGACTTCCCTATATGTCAGATCATGCTTGATAAAATTGCAGTAGACCTGCCATCTTGGTTCGCAGCCGTTCTGTGCTTACAGCTAGCTGCATGTCGCGAGAGTCACTACATCAGCCCAGCCATCAGTCATGCCATGCCAGTCAGCATTGATGTTGGTGATGTTTATCAGACCAAAGCACAGTTTGTTCAATATTCCTAAGTCAAACAAGCTTCAAGCTACTAACAGTTCGCCTCAGCATTCCTTGCGAGACCCACTCACATCCACCTTCCAGCCCACTCTTAGCCACCTCAGCCTCACCCATTGAACCCCCCCGCATCACCAAACTTGCTCCGTTGGATGTACCGGCATGTGGGTGGCCAGCAGACCTTCTATCCGCCACCTAGGGGCTCTGAGGAGTCAATGAGCCTCCGAACATCGTGTTTCGCTGCGTCATTGATGTTCCTTTTTTGGGGGAGCCACATGGAGTTGCCGAAGTGCCGATGTTTTTTTCAGGTGAAACGAGAGCCACCTCAGAACTGGGAGACGAGAGCGCTTTTTTCTCCCACACACACATGGGTGGAGCAAGCCGATTGGGCAAGAACAGTGGTCACACGACAGATAAAGAATATTGAATAATTAGACTCTTAGACCTTTAATATCATATTTGTTTTCTTTGTTTCTAATATCCAACCTAATAGCGATGGCCTCCAACCTAGCAGCAAGGCGGACTACAAAGACGGGTTGGGCTGATGGTTTGCAAGAAGCCGATGACAAAGTTGAATGTCTTCCCTTGTGCAAACATCGTGTCTTCGCTTCATGAGGCTGGCTGATCCCAGCTGCACGCAGTTGCCATCACAAAGAACCAAGAAAAAGCATCGGCTTTTCTGCCGCTTCACCGTACTGGCGTCGTTTTGGGCGTTGGACTTCCACTCCAGATCTCCTCCCCACCCCGAAGGACCTGCCAGTCACCAGAATTTGGGTGACGAATGCCGGTGTTCAGGGTGTGAACACGCAGCATCCACTGGTCCAAAAAGAATCAGGTCCAGGTGGACACGACACACATGTTGACAGTACAATCATACCTCCTGAGCATGGGTTTGAAGTACAGTACTTCGAGAGAAGGTTCCTTGGAGCTTTTCAATTTTCACCCTCAACCAAGATGGTCCTTGAATGCCAACATAGAAGTGCTTATTATGTGCCCCTGACTGGGAAGACTGTCTAGCGTCGTTCACAACTTGGTTTTGCTTAGGGCCGGGCAATTGTTGTTTTCCCTATGGGTAAATCCCATTATGGTGAATATGTGTTTGTTTTCCTGGTGCGCAATTCCAAGCTGTCCAGTGTCCTTCACTTCGGGGGAGAAGAGTGAACCGATGTGCCGTGGTGAACCGGCGAGGAGGTGCGAGGCTTCCGGCCGGAGGTCCAGCTCAGCGAGGGCGAGCGCCAAAGCGGCTGGGCGTCACTCCACACGACCTGTTTGCGACTGGAATTGATGCACCTCAATGCAGGCAAATTAATATGGCATAGCTGAAGTGTTGGGTATAGGAACTATGATACAGAGAAAACCGCTGAAAGAGGTGCGTAGAATATTAATTAACCTGATTTGTTTATGGTCAGTGTTGTCAAAGGTTGACGAGAAAAGGGGCTCAGGACTTTTGAAAGGTTGTTCATCATGGCTGGAAGTCCCAGCACAGCAAGAGATATCGTTCTGGCTCAATTTGTTCAGCTGGACGTTTGGATGTTGGACGTTGCCCTGATTAGCAGTAGGCTATAGCAGAGTGGTACCAGAGTAGACCTTGAAACAGAACTGGCCGAAATCTTTTGCCTACTGTGGAGTGCGAAACCCAAGCCGAAAAGGGAGCAGTATCAGAAAAGTCCATCGTCCCCTCCAACGAGGTGCCTGGTATCACCCGTCGAAATGGTTCCCGGAGAGGAAGGATCGAAAAACACCAATACAGGCGATGGCCTCCAACCTAAGAGCGATGGCCTCCAACCTAAGAGCGATGGCCTCCAACCTAAGAGCGATGGTCTCCAACCTAAAAGGCGTGATGGAAAGGACCACCGCGGCAATGCCAAAAGGACCACCACTGCGGATCTGGTTTCAGAGTTCAGACGAAAAGAAGCACAGCCGAGCTTGAGGTGCACCTGGTTGCCCCACCAAAGCGCCACGAAGCTTCCAGAACCATTTGTTGTCCATGTCAGGGTCTATCAAAGGGAAGATTCTGTGGGTCTCTTGAGGCTTTTTGGTAGCCACATGAGGTCTACAGTCCTTCATCCAGCGCTTCGATGCCTGTGCCGGATTGGAAGCCACCTTGCAGCTGCTTCAACGTGAGGTGCCAAAAAATCCAGTTTTGCTTGGAACCTTTGCCCAACCCAGTCAGTGGATAACCTTAAGCCAGTCCTTAAGCTTTCTTGGGGAATGCTTTTTCCTCTAAACAAGAACGGTGGAAAGTGTTGAAAGCTCTTTCTGCATTTTCCCGGGCTTTTTGCAGCTCCAGGGTCAGCTTGGGTGGCTGGGGCTGGGAATCTGGATGAGAAGAAACTCAAGGAGTTCGAAGTGGCTGAAGTCTCTTTTCTTATGCTCTCTTCAGGTCCAAGCAGCCTGTCAAGTCACTACCGGAGGTCAAACAATCTTGGATCACCCGGAAATACATACCGCCCTACTCGTACGATCGTGAGTACGTCACCAATCACTTGCCTCGCCTCGCGGGTGCAATCGCGGCAATCGCTGCCCGGGAGCCCACATCGGCAGGTGCACAGCTTCTTTGGCTTCCAAGCCTGCAAGGTTCCACGGCAAAGCGTGTTTTCTTTTTCGGCGCAACAAAAACGCGGCCCTGGGTGGGAAAGTACAGAGTTGGCCTTTAAAAATGAGCAAGACGAGTCAGTCGAATGGTAATCCCTGGGATCCCTTCCACCTATTAAAAAGCACGAGGGCCCCCCCCCCAATGAGGAAACCTCGGTCGCATTTTGTCTAATAGGGGTTCCCTGAAAACGGGGGGTCCAAAATAGGGTCACCTGGCAAGAGTTTCAAAACAAACAAGTAATCCATGAATTTTTTGTATAACATCCTTTATCGAACTCGTATCAAAAATGCAAAAAACGATCCAGATCGAAGGGTCTTCCTTTTCCCCCTACAAAAACCTTCATTAGAATAGTGATTCTTCAGTAGACTAACAGCTAAAGCTTTTGAAAGGTGATGTCGCTGTGCCATGCGGTGTTGCATGACCTCGGTGGCAAGTGCGTTTGCGTGAGTCCCTGCCATTGGGGGAAGGAAAGCCTGCTGGTGTAAGCGCGGCGTGTCATGGTGGATAGACAGGGCGGACAGAGGCGGGCAGTTACGGTTGTTTTTGGAACCTAATAAGAAAAACCCTTCCAAAATCGGCCATGTTGGTAGTTTAGTAGCGGCGTGAAAGGGCGGTAATTTAAACACAAATATAACCGTATTTAGGGGGATCCGACATGATTTTTTAATTAGGGTCCGTTTTAAAAAAGGTGCTCTGGATTATTCCGGTATTCCCATGGGTCAGCGAAGTGGCTGGAACTTCAACAAGGAGGAAGCTCCTAAATCAGGGTCAATGCAATGCAAGTTGGTAATGTTAACTGCTGCTTGGGTTTCTGGATCGATTGACATAATTCACTGGGAACGTCGATCGTTAACATGTAGTGATTGTTTTGACAGAAAAGAACTTAAAAGGATGCAAATATGGCCAAAGCGAGCAGTTCACACTGAAGCACTGGCTGATTTGTCCATAGCAGCTGGGGTCAAGATCTTGGGGAGTGTGGTTCCATTCTGTTCCTTCCATGCTGCCATCTCCGTGCGCCAGGCCCAGGCCCATCACCATCATCCAACAAGGAACCACCACTCTTTTGCACCTATCCACAAGGTGTTAGGGTTGGTAAGTGCCCGTCAGTCATGATGTCTCGACACATATCTGCTAAGCAAATTCCTTTGGACTGATGAACAATTGTCATATTCTCACCTGACGGAAGAAAGGTGTCATGTTTTCTCTTCAACCCAGTCCGTGGATTCACCCTGAAACCACGGGGGATTGAACGTTCGCTTCACCTTGGACGGCTTTGGTCGTCATGAGTTGTGCAAACGGCAGGTGCTGCAACGCTTCACCAAGAAGTTCGGCGCTGCCGGGTCCAAGGAGCGCCGAACTCGGAGCGCTGCGCGAGCAGCGCTCACGGACCCCAAGCACTAATTATAGACCTCCAAATAGAATGAACATGTAGATCCCCACTAAGAATGTATTGAAAACCGTGCCCCTAACTATTCGGGTATCGCTATTTGGGTTTCGCGCCAGCTTCGTTTGGGCACGCGCCAGCTTGGTTGGGGTCTTTTCGATCGTTGGAGCGGAACCTTCGCGGCGGAGTTTGGCGCGGAGCGAGGGGTGAAGGTGTCGGAGCTGTTGAAGACCTGCAGACCCAGACATGTTATTCATAAAACCCTCCAAGCCCGATGGTTTTTCACACCCGGAATCACCTCTAAGAGGCTATTTACAGACACGCCTTGGAGGTCCTGGTATATATTTAGAATCATAAGATCAATTTTCAAGGTGCAACAGATGGTGTTTCAAGGTGCAACAGATGGTGCAACCTTTGTAGTTTAGAGCCTGGACTTCTGAGGGATGTACTCTCATGAAACATCACATATTCCGTACTCCCCTTTAAAGGGATTGTTGATTTTGTTGGGCAACGTTATCTAGAGGGATATCTATCTAAGTACAAATCCTCGGGAACATTAGCAACCATGTTGCTTTTGCATGCTCTTGCCTGAACACGCGAAGGACAATCGCTTGCACCTGCTCCTTGGCAGGCGCCATCAAAATGAAGCACCAGGGGGCCTTGCGGCAGGTTATGGGTCAAAGAGCCTAAAACCCACCAAACGTTGGCGGGTTCAATATGTATCCAGGGTCAAGCAGAGACGTTTTTCTGTGAAATCTCATGGGTTGGATAATACGGTGGCAGCGGTCTCCTCCGGACTCCGAAAGAGTCCGGCAGCTGCTTAAGCAGCCTATTAGTGCAAATGGAGGTCATTGGAGGTCCACGAATAGACAGAAATAAATTCCAAGTCCTTCTCAATGAGATTTAGCTGTGCTATAGGCTATAGGCTATGCTGTTATACATGTTGGGATTACTGTAATACGATGCAAACAGATGGGGTAGCAAAACCAACTCTTGCGTTTTGTGCCGTCCAGGAATCCACTCTGAACCTCGTACATATAGGTGGGGATAGGGGGGCACATGTAGTGAAGGACTCAGGTGTGCTACCACGGACCTGCTCTCAAAAGTGGACTTCTGAATGAATGACCATGTTCCTTTTCGAGTTCATGAAATGTGTGAAAACTCATTTATTTGGGATCATCTGGGTGTTTTCTTGATAAGGAGAACCCCAACCAGGTCTTTGGGAGGTCTCCCTAGTTTAACACTCACCCATACAAAGAGCTCAAAAATCTCATCCGATTGAACAGTGCCCAGCATTTTGGAAATTTTCCTCCTCGAGAACAAGCCTCTTTGTTTCCTTTCTCTTTTGCCGCCCACCATCGATTTCCTTCACCACACAGAGGACGCTACTAGGAGCATTTCGGGCATCGCTACGAACGGAGCGAGAACGCTACGAACGGGGCGAACCTGGCCTTACTACTACTAGGAACAAGGACGCTACGAGTCCGGAGCAAAGACGGGCATCGCAGCCAAGTCCGGAGCGGGCATCGTCGACACGCGCGACCGACCGTGGACGGTTCGCGCGACGCGGCAGGTGTGCCGCTGCGATGTCCACCGCCGACGGCATCTCCCTGGGACGTGCCTTGTGGTCCTTGGGCCGTCCGGACGCCCGAACGGGCCAAGCGAAGGGTGTGGCACACCCGGGGGTTGGAGCTCTTAAAGAGATCCAAAGGGGAAAGACAAGTAGACCTCTCACCAAGGGTAAAGCATTGGAGATTTGCTATAATCTATATAAATTATATAAGTCTAAATCATTTTTGTGACCGCCAGGAGCTGCAACCCATCCGAAGCTGTCCTATTGAACGACCCAATCAGGGTTGCAACAACCCAAGAACTAACCCACGCTGGGTGTGCACATACTGACGATTTGTTGGATCGACGCCAGATAGAAGAAAAACAGATGTCTAGGAATACTAGGAATTCCCAAGAACTAAGGTGAACTAAGTAAGATACAGATGGCATCAGAGAAGATTGGACACTGGTTTCTTGGGACCACTTCAGGATGGGGAATGGGATTTTCATCACTTCTTGAATTGGAGCATCTTGGGGTGGTGCCATCCACTTGGAATCCACTGCAGACATCGCATGGTTCCCGGGTCGGCCACCGGGCCGCATCGCGCCGCGCCGCGTCGCGTCTCGCTGCACGGGGTGAGCAAGGTCTCCACCTCCGACACGAGGCGCTCTTGCAGGTCACCGAGGGACGGTCGACTAGACGCGTCAGACGGGGACTGCACCTTCACCGATGGCCGCCCCATGACCGGAGCGTTCGGGTGTTGGATGAACCAGGTTGGCTTTGTCAAAGGAGCATGTTGCGATATGGGGGTTGACCATCGGTATCCTCAATCCTTCCTGTCACAGCAACATGAGTTAGCCTAAACTCAAGAGATGTAGACCGAGTGTTTTTTTTAGTTTGACAATTCGTGCACCTGATTCAGGTGGGAGGTTTGGGTACACTCGAAAACATGCAACTTCTCTCCTGCTGAACTGTCAAAGATGTCGAATTCCTACATCGCCCAAGACAAGGAAACATGAAAGCGCGGTATTTCATGTTGGTGTTTGGGTGGCTCCACAGTTGGTGCAGGACTTTCATCAACGGCAGTTCAATTCTTCAAGGTGATCTTGTTGAAGGAGACTCATTTTTTTACTTGGCGTACAAGGAACACTCATGAATAGGTCAGTCCACGAGCAAAAGTCGACTTGTTGGGTTGGTGATTTGTGCCGACTTTGTGAGCCTGGACACAGTCCGACCATTTGGACCTGGACACACGTCCTTCTTGAGTTTCTCCCACGTCCATCGATGCAAGACCGGTCCAAACCTAAGCTTTCTCCAAACAAACTGGGGCGCAGGCTGGCCAGGAGGGGTTCCAAGAGCTAAATATAGGTCTTTTGCCATCAAATCCGCTCTGAATCGCTTTCTTTTGACTTCGGAAGCGTCACATAGGATTCGTATTTCACCCCGTCGCCTTCGAACCACACCCGGCCACACCCCTCCTCTTTGGAGGCGGCCGCGGCGCGGCTGCCAGAGCTCCTGGACACCTGCGGGCCCATCACCATCGCCACGGTGTGGCATGCCTTCGAGGCGAGGCGTTCGGAGGGAACCTCCCGGTGGATTCTCTTACTCGGCCACTGGCCGCTCTAGGGGGGGATTTAGATCTTTCAAGAGGAGGAGGGCGGTCATGATCGGTCATGATGTTCGGTAATTGTCTGGTATATTCTGGTATCATGAGTCGATTTTCTCAAAATGATGCTTTGGGTCTGGGTTGGTTCGTTCCTTGGATCCTTCGTACAGAATGCTTGGCTCCCAGGACCTTTTTTCGTGTGGCCAGGTCTTGCAGTTCGAGGACGCCAAGTGCTTGGAGGCGGAGCTGTCGCATTTTTGCGCTCAATTGCCACTCTCAGAGTGGAAGAGTTCACTCAAAATTATCAATGTTGTTTCTTTTTGGGGTGGATTGATGTAAAGGTTTTGCGCAGTCCGATCTATGTAGGGCCGCATGCAGGACATCATGTTTCCCTTTGTCACATGCAGGACATGTCGTGATGAAGACATCGAACACGAATGAACATCCATGCGAAGCATGAGAATCCTCTAACGTCGTGCCGCCCAGCCCCCTCAATGATATCGACTGACGCCCCTCATCACGATGGGGCCTTGAAGGCTGCATACCATGTCTCGTCACGGACCCAAGAGCTCGCAAACGCATTTTCCCGTGGGACAGGAAGGCAGACCGGCCTAAAAGAACCTACTACGAGTTCGTTCCACATGTGGAGGGCATTCCAAAGACCCCACTCCGAAAAACGAAGACTTAAAGTTATTAAAGGTGACAGCCGCCAATGTATGTTGGCCAACGTGGAAACCCATTTTTTTCTATCATGTTCGATCTCTTTCTTGAAACGTCAGAGTGGAAGAGGCCTAGGCGGGCCTAGCTGGGCCTAGGCTGTAGGGGAGTTCACTAAGCAATTTGTCAACCAGGCTTTCGGGTGCACAAATTGCACTCAAATCAATTGGGTATATTTTATCTTCAAGAAACTGGGGGGAAGGGCCCCTTTCCACTTTTTTGTGCAGTTCAAGCCAGTTCAAGCTAGTCAGCCAGTTCCGGCTGGCACGCTTGGAGCGGAAGACTTGCTGTCGCCAGAAGGACCTCGAGTCAAGCCGTGGTCAGCTGGTAGTTCGATCCGGAGGAGCATGTGGATTCTGAAGGTTTTCTCCGACCACACCAATGCGGTACCTACGACCACTCAAGACTGTTGTTAGGCCTGGTCTCCATTTTTTTTCTGGCTCGTATCGTCTTCCGGCGTGAGTTAGACGCTGCCGTTTCACGCTGTGCGGAACCAGGCATTGGTGCAAGACATGGAGAAGCGGCTTTGGGAGTGCGACCCGCCAGAGGCCGGGTCCCTCGGTTCCCTCGATGATGAGATGATCCAAAGACTCCATTGGGAAAAGGGAGCTCAAAGTCATTCCAAGGGCCGCCGTGTCATGATTTTTGGTGAGCAAGGTGGCATTGTTCTGTGCTCCTAGACCTACTTCAAGCGCATGGATTTGGGGATGGTCAAAGCATCTCAAGGCCAAAGCGGCTTTCGAGCATTCATCAGAATGACATGGCAGCCAATGCGTTGTACAAAACCTGCTGAATCTCTAAACATTCTAAACACCTCAGCCAAACCGCAAGACCTGGGCCGAGGCGCCTATCTTCAGTGCTTGACCTGCCCAAACCTGCCAAAACCTATGAAAAACACCCATTGGAGGTATGTTGCTGATCCGGTTCAGAGGCCATTTCAGCTCCACGGTTCAGTCGTAGACTGACCGAACAGCCGAAGACAGAGTGCCCGAAGAGAGCGAATGCATCCCATTGGAGTGTACTAAGCGTCCATTGGAAGCCACTGCAGGGTTTTGTACCAGAATATGACAACAAGTCCAGTAGGCAGAATGAACTGAACAGCTTTGCCCAGTTTTTTCACGCTGCTCCTCCTGGTAGGCATCCTATTGCATCCTTCCAGTCAGACTGGGCCAGCTGGCAGGTCTCCATCGTCCTACACGCAGCAGCACAGCTGGCCGTGCCCAAGCGTGAAGGGCTCTTCGAGATGCTCAGCTGGATGTTGGGTGTGCTCATTCGGAGGCGGTTTGGTGCCATCCAAGTGCAATGTCACAAGATCACATCCATGTTCTATATATGTGTTTGTTCAATTCCGAAGTCGATATTATTTTAGTGAGCATTTGTGTGCTATGTTTCATCACTGTTATTTGTTTCCATCGTGTCGCTTTTCCATGCTGTACTCCGCTGGAGAGGTGGAGAAAAGTGTAGAGGCGTCGACCTGTGAACACGGTAGAGGCGTCGTAGCCTTTTTGTGTCGTGCCTGCTTTTTGGGGGGTTCGCGTCATGTCCCATGTTTGGGACTATACGGACTGGAGGGTGCAGGATCCTTGGAATCGTTTCGTGGAGTGAGAACCACCTGCATGAATTGGCATATATTTGTAGTGTCCCAAAAATATATAATATATGGTATAGTCAATGTACTCTGGGAACGTAAAACGCCTATGTCAGTCGGACTCTCGGTCGGAGACTTGGACCCATAGGATTTCTCAAAGACAGAAATCCTTACCTGTGTCTTTGCAAACATCGCTCAGGAAACTTCTTGAGCACCTTGGCTTTGCATTTAATGCAAAGCACTCGAGATGGGACAGACGAAAGATGGGACTTGGAGAGGATGTCGCGCTGAAATTCAGCCCGTCGGTTCCAAGTCAAAGTCATCGCGCACTTGGAACATCTTGGAACTGGCGTCTTAATATTCTTTATCCATGTCTCAATATCTCGCATCTCTGAATGTAATTCATGAAAATCCATCCAAGATGGTTTGGAATGTGGCGAGCCACCGCCCGCCCCACGCCCGCCCCACGCCCGCTTTCCACGTGGCGCGTCCGGTATGTCCAAAACAGCGGGAAGCAGGTACGTCCGACAGCGCTCGGGGCGCTTCTCCGCACGGCATCTGGCCGTGTGCCTTCACGCAGCGGCCAAGGCGGGTGACCGTCTCCGGATCGGTGTCCGGTGTCGGTGGCGGCCCTGCCTGTTATGGCGTTCTGGGTAGAGTTGTGGTAGAGTACTCGAAAGTCACAAAAGAAGTGTTATTCATAGTATTACTGTATCATACTGTATCATTTTGTTTTAGTTCTCGATCTTTATAGGGTGCCAGCGCAGCTCGATTCAAAGAGTACCAAGTTTGGGGTCACAATCACGGAAAAAGTAAATTTATTTGCTGACTTCTTGATCTTCTTGTGTAGTGTCGTTCAAGGGAGAGATGCACAGGAGTACAACTCTCCCATTTGGCTGGTTTTCAGAAAGGATTGAAAACTACCCTACCGGCCTTTTACTAGTGGATGAGAGTATTTGTGGTTCAATACTTAAATGGATGTATGAACACATCACGGTGCTTTCTTTGTACGCATGTACTTCTTTTTGTTATCCCTTTCCACCACCTTTCCACGGCAGGTCGGGCTTCGGGATGAGGCCTTGTGTCAGATGGTGACCGACCGCTTCCGTCCCTCAGCTGGCCTGGCCGAGAAAGCTCAAAAAATGCTTCTGTGAAAAAGGCGCATTTGCCCCCCACCAAAAGTAACCCCTTGGCCAAATCCTTCAGACAAAGCAATTCAATCATGAATCATGTCTTAATTATGATGATGGTGGTCATGGGAGATAGGCAGGCCTTGCAAGGCGCCAGCTTATTCCAGTACCAGCTTGCAACTACTGCATCTTAAAGTTTATAGATAAGTTTAGCTTGGGTATGCTTGGGTCCTCAACAAGGAATTCGCAAATCTAACACACCTTCCGCTCCTCAGAATGTTGATTCTGGTGTTCCCAATCAGTGAGGAACAACAAATTCCTCCCACCAAACATGGAGATGCCATGCACCGCTTGGCACGCATACCCTCCGCTCGCCTCCGCCGCTTTCTCCGCTGTGTCCGTCACCCTGCCCTGCCGAAGAGTCCAGTTGACGCACACGGGCCACCTTTGTCACATGGACAAGATGGATCTGGTCTTCGGTTGGAAACCCACACCCTGAGAGTCAAAGACTTTCTATAGAAAAGACGGTCTGACTTGACTAGGGTACCTGAAAGGGAACTTCCTGTATAACCGTTTGATAGTCTGATGGACACCCTGCGACTCTTTGTTCCCGCCACATTAGATTTGCCCCAAAAGCCGGACTCTCTCTCCAAATCAGAGTACGACGTACATGGCTACTTCCCTCTTTCACCATGGGCACTGCTTTGGGTGTTTTCGAGGTGCCCACATTGCGGACACCGATGCCTTAGCTTTGACCAGCGCGGTCTATGCCTGTGGCCTAGTGGCGCCACCTGGCTGATGATTGGACAAAGGACAACCCCCGCGGCCCTTTGCTCTGTTCGTAGCATCCGTGCTCCTAGTAGTAATGCCGCCTATAGTAGCATCCTTGCTCCTAGTAGCGATGCCAGGAGCCCCTAGTAGCGTCCTTGCTCCTAGTAGTAAGGCCAGGAGCCCCGAACGTAGCGAACATGGTTCCTAATGGGTTTCACCGGACTCTCAGTGCGTTTCACAGGGCTTCGCGCCGTTTCCCGCCTCGCGGGGACGGTCGGGGGTGGCAGTCACCGGTCTCAACAGGGAGACACCTGTGAGAGCTTTCTGGATTGTTGCAAATTGGCACCAGACTGACCGTGTTTGGTCAACTTAATGCCTATATATGCCTATCACATGTGTATGTACTCTATATATAATATTGCTGAGGAAAGCATCGTTCAGTTGATTTGTGCAGGTGCTTCTTGTTGGCTTCTGGAAGGTCCAAGCTCCCCACAAATAGAATCGATTCTGGCGGCACAGTTTTCGTTTTGGAGGGATCATGGCTACTACGGTCTCAAGCTGAGCATTAGATCGTCTTCTCATGTTGGCGATGGCCGGCCTCGTTCCGCCACAGCTCCTTTGTTTGTTCTCTTGTTTGAGTCCTCATCAACATTCACATTGCCTTGGGTTAGTTGGAGATACAGTAAATACGACAATATTAAGACAATATTAGATATATAGATGCGCACAGACAGAGAGAGAGAGAGAGCCCGACCAACCACCAGGGACACTCACGCGCTCACCGGTCCAGTCCTATCAGTTTTTGTTTAGGTTCTTTGTTTGCATGGGAATAGCGGACAACACATCAGGTACTACATGCACGTCATGTACTTCACCGTCAGGTACTTCCAGCCCGACTTTTTCGAGTCGGTGGCAGCTTGGCTGCTTCGGCAGCTGCGCTTGGATCATCGGCGGATCGAGTCGCAACAGGCCGTGCTTCGGGGCGCTCGGTGGAGCGTCGTAAGGACGCGTGGCTTGAGGCGATGGCAGAAGGGATAGCATTCTCAGTGCGCAAAGACTTGTGATTCAAGACCAAAGCAGGGCACATCTGCTGTTTTTCACTGCGTTGGAGCAAGTGTTGGGGCAAGATCGGCGATTGAGACACAAGGGCGGCGTTGGAGATTTGGCGTAGTTTTGAGACCAAACTCAGGTTACAAGTTCATATCAAGCCCTCTACATTACCGAAAGAAATTCAGTCCTCGCCCTCACTCCACGCATCCAGATCTCCAATATGGTCTACAGCTTTGGCAAGCTGGGGTTCAAGTCTGAGCAGCTCTTGATGGCATGTGCGCAGAATGCCATGCAGGCGTCAGTGGGGTGCCTTTCATGGGCTTGCAAGTGGGAGAATGAACCCGAGAAAATGGGGAGAAAGCGCTTTGAACATGAGGGATGAACATGTAACATGACGAACCTGCACAACACCATGGTAGTCCCCCTCACCCACCGGGAAGTCCACCCAGCCACATGCCACACTCCCCATACTCGGAGGAGTTTCAGTCCAGGACCAACAAACCACAAGGCTCACCACTGTGAGTGAAACAGGCGTGGCCCCGCCCGCCCACACACCCTGCATACATTCATCCTGTAGAGATGGATCATGGATCAATGAATTATGAATAAACCATGTCATACCACATAAGCATCTCTTGTTCAGGGCTAGCTGAAACCACAATGGCCTGTTGAATTCTTCAACTGCAATCGTTGCAGATGACCTCATTTCCCCTGATTTTCCAGGTTTAACAAACCTGCAACTGGAACAGGATTTCCTTTGATTCATCAACCAACTTTTGGACTCTATATTCTGGATTCCAAAGGTTCGATATGATATAATATAGATTCTATATATAGATGTGCCTGAAACAAGTTCAACCATCCATCCTTTGCCCAGCCCATTTCAGGAGTTCTGGCGCTTTAAGCCACAGGAGCTGGATAACCTCACCTACGGCACCTAAGTTCGCAAGCAAGCCACCCCGATTAGCACTGGCGGCGGAGTTTGGATTATCAATTTGGGTCAAGGCCGATATTTCAAGTCCGATTAGCGTTGATATACTGTATGTCTTGTCGGGATTTTGCCCTACAGTCCAGGAGTCCACTGCTGAACTCATTATAGTGCCATTGCCTCGAGTCTTCGGTATTTTTCGGTACTAAGGCATGGCATTACTGAAGTGGCGCCACGAGCCGTACCTCAATGCTCTGGCACAGCATTTGGTGGAAGGCGGCAGTGGGCAGTGGGCGTCCACGAGCGAAGCCGGCGAAGCGCAAAGCAGTTGACCACAAGTTCTAGTTCTTTACCAGGTGAGCCCAGAACCTAACAATTTGTACCTAGCACTTCCAATGGGTGCCGAATGGCACAATGGAGGCCTATAAGTAGGGTAGGGTAGTCTAGCCAGGACACCCAGACAGGAGGACCCTGGTAGGTTCCTTCTGAAAACATCGGCTTTCTGGCAGGATCTGACTTATCGTTTCTTTCATCATGGGCATGTTCTTTTTGGGTCGCCGATGGCGTCGCAGGGAGCTGGAACTTGAACTGGAACTGGCAGGAAGGTCCTGATATCCTTGAACAACAGTGCTTTTGCGACTTGTACTACCGATATAAATATATTTATATAAGTAATAAATATAACTATATATAGAGAGAGAGCCACCAGGTCATGTGCGCTGAAGTCAAAAGACTGTATTCTGTTCCAGTGAACTTGAAGCAAAAGACGTTCCCTTTCAGGTACCATAGTCACGTCCTTTCTTTAGAAAGTCTTTGACTCTCAGGGTGTGGGTTTCAAACCGAAGACCAGATCCATCTCATCCATGTGACAGAGGTGGCCGTGTGCGTCAACTGGACTCTTTGGCAGGGAGGGTGACGGATACAGCAGAGAAAGCGGCGGAGCGTGTGAGTGCCATGTTTGGTGGAAGGAGTTTGTTGCTCCTCATTGATTGGGAACACCAAAGTCAACATGACCGGGAAGCGGAAGGTGTGTTTGATTTGCCAACTCCATGTTGAGTACGAAGCAAAACTCTAAGATGCAGTCATTAGTTGCAAGCTGGTGTAAGCTGATGCTGTGCAAGGCCTGGCCATCTCCCATGACCACCATAATTAAGTCTGATTGAATTACTTTGGTTACTTTGGTTGAAGGATTCTGCCAGCGGGGTTGATGGCCGAATGTATTTAGGCAAAGAATACATACAATCAAGGACTCAAGGACCATCAAAGGGGTGATGGTACTATAAAGGGTTGGGTGCTTCTACTTCTTTTTGCGTCGGTTCTCTCCATGCAGGTGGCTTAGGCCCTGCGCCTTGGGCCCTGCTGTCCTCGGGATTAAGACATGATTGTAACCAATCTACATCGGTTTCTCACATCAGTTGAGGGAAAGGACCCAGCCTGATGAGCTCTGTAACAGGACCTGGCATTTCGCCCCCTTCGATGGAACATCCGTCGATGCCGCACTCCCAAAGTCTGGACGAGTCGGATCATTTCTCTCTTAGCTTTTGGGAAAGGCCTCCATTCACAGCCTCCAAGCTCGATTCATCGAACGGCTTGGGTCGGAAGCTCCACCATCTCCAACCTCAGCTGGAACACAGGAGCGACCACACGGGAATCCACCCAAGCTCAGGAGCTTTGTGAAAAGTGCTTAGTTTGTTCACCCTCTCCAAACCCGAAGATCTCGAAGATCTCTTCTCTCTGAGGATTGCCAGTCCTTGGTCTCCATGGCCTATTCCAGTGCCCTCTTGGGCTATGCCAATCCGGTGCGGTGTGGCAACGTGGGATCCAGAGAGTAGACACACAACGTGGGAAAGCAATGGAGTGACCAAACTTCTTTGATGTTTGATTGGAGAACAGATGTTAACACAAGGTACATCAGGTTTGATTGACAGGTTCTCAGCAGAGTGTGCACCACTTGTCATCTTTCAATCACTTTATTGCCAAGCAAGAGACCCCAACAAGTCAAACTTCTTCAGATTTTTCCTCTTCCCAGAGGTCTTTGGGTGGCTCCACCCTATGTTCAGACTTTGCCAAAAGAAGCTCAGCCCTTCACTGCTGTCCTCAGAGCTCAGCTCTGTGTGTCACCCGTCACCCAGTGCGCCGACAAACGTCGCCCCACATGTCTTCGGCCAACCAACCTGCCATGAGCAGCACCACAATGCCAAAAAGACCCTGCAAGAGCTGCAAGAGAACATCAACAGTATCCACAGCATCCTTCAAACAACAGAATCAGGAATCACTAAAGACATGTCCGGCACCCTCCAAAACGTCATGGATTGAGACCTCTTCGGGCCTGACAACCCTCTTTAGGACTACTCTGGAGACCTCTCCATATCGGTTTGGACTCCAACCCCACATGGGATGGCTGGCATGTCCCTAATCGAAGGCTGACAGAACCGTGTATATAGACCCCCAAATAGATATAGATAGGTAGATCCCCACTTATATAGAAATATCGTCTTGGACACCGTGCCACGAAGACTGTTTTGGGGAACATCTTTCCGGATCACCTTCAACAAAACCCACCCTCCGAAGTGACACGCCGCATGTGACACACCATCCTCCAGGTCCCGTTTCGCCCGCCCCTTTCGGGTCGGTCGCAGGTGATGCTCCGAGCCTTGGGCGACCAGGCGATCCCCAAGCTGCTGCGCTTCAAGGCGCCGGGTCTCGACCGGACCGGACCAGAGCTTGTGATGGAACACGCGGAGGGTTCCGGTTCCATCACATACTAAAACGCCAGGCCGTTTTTTGGTATGTGATGGACTTGAGTCGAGTCGCTGGTGTTTTTTGTTGCGAAGGTTCGAGGGGGTGATTGAGTGCATTTTTGGGGATCAGCCTTAGCGGCTATAGGGATGGGGATCAGGATGGATGATGTGTGATGTGCAAACATTGACATATGTGTCTTTTTTGTCAAGATTTGATATGTGACCCCATGGATGTTCAAAAAGCTCCTTGCAAGAGAAAGTGTATTAAACATTTCTTCTGGTATCTATCAGAGACCACTCCGGCTGGTTTTGAGGTTTTGGACCTGGCAACAAACGAGGACTGGCTGAACATGGAAAGACTGTTTGGCAATATGTTTTTTAATTGATACGATCAGTGCTGCGATGGGTTCTCAACACGCTTTCAGGGTGAAAAGGGAGGAGATGTTTGTTTTCGGCACGGCCTGGTCTAGACATGATTCTTTGGAGAATGGACTGGTTGGGTCGCTGGTTCCGCGCCGCCCTGTCTCGCTGGGTCGCTGGAGACGGTCGGACCGTCGCATCGTGCCACGTGGCCGATCGCAGTCCGTGGGGATGGACGACTAGAAGAAACCGACACGCCAAAAGCACCAGCAGAAGCACGAAGAAAGATGAACAACAGATAACAACAGTAGATAGACATTCCTTAACATAATATATATATATATGAAAAGATGTCCAACACATTTCAACACCATTTTTTCGAGTGAATTCACTGAATTCCACATAAGACTATTTCCATCCGATGGTCTCACCTTTTTTTTGGGCTGCAAAACGAAAACGGTGTCAGGCTGAGGAGTTCTCGATCATGGTGTATTCCTTGGGGGTCTTGAACTTCAGGCTGGAGACTGGGACATGATATCGTTGAGATGATATATATATATATATATCATATGATAGAATATGGGAATTGTAGATTGGGTCTTACTAAGAGCATCCTATTGCTGGACAACCCTTCACTCACTCCCACCGATCTAAGAATCAAAACCGGCCGAACGGTGTCCCTGTAGAGTTTGGTGGCATGGAGAGGTGTCAGCTTTACTGTACTGTTACTGATACTATTACTATTGTTATTCCTATTACTTATTACTTATTACTTATTCCTTAGTACTACTACTACTTCTACTACTACTACTACCACCACCACCACTACTACTACCTCTCTACCTCTACCTCTACCTCTACCTCACTACTTTTACTACTGTTGCTGCGGCTGCTACTACTACTGGAATATGTAGTTTGATCTTTTTTGATACTCCAGGAACAATCTTCTTGGTGCGTTATCCAATTGATTTTTGGGATGCCCGTTCCATGGAGTGCTAGGGTGTTGATTCTTTCTTGCCAGTGAAGTGACAGCTGGCCAAATGCTGCAGTGAATGGACTGTTCGATGAATGGATGCAGAAATGGGGATTCCCAGACACTCTAATTATATGGGACTGGAATCTATCAAAATCAAAGTGTTTGGGATTGAATACCTGGAAGTCTACGATGCAGCCTGCCTCCACGTCTCGAGTAGGCGAGTTGGCGCTCAAGTGACGGTGAATGACACGATGGGGTCTGCGGTTGGCTCAAGGGTCTTACTTTCGCTACCAATCTTTGAGTCAAGCCGGATGAAACCTGTGACTCCCCTAACCTTGTGATCTGAGCTCCACTTGCAGTGTTTTCGACTTCGCCCCCGGTCACCGAGTCAAACGCGGCGCCTTTATTGGGCGCGAACGGAACGTGGCGGTCGTGGAACGACCGGTGCAGGCACCACGATTTGCTGGCACACGTGGTGCAACTGGTGCCTGCAGCTTTGCCCAAGTTCACCACGTACGGAGCCCAGGATCATGTAGAGTGGGGAACGGCACTTTGATGATCTGGTGAAGACATCACCTAATCCTGCTGCAAGGGAACAGGTCGGAGCATGTTTTCTATGAGATTTGACGCTTGGGCCATGAGATTTGGTTGCCCAGAGGCAACAAACACTGCTACATGTTTTTCTTCGGTCCAACACCCTGGTTGTGATGGTTAAAACCCGGCGAACGAGTTGCGTCCTTGCCCTTGAGTGATCCACAACTGACGTTTGGACCCAAAGGGCAAACTGGATGTTCCTGTTTGCTCCGAAAACATACCAATCGATTGCCTCTGAAAGGTGAGACCTGAGAAAAAGGTTCGGCCTCGGTGGAAAGGCCCCATTTTTGTGCCTTCTAAATGTTGGAAAGGCCTTGAGGAATTGAGCTTCTAGCGGCAGTAGGTAAGTTCTGGCGGTTGTACTATTTGGTACCCGTATGGAGGTGAAAGAAAGGCTCTTCCTGAATCACCCGCAAGTGCTGTGGCAAGTGTTGTGGTCAGTGTCCAGGGATATTGATGGGTAACCGGTAGACGGTAGACACGTTTGATCCATCAGCAGAAGGTACACCTCCACGTGGAGGTGTACCATCTACATTTGCGGAACAAAAAAAGATGACATTGCACTACCTCGCTTTGGGGATGGTGCACCTCAGCAGCACAACTTCCTAGCCTAGTATGGCAGTCAGCAGCCTGGTTGTGGTGGTTGAGGAAGGTTTGGCGCTCCTTCCTTCAAAAATGGCTGCCTTCCTTCGCATTGGCCGAGGCAAAACATGTCCAACCTTCTGCACGGACTGGGACTTGTCCTGCCCTCAGTTGCTCCAGCTTTTAGCTGTTTGGAACGGTTCATTGGAGATCGACCCGTCAACCCCAACAACATTGGTCCTTGCGCTTTTTTTTGGATGGTTTTTCCTGCATGGCATCCACTCCTTCAATTATATAACAAGTAATTACGTCCTGATGTCCTGATGTCCCAGTCAAAGTTGCGGTCGCTTCCTGGGCTCGAGATGGCTGCGGATGTTGTTCGATCCTCTCTCACCTAGCTGCCGACCTGCTGCATGTCGGAGACACCGAGCTTCGACCATGAATCCATGGGCCTTCCTGAAGATCACACCTCCTTCTCGGAGGAAAGCCGCTACAGCGAAGCCCGTGTTTCATGGCGTCAAGATGTGATGAATGAGAGGTCTGAGAATCCTCAGAGTCCAGAAACCTGGCTGGGATGTTGCTAAAACACATATTGATTGTTGATTTTGCATTTGAGTGAATCCCTTTCTGAGGAATACGTGTGTGTTTTTTCCCGCCTTCCTGGCAAGCAAATGCAAGGAAAGCCCGGAGAGTTGGCCATCCGTCACTTCAGAAGGGCTACATCCGGTGACGAAGAGCGTGACTTCGGTGTATCCCCAGGTGCTGCAGTTGGTGACCTCAATGCAGTTGACACGACCCGAGATCCTCCGAGTGACGCCTGCATATCGGGCCTTCCAGACTCCCGTTCTGAAGGTCCGTCACTTTGGGGTTTTGGATTCCAAAGGGCAGAGGTGGTCAGAGATAAGTCTAATTAATCCGGTCCACCTATTAAAAAACACGCCCCCCCCCCCCTAATAAGGAAACCTCGGTCGCATTTTTTCTAATAGGGGGTCCCTGAAATCGGGGGGTCCAAAATAGGGTCACCTGGGAAGAGCTTCAAAACCAAAAAGTAAATCAGTAAAATTTTATACAAAATCCTTTATTAAACTCGTGGTAGAATTGATGCATAAAACAAATAAATTGTCCGAATATATGCCAGAGAGAATTCCGGAGTGTATGCCAGATAGAATGCCAGAACATATGCCTGATAGGATGTCAGATTATATGCAAGGGAGACACTTCCTTTGATGGCAGAACACATGTCCGAATACATGGCAAAACACTCATCAGGACCGAGTTCGGACAATATGTCGCAGCGCACGTCAGACTTCATTCATGGCAGGACAAATTAAATTAATGTCAGAACACGTGCCAACAAGGACGTCAGAACACAGCCTAAAAGATGTGCCCGCTTTTATGGTATTTGATGCGCCTGAGCACATACAAACAAGCGTCAGCATGGCGGTGTGGCCTCGGTCCGGTTCAGGTGCGGTCCAGTGAAAATCTTAGTAGTGGCCGAGCCGTAGTGCGGTCCTTTGTGCTCGCGGTCCTCCTCGCGGGCGGCTACAGCTTCGGCTGCAAGGCGGATTTGCTTCATCGATGATGCAAACAATACTGTTTCTGACCCAGCCACGTTTCTGTTGTGCATATGACCGTTGACAGGTTCATGCTTCAGCGCTCTAAGCCGGTATTGTAACCACTAGAGTGGACAATCACAAATGACATAGCTTTTGCGAGTATGGACAACCACACAGGTCTGTTGTGTGATCCCTACTGGGTGTGTTGAGCATAGACCCTTAAGGGGGGGCCTCTCAGTGATCATTCGTGTTGCCAGCCACCTTCTTGATCAGCCGCTTGCTCGAGATTGCTGACACGATGCTGCAGAGCACACTGAAATTACATTTGAGAATGTCATTCCATGTGGCTAGTGTAATCGTCTTTAGGTTATAAGTTATAAGGATTCACTTTTTTGTTTCCTTCTTCCTCTCCTGCTGTTTCTCTTCTTTTTCTAGGTTTCTCTCGAGGCGTAATTTAGGTTTCTTTCATGTCATGCTGCTAAGTAATCACTTGTCGGTCTCACACTGAGTAATTCACGAACGGTCTTGCTTTCTCTTTTTCTGGATTCTTTCGTTTCTCTCGCTTTAAGGCTGGCCCTCGGGCTGGTGCCTTTCACCCCGCACACACCCCACATTCTTTCGTTGCTTTCTTCTGTTTGTTGGGTTTTCTTTCAGGCTTGTTAGGTTGCGTTTAGGCTCATTTAGTCGATGCAGTTTCCCCCCCACCGCGGAGCAAAAAAGAGCGCCAGGGAGCGCCGATGCGGCGCTGTGTGTGCGTGTGTGTCACCTCCTGTATCCAAGGGAAATGACCACTTTGCTAAGTAACCTACCATTGTACAGACTCGCAGGGGGGCAGCGATCCTTTCAGCAGACACTGCCTAACAAAGACACTGCTGATCGGATATGATATTCGGAGAGGACGCTTTCTTAATGTACCTGCACAAATTTTAATTGGCATCATCGATGATGTACACCACATTGTTTCTGACCCAGCCACCTTTCCGTTGCGCATATGGCCGTAGGGCTCTAAGCCGGTATTGTAATCACTAGAGTGGACAATCACAACTGATATAGCTCTTGCGAGCATGGGTCTAAGTGTGTCGATTTCTCCAAGTTGACACTGCTGAAACACCGCCTGCAAGGAGATGGCCTTTCAAAGGTTCTGACCCTCCTTGTGCTCTACAACGGTCCACCCGCCATTTGCTGCGGCTCTTTCATGGCCGTACTGACCACGATGCTCTTTCCGCTTCTGCCTGATGTGCCTGGCCTCATCCGAATCCCTCACATGCCGCACCTGGAGTTTTCTCTTTGGTCCTTGTGCACTGGCTTTACTTGCCCTGTCTTGGCATTTCTTATTTGGCGCCCACAGCAGCGAGTCTTCTTCGACCGGATTTGTATCAACCAGATGGACAGCGGAGAGAAGCAACTTGTGCTTGCTGCTGGAACATTGTTGGTCATTGGCTTGCTGCCTGCGCTGGCGGCTATCACGGCCTTCAGGAGAATCACGAGCAAATCTGATCTGGTAGCCAAATTTGTTGTCTTTGGTATTGTAGTAACACAGCAAGCAACTTGTATTGGTTGATAACGGTGCCCTGTGGTGTGTGTGTGTAGCCATAAACGAAGCAATTTTTCTCTCCAGACAGGGTAGGTGAGAGCCTCACTTTCTCTTTTGGAGCCAGGAAATATTTCCGATCTGTGGATGTGCTTGAAGATCAGCTTCGTAGAGCCGATTGGAATACCACACGATGTACCTGCTGTGATCATGGGCATGTCGCGCCCGACGGGCGAGTGATAACTTGCGATCGGGTCGCCGTGAAGGAGTGCATCGAGATTTGGTTTGGAAGCCCTGAAGCCTTCGAGCAGTGTTTGCAGTCAGAAGTGCTGGAGACCTTGACCTCGAAGTTGCGAAAGGGCGCTTTTACCAGGGGCTACCTCCACGCCATGACGTGTCCCGTTCTTTGGGCCTTCCAAGACATTTTGGCATCTTGGGTACGGAATGCTCAGTGGGATTTGGCACTTGAAGCTCTTCTCTTTGGTCTTCTAGAGTCTTGGACAAAAGCTGGTCACCGGTTCAACCTGTTTGTGTATTCAAATGTTTTTCCACAAAGAGACCCTGACAGGTCCCGAAAATTTTGCAATGTCTTCCGGTCTTATAATTATATAGTATCCGTGTCCGATAATGTATATCAGAATTAGTGTATAATATACATTAGTTACATACTCCTACCTTTCCTTCCTTCATGGTTTGGTAATGATCCTTTGGATATGTATATATTTATATATGTGTTATTCCATGCTTTTGCGTCCAAAGTGAGGTGTGGTGGCTTTGGATTCCTTTGGTGTTTGACTGGTTTGTGTACTTTGCACGACAATATCAGCAAAAGGCCAGCACGTTTTGGCGCGACTTGCTCCAAAGCATCAAAGTTGTCCTGCTGACCTTGCCAATGGTACTTGTTTTTGGAGCAATCTACTTGGGCAACCACTTTGTGACGAGTAAATTTTTTGGAGCAAACAATTCCTATGTGCCCTTATTGACGTTTTTCCTTGCAGTGCTTTGTGCAGCCGCAATCTCACAGCTGATCTTCCATGCAATGGCAAGGCCGGGAGCACGCTCGGTGAAGCAATGACCAGAAGAAAGAAGCGCTCGTTCACCGCTCATTTTGTATGCAATGCTCTTTCTTCAGGATTCAGGGATGAAGAGAGAGAATCTATGACCCCGCAAGTGGTCGTGAAAGCAAGTGAAACCTTGTGATCCCTTGAAAAACACATGAATCACCCGATCCAGAGGTGCGAACTCTTCATTGAACTCGTGAGCGAACTCTTCACCCACACGGTGAAGATCCGTCTCCGCCCGCGTCAGCCAACCGCTCGTGCAACCCGACCGCGCGCGCGGGTCTCCGCCGCAAGCCGTTCCGCTCGTGCATGGTCCTCCACCGCCGAAGCAGCCGCCAAACTGAGGGTCTTGGTCTCCCCAGTTGGTTCAAAAGGGCCGATCGTCGGGTCAGCTCGCAACTCTCCGAGGTCAGCTTCGACCGAGACGACGACTTTGTGCGTCACGTGTGCGACCACCTCAGCTCACGCTTCGACCAGGCCACAGCACAGGAGACCGGGACGTACCTGTGAAGTCGCTTCGTGCCCTGAATCACTGGTGACCCTGTCTGGGTGACCCTGGGGTCAAGGGGAATTGGAGCACTGAAAGTGAAAGATTCAATGACAGCAACAACGAGAAGAAGAAGAAGAAGAACCAAGAAAAAGAACAAAGAAACTATAGAGTCTATAGAGCAAGAACAGCAAAATATCTCAATTTTGTTGGGAAACCATCCTTTAGCTTGGCTGTGTTTGGCAGGTTTGAGATTTGCTCTTAGATGTGTTTGTTTTTTTCCATTGCATATTTGGATATATATATATATACACAGTATGCAAAAAGTCAATCGGGCTTCAGCTGTGTTTTGATTCATTAGAAGAGGGATCGGGATTGCAGAAGCCCTAGACAGTGCAACGTTGTGGTTCTTTGTAGATTTGAGGCCTCGATAAATTCTACTGTACCCAGACACTCCATGGAATATATGCCTACATTGACCCCCCAAACCGCCCCAACTGATCGGCATATATGGCATACATGGAGTGTCTGGGGTATAATGCGGCTTTATGTGACATTGCTATGCGATTCACTGTTTCATGATGTCAGAACGGCATCGTGACTTGGGACATTTCCCATATTCTCTGACCCGTTTCCCAGTCGATCTTTGCTTCCAGATTTGTCCCTTAAAGTCCTTTGATTGCTTATTCCAAAATGATAGAGAATTAGTCTGACTAGTCTTTTGCATACATGCACTCTTGTTCTATGAATGGAATATCCATGGTGATGTCCTATCCATCCGTGGACAATCTCCATGCTTGAAGCGAACAAACCCAGGACATCGCAAATCCCATCACCGCGTTGATGCGGATGTGTCGCTTGGTGATGGCTGGAACATGCTGGAACACTTCTGGATCATGGCTGAGACGGCAATCCGACTATAAAATCCATCCGTTTGGATGGTGTTGCTACCCCGCAAGCTTTCTTCTCATTGCTTCCTGCCTCCTGAACCATGAGATTAATCTCTGCCATGTTAGATGTATTAGTTCTTTAGTATGTAGTGGACGCGTTGTCGGCACCAACCTCGACCGTTGACCGGTATTTTATACTCCATAGCGTCGACGCGTGCTGTCGTCTCCACTCTTGCGCCAGGCATTCCACACGAGCGCTTCTTCCGACAAGTGGCCGCCTACATCACCGCCCCAAGCTCTCGGTTGCCCTTGAAGGATTTCACCCCACAAGAGATTGTTGCTAGGCAGCAATGGCAATGCTGGGTTCTCAATGCTGAGGGGGAGGAGGACTTTTTCACAAACGACCAGTGGCCAATTGGCTCATCCAGGCTTGATGTTCCTTCCCGAGTTTTGCCCAGGAAGGTGTGTTCTGCATTTCTGCTTGCCTGAAAGCAGCCAGACCCATCCAGTAGGTTCTTATGTAATTACTTGGTGTTTTGTTGTGCGGAAACGGTCTCCTCAAAAACCGCTGTTGCTCAAATTGGCAGGCAATTTCCAGCCCCACTCGCCGGGGACATGTCCACAGTCGTACTCAAGCCGGGCATGAAGCGAGGGTCCATGTTTTCGATCCAGCTCTGTATACGTCATGTTCTTCAAGGGGATGATATATGACTTCTGTATACCTGAAAAGTTGACCCTAATAGACACATAGGATGACAATAACATACTATACATGATCAATCGTATCTATATAGTTATATATTGGCCCAGCTGGGGCTCTATGTTCCTTTTTATGACTGACGACTTTTCTCTTTGTCCACTTGGCGAATACCATCGATGTATTCAGATGGATTCAGACCTGGTCATTTCGATGCACTGCAGGCCAATACCATCTATGGCTTCGATGCACTTCAGGCGTGGAAGCGCTGGGTGTTTTTGTGCTGGGCAGCTTGAATATCCATATTGTGTCAAATGGGTGTGACGTAAATGACCACCAAATTACCACAAGGGTGCGTCAATTTACCTGGAATGTTTTTTTTGAGTTGGAGTTTGCGGTCCGAACTCCAACTCAGGAGATTGCAACCGTCACCCTGGTGGAATCCATGACCAGATCCATGTCGGGGTGCCGAACTTGGGATCCCAGAACAGCCCAGAACATCCTCTCCACCGGGGTGGCAAAAAGAATTTGATATGGAATTCCTGGTGGAGATATTCAGGGAAGCTCTTTCTCATTCTGATAGAACAAGGATGTGAAAAAAGGGTGCCATATGTGAGATTTCTTTACTTCCTCCAAAACAGGGGTCACTCAGGTTCGTCGTTTTGTCTATAGTGCCACCGGAGATTCTTAAGGGCAACACTCAGTCTCCCCGCGTCAGCGGCCAAGCATCCATCTTCTGACGCGACGCCGGTCCAAGGGTTTGGAGCGAAGGGGGAGCGTGGGGCCGTTTCGCCAGAAGACAGGGTCTCGGTGAGATGAGCCAGCATGGCCTGCGGAGACACCATGGTGTCATCCCCAGCATGGCCTGCTCAGTGACGGTTTCAGAGTGACTTTTCACTATCCCCAAGTTTGTTGATATTGACCCTCAGATGAATGACATCTTTGGGCCTTTGGGTTTGTGCCAAAACCACCTGTACAGTGAATGTTGCATTCCTTGTGACCAGATGACACTGTGAACACACAAGTTTTTATATTGATTTATATTATATACTGCATGGGCGTTAATTAACATGACCCAAGTCTTTGGTTTTGTACCAGGGATATGGCTGTAGGTGAAAACTTGGACCTCTACTCCCTGGTAGGTTGACCTCTCTGTAAAGTTATTAAATATATATTTAGTTACTGATAGTTACTATAGTAGTCTAAGTCTATTCTGTTCTTCCTGTGTCGCTCCGAGAGAGAGTGTCTCAGCTGGAACCTAAGCCCATCATCATGTGAGTTGGTCACACATGAAAACCCACCGAATTAAAGCTCCGCACTGTCAAGCGTGAATGCCCACGCCGACAACTTCGCAGTGGTCACAGATCTAAGTCTGTTAATTTTCGGGACACTGGTTTTGTACTCTCCGTCCTTTACCACGCGGACCGCGGACCGCGTGCCGGGACCGCGGACCCCGCGATGGCGCACGACCGCAGGTGTTTGACGTCACGCTCTTCGAGCAAACGCAGCGAGAGATCTCGAAGCGAGTGGAGGCTACTGGGTCTCGGTCCCGATCGAAGGACCATACGAAGCCGGGACCCAGGACGCGCCTGCCGCACAATGAGCGGATGGGCACGTGAAAGACACCATGGTACCGGCCGGAAGCACCCCTCCCAAAGGGTCAAAGGACATGAAGAAACACACCGAAGAAGACCCTTTGGTATCGACCAATGGGACTGCAGTCCTATGGATTATGGCCACCCCATGACTGGTGGTTTTTTGGTGGTGAATGTACAGACCATGCTGTATTTTTGCAGTCCCATTGGTCGCGTTTAGGTCTGATTTCGCCCCGGAAGGTCTCTCGAAGCCGCTTTCTTCGAGCATCGTTTCCACTTGCGGACCGTCGGACCTGCTTCGTCGGGCAGCTGCTCTCTCCCGTTTGCTGCTTTGGCCACCGTCATTGACATGACACGTGCATCCGAAAATAGAAAAAACAATCCGATCACCAGGTGACGCGCCAGCGTTTTGATCATTTTTAAGCTAAGGCTTCTGACGTTGAAACCTTTTAGCTAGCACAGACAGGTTGCTGCATAAAAAACATCCATAGCTGCATGACATGTTGCATCCAATGACCTCGGTATACCTCGAGCAGTCTTTATTTTTTTAATCTTTTTGGGGCACATCGTGAAGCAAGACTTCCTCCAGTTTGCACATGTTTGGGGTTTTTTGATGTTCTTTGCGCAGTTTGCTCAAGAATTGGTATCATCTAATCGATCGAAGTCGTCCATGTTTCGCGCACCGAAATGCGCGGGGCAGTTGTGTTGTTGTTCAGAAACGTTTTTTGTTCCGGTTCACAATGGTCTCAGATGCACTCCGGGGGGGCCTTCTGAGACCGTTTCCGGTGGTTTCCAGGCGTTTTCTTAGTTTCAAGACGCAGAACAGGTCGTGCGCGGATCATGACCAACACATGCCACTCATTCAGAATGGATCCTTACAGGTGCAGGGTTTGAGGGTACAATCCGCCATGCAGGGTCAAAGCATGCAAGAACCCTCCACTACTAGGAGGGTTCAATGATGGTTATATAGGGCAAGTTCTACTTTTGCCCAGAGTTCCGTGTCTGGTCCAGGGACTTGCCTGGTGGACATCAAAAAAACACCATCTTGGTGGACACCATGGGGAACGGACCACTGCACCCAAACACCCCAAGAGGTTAGGTCCTAAGCATGGTATACGTAAACATGATGTAGTAGATTATCACAACATGGAGTGTCCGACTTTTTCTCCGGATGAAACCAGATGAACTGGGTCCGTTTTCTCCGTTCCTGAGGAGTTCATTCCCCAAGAAGCGGCCAATGTGCTTTGGGCCGTCGCGAAGCAAGGCCGACCCAGGAAGCCGAAGTCGGTGCAGTCGCTGATGTGTAAGGGTAGGGTCGTTTTGGTATGATGGCCTATTTGGAAGAAGCTTCAGAGCTGGTTTCTGCTCTTAATACGTGTCGTGCCTAAAGACGGATGCTTGATGCTTGGAAAGAGCTGACAAGTCTGAGGCTTGGAAAATCTAAGTTGGTGTCCTTGCGTTGAGAGTGCTTCTTACATTTCGTGATTGGATCACAGCCCGAATTTGTGGTTGCAGGAATCGATGTGGAGCAAGCTGATGTTGATGGTCTTTGGATTTGTTCAAAAACATGACATGCACCTGACTGAAAACAGTTTATATTCGGCGGGGCGTTTAGTCTCTTCCCCATTCGACAAGCTGCTCTCCTCATCACAAGCATCTGAGATCCAGAGCTCAAACGACGATGTTTGCGGACATCCGCAGACATCGGTCATTCTGCTTGCTGCCCACGAGAATCCATGCTGCCACCCTGGGTCGAACTCCAAACTTCCATACGCCTCCTTGTGTTCGATCTACTAGGGAGACACCCTGGCCCGGTTTGGGGTATTTAGTTGATCTAGTTTCTACCAAACCCCCTGGAACGCCAGGGAGTGGGTCCTCTATACCTCCGTTCGGTGGGCCGAACCCACGAACGAAGCGACCTCGGTCGTCTTCGCGTCAGCACACGGCCTCAGCACCCGGCGTCAGACCGGTCCTCTTCGCACCTGAAAACACGTGGCTTTTGATGCTGTTGGTCTTTTGCAAAGCAAAGGACCTGCATCCAACAAAAACCACCGCGCGGAAGGTTCCTGTCGCTCATGTCGCTCGCTCGCTCGCTCGCTCGCAGCAGAGAGAGGCCTTGGAAGCGTCGACTTCTTCGAAGAGCTCTTGCGACGCATGGCGCCCTTCGCCGAGGCACCGATTTCCCGGTGGGATTTCGGGGTGAAAGGTTCAATGTGTGGTTTTGATTTCCCAGACACGACTCATGGATGCCAAATAATTATGCCTACATTGGGGTGGTGCCAGGGGGGTCAATCGATTGGCATATATTCCAGTCCAATTTGTTGTGTCTGGGTTTGGCATGGCACTCAACCTGGTTGAGTCTGAAGTGACGCTTTTTCGTATGCAGAACGACGATCAAGATTGTCGGAAGGATGATAGAATGCCGAATGCCACGAAGCTGGCTAGTTTGGAGACCTAGCAAACCAGGTGTAACATGGTGTAACTTCAATACATTATTAATTGCGATTGACTCGGGTATATATGCATGTATAACCCATTGGTAGCTAGCAAACGGTTTTGGAAGCCTTCAAAGGTGTTTGATCCTCCATAACTTGGTGGCACGTCTTTGTTACAGTTCAATTGTATCGTGCTACTTGATGTCCGGATGTGTCATAGGTTCTACGTTTTGGATATATGTGGATGAACTCATCATAAAAGAGTTAGCGCTTCTTAGGGTTTTTGCATATGCTTTCTGCACCCATGCAACAGCCTAGCAACCCTCAAAGAAACTCCAGATGGAGCTTTGTAGAGCTTCGGGGCTGACATCTTCGAGGGTCTCTCAGAGGCTCTGCGATCTACTGTTGCCACAGCAGGCAGAGCTTGCAGACCATGAAGCTCCTTGTTTTGGAGGGGTTCCTGCTTGGTATCATTTGACCATTGGTTCTATTTGGTTCCTGTGCATGCGATCAATGAGGCCCAGCGGCCCAGCGGGCCACAACGGATGGCTGTGGAATGGGGTGCAGAGGACGCGTGGGACGCGTGGGTGTCGCTGGGCTTGGAGTATTCAGGTCTGGGAGTAGACCTGTGATCCAAAAGCGGGGCATCGCGAAAGCAGGGCCCTCCGAACAGGCCTGCGAAATCGCCGGGTGTTGAGGGTAGACTCGACCACCTTTTTGGGGCAGCGTCTCCGTGAGCTTGCATCCACTCACGGATGGGCAGCTCCAAGATGGAGAAGGATGCTGGTGAGTTGGGTCTATAGCCTAATAGAGCAGAGGGGCTTAGAAGGTTCTTGTGGTTCCCCATAAGGGTTTGGTTAGACTCCATCTAGTATCCCAAGCATGGGATCCGAAGCTGGCTTCGATCTACTTCGGCGTGACATTGTCTCCCGATCGGTGCAGACCTCTCTAAAGCCGGGAACCGGAGCATTTCAGGACCTCGAGAAGCCGTTGGCGGCGCTGCGGCCTTGGAGACATCAACTTCCATCCTACGCAGCTTGGCTCATGACCTGGAAGCCTGTAATGTAGACTCTTGATTAGTAATATATATAGTAAACCACCCGGTGGTCGAATCAAGAGTCTACATTGCGGTATGCTGTACTTCATACTCCCCGAACCAGTCGAGACTGGTTCAAATCGCCTAAGTGGTGGTTCACTTGGAGGGCTTTGCATGGCAACAAAGTCCTTTGTGGGATTTAGAGCAAAGATGTTGAAGGGAGTGTTTTTCACGCCACCCACCGAGTTGAAAGTGGATAGCACCACCTGTTTGGTATTATTCGGAACATGGTCCACTTCCAGCTCTTGGGCGAACACCAAACAGGGCGATTCCTTTGAAGTGGGGTGCGCACAAGCTGACTCATAAAGACCCAAGAGTGGTTCCAGAGTGTTCAGTAAACACCCAGCACTCAGTCGAGTCTGGACGCTCCCTCAACGTCCCGGGAAGAACCCGAAACACCGCCCCAAGCTCCGCTGCCCCTTTAGCCGCCTTCCAAGGAGCGCTTGGACCGGGTCTTCCGCACGCGGTTCTTGTCGAAGATCGCCCAATTCCTGATCCTTGGACTTGGGACTCTTCGATGTCTTCTTGTTTGCCACACTGTCCTGTGCCACATCGTGTGCCACACATCTATAAACTATATATATATATAGACTATAGACTACTTAATGATACGTTTTATTGGGTTTTAAGGAGTTGATGAAAGCCATGGGCTCCAAAACTCTCATCCAGGTCGATCACATCAGATCGCGGGGACCTCCGTGGAATTCCCCAATACCGAGTCGCTCGGGGGAACGGCGACGGCCTGGGCGATGCATTTGAGATCACTGATGCATCGGCTTCAGCCCACTGATATGTTTCACTGCAATACCATACAGATGCGCAATGATATAGTTCGACATGACGTCAGCTTTTCCGAAGTACGTAGAGTGTGGCTTGAAAGCAAACGCCATGGTGACCGTGGTGACGGTGGTGTGAGAATTTGATGTATCATCCCAATGGCAAAGGCTGAAGTCTTCTTGGTCCACCAACAGTAGAATTGTCACTCTCTACAAAGTTTAGGTAAAAAAGGTACTGAGTCTTGAAAGGGCATAGATATACAGTAAAAGAGTGCATCGCTTCGCCTCTAAAACACTCTTGAACTCGATGTTCTACAATTTCAACTTTGGGACACCAAACCTTTTTCTACGATTCTACTTCAGCAAAAAAAAACTGCAGTCCACATTTAAAGTCATTTAAATTCAGACCATCATGACCCAACCGAAAAAAGACTGAGGATGTCCTTGTCGCCAGCCAGCAACATGCCATTGCCCTCGCAGTATCAGAAGGATTTCGCCGCTTGGGACCTCTACCAGGCCGGTGATTTTGATGCCTCCCATTGGACGCCGCAGCCACCAAGGTATTGATTTCATCCATGGCTTCATGCGACTGTAGCACTGTTAGTAGTGAGCCCGAGTGAGCCCCCATTCATCCCTCTTCAAATGATTTCGACATTGGCGGGCATTCATGGGGACTTGTAGGGTACAGTTTTCTTGGTTCACTTTCTTGACCAATGTTATGAAGCCGGGCCAATGCGCGGCCACGCCCGTCCACGCTGCGCCAGGTGGGCCCAGACTACACGGAAGAGCTCCTGCGCGGTGTGGGTGTCCTGCGACATCCCTGGCGGACGGACCAGGAGCTCCTCCGGCACTATGTGGGCAATGAGCCGGCGTTTGGGCGGCACTGGGAAGACGGCGCTGCTCCGTTTTGATTGGCCACGTCGACTTATTTGTTGATCAACACGTCCTTTTAATTCACTTAGCATCACTTAGTCATCTTAGCCCCATGCAGATCCCCACAAGCAGAGCAGCAAAGTGTCTTCTCAACTGCCAACTTCTACAATACTGGTCCTTATAGTATGTCATGGAATGTGGCACCTGTGCGTAAACCTCTTGAAAAGGGCCGTCCGTGTTCCATATCTCAATCACCAGCTGGCCCCTCAATGTCCCGTTTCCCACCTGTACACACCTGGACTATAGTGACTACAGTATAGTCGTTTGGCTCCTTGCACCTAGGACTCGTTGCTCTCGCGCTATGGTGAGAAGCTGCTGATCTCAGCATCCAGCCTGATCTCACCGGCGGAGTACTCGTAGAGATCCAAACATCCAAGCTGGGCCAAAACCAGTCGCCCAACCCTGTTCGTCTTGCCTTATTCCTTAAGCTAAGCGACCAGCGACATGAGACATGCGATGACCGTTCTTACAGGCTTCAAGACCGATAAGCAAAAGATCACTCAGTCACCACATCCGCCTTCCCCTGAGAACTGCAGGTGAGCGTCATAAACGTTGAAAGAATTTAGATAGGACATGATAGGACTTAAGAGTATGAATCTTTGCGAAAGGCAAACTGCGGTTGGGGAAAGCTTGGCGAAAGGTTTGGAGAAAGGAATTTAATTGTTGATAAATGGATTTTGTTGCGAAAGGGTTGGCGAAGGAGGTTTAGTTTTCAGTACAAAGCATGTCGTTTGTTCTCAAGCCCAAAGATTCCTGATAGCCAGGCGAAAGGTTCGCGAAGATACCGCGAAAGCAGTGGTTGCAGATTAGGAATGACTCCCCAGCCTTTGCTGATACTTTTCTTAGTCGGCGAAAGCAAAACATAAAGTGAAAGCGCTGCACAAGGGATTGGCGAAAGGTTTATTTATAGTCTTAATGAACGTTTCCGGATGGTTTTTGGACACCGCTCAGGTGCTTCCGGCCGCGCGTTGGGTGTCCAGCCGGCTCTTCTTTCGCTTGGCTTCGCCCAGCAACTCCGAGTTGCTGGAGGTGCCGTGGCTGGAACTCCCAAGGTCCAAGAGGCAACCTGGCTGGGGATGGGTGGCACCAGGAGCCCGATCAGTCCACCATATAGTGAACGACCGACACCAGGTAGGTCAACCAAGGATATGTGTAGAATTGTTTACGCAATATCTTGACTAAAGTCGCTAAAGTGTTGGACTGGTTCTTTTTGCTTTTGTTGATTGATCCTTTTGCTTTGGGATCACTACCTCAGAGTGGACACTTGGAATTGACGGCATCCCCGTGACGGAGCCAAACAGAAACATTAGGCTTGTGTCTGCCAGACACCGTTATTCTAGAAGTTGATCATCTTGAAAAAAACAGCAATCACAAAATGCAGCCAGAAAAACAAAAGCAATCATAAAAGCAAGAAAAGAGCAAAAAAAACGACAATCCCAAAATGCAGTTAGAAAAACAAAGGCAATCACAAAAGCAACAAAAAAGCAAACAACATTGCAAGCAAAAATGGAACAATACAGCATGTTTGCAACAAACAAGAACCCACCCGTGCAACAAGCAGCGTGACAACCAGTTCACAAAAGGAGTTACCTGGCAATTACTGACATAGCAAGCCAAGAAAGAACAAAAGTACTGCTACTGCTACTGTACCTGCGAGCGACTGGGTGACTAACTGCACACCCCTCCAAAAGAGCTCTGGGGTGGCTGACATCTACATGGTCCCTGAGGTTTCTGCACTCAGCCGGGCCTTCTGGTGCACTTTCTTGCACTTTTGGTCGCTGTTTTTTACTATTTGCTTGCTCTTTGTTCGCTTTTTTGTGCAAGAAAAACGAAAAAAAGAAAGCGAAACAAGAGTGCACAAAAAGCGACCAAAAGTGCGACACTTGACCCGGCGCCAGAAAACCAGTCAGCTGGGCTTCGGGGATGAAAGACCGTTGTCTCCCTCCTACCCGGCCCCCTCGCCAAGCTGGGCTCCAACGCGTTGAATTCTGAATCTGCAGTTAGTCTGCAGAGGCCCTTGCTAGGGACTAGTGGTGCGGGTAGTAGCATTGCCTCTATTGACCTTTTGCTTTGACCATGTTAAAGAGTGCTTTAAGTGTGCGCTTGTTTTTTGTTTTGTTTGTTTTTTGTTGCTTGTGCTGTTTTTTGTGTGCACATTGTTTTGCTATTTGTTTGTTTCTTGGTTGCTTTTTGTTTTGCTCGTGCTTTTTTGGCTTGCACTGTTTTTGTTATTTTTGTATTTTTTTCAAGACTGGCGGTTTCTAGAATAAAGCCACCTCTGGTCTGGCGGACACAGCATTAGGCCAACATTTGGAGCACGACATTCATGATAGATGTTCTGTAGGTGTTCTGTCGTTTTTTTGTTTCGGTGGAGCTTGTTGGATTTCCAGTATACTTGTGTCGAACCAGAGTGACCAACGGCGATGGTGAACTCAAGAGGTGGCGGAAGCCACAGAAGCCTTAGTAGAAGAGATGCAACGATAATATCAGTGTTCGTTCAACATTTCTTTGCGATAGAAAGAGACCAGGGAGGGTTTATTGACTAATGTATATTATACTTCTGCCAAGGGTGTTGAAGGGTTTTCATAGGTGAAGGTGGGGATCTAGCCCGAGATCTTCATAATCTGCAGAGTCCCCAACTTCTTCAACCAAAGTGGGTACAGAAACCCTTTTCAGTCGGGTCAAGGGAGTCTTCGAGTCAATCCCAGATCATCCCAGAAATGGGGGGCTAGACGACGCTACTAGGAGCATTTCGGGCATCGCTACGAACGGAGCAAGGATGCTACGAACGGGGCGAACCTGGCCTTACTACTACTAGCAAGAACGGCGCGACACGCCCAGGGCGCGCTGCTGGTGGAACCGGCGCACCCCAAGGAGGACGACGAGGCCAATCAACGCCGCTTCGGTGCATCGGCCACGTCCTGGCGCGAGGAGTTGGAGCTCAGTGGAGGCCGAGGGCGTGGTGCCGCCCAGGGTGGAGGAGTAAAGGTGGAGACGAAGAAAGGTGGAGATTGCACATATGGACGATGAATCTGATCCCGACTATCTATGTCTGGCAGATCTACCTACATTGGGGTTGGTTGGAAAGGGGTGAATCCATACATTGTAATAGATGGAGTGTTTGGAACACAATATGTTGTACCGATCCAGAATTGTTCATGCGCGGCTTTGGGGTTAATGTTTGACATGATGGCCATCTCTCATAAGTCTCAAGTCAGTGTGAGTGTTGTTTTCCTTTTTTGTAATGTTTAGTCCACCACAGTTAAGCTTTGAGAATTCGTGTTGATAAGGAAGGTGGTGTGTCCTTTGACCCTTAGAGAATGGGTGAAGCCTTGTCAAAGTACGATCTGTAGACCCTTCGGACACCTGTACGAGACGATCCATGTCTTTCTAGGGGAATTCTGCATTTGGCGAGGAACTCCACCTCCCCCACCCAACCATGGTCAGTGTACATCCACATCGAGGAATCGTTTCAGTTGGCTCGGGTTTACCCTCCAGCAGCGGACCACATGAACCCTGAAAAGTATTGGATGGTAGATGAAAATCCTCCTACAGTACGGGTCCGTTTTCACGCTCTGTGTTAGGATGCAGGGGGGTAACATGTTTGCTCTCAATGAATCAAGAGTGTCATGATGTGTCATGGTAAGTGTGTCAGCAATCTCCAAGTTATCTCAATACGTCCCAAATGATGCCAGTTCTTTGCTTGTACCAAACTAGGAAGGGTAGATGTCCCAACGCTCTCACTTCATTCAAAAAGACTGCTTGCTTAACCTGTCGCATTGACGCAGGGAACGGCCATGCGCCTTTCCGACCGGTGCTCCTGAGCACCTTCTTGGGGAACTGGAGGTGCCCTGAGAAGCATCAAGGGAGGGGCCCCTTCAAATGTCCTGTCAGTTTAGAGAGGATTTTGTGAAGAACTCATTGGAGCCCAGTAGCAACCCGCTGACACTTTCTTATGGTGTAGAGTGTTCTTTCATAGGATTGTTCTGCAAAGAAGAACTATAGTGAAAAAGTCCCTACTCGCACACAAATTTCTCCGGAAGTTCCATGTTTGGGAGAATTTGCAAACAAGGAAGGTCCTTCACAGCATGTTCCGAAAAACTTGGAAGGTCCCACAGATGGTTGGGAAAAGTGGATGGACTTGACATATATATAATATATATGTTGACTGGGAACCAGGTACCCGTCGACTGACCCAGGGTTGTTGGCTTTTGGGCCTTGCGTTGGGTTTGTCGTTCGAGAGCGAGCATTTCAAGGTCGCTTCCAAACCGGCCGGTGACCAGTTTACCTTTGTGTCACTGAAGAACCCGGGAGCTTTCTGGTCCCCAACATTCCCCAACAACAGTAGATCCCAAACACAACATGTGAGCATACCTGTTGTTTCCGAGGATTACTGTAAATGGAGTGTTTGGAGTCTGGGGATTGTTGATCATCCAGGGCTGTGGATGGTCTCTTCGTGGCGTGTGCCCTGAGGAAGGGAGAGGAAGGGAGGATCGTGTTGTAGGTAACCTGCATCAAACCGGAAGATATACAAGTGACCTCAGATGATCTTTTGACCCCCAGAAACCCAAAAAACCTGCACCGGCCGAGACGCGCGGAGGCACCGGCACACGGAAGTGGTCGCCTTGGATTTGCTGGTGGACAGAGTGCTCCAAGCGCTGCAGCAACGAAGCTGGAGGCGGGTCCTGAAGCTTTGGCCCAAGAGCTGAAGTTGGGCCGAGCACTGTGAAGCTGCAAGTGGTTGATCCAGATTGGCCTTTGAAGACGCTTTCTTCACGTCTTGGGCTTTGGGGTGCTGAAAGGCTTTGTGTAAGCTGAGTAGGACTCAGAGTGTGACTTTTGACAGTTCTTGGCTCTGAAACTGAAACTCAAGATTGAATTTCATGTGCATTTCTTTTAAGTTGGACTTGTTGTGTGGGCTCCAGTTGTAGTAGGCCCAAATGAAAGACCACTGGTGTTAAAGACATACCCTTTGACGAAAAGGGAAGATCCCACGGTCAATACCAATGGCGTAATTCTGGCATATATGTTTGATTTGTTGGCCTCAGTGCAATCCTGTGTATCCCAGGTTCAGGATGTCCCTTACAAATCTACGAACAAGCTTTGGTGTTGAAAGCATGTCGCCAATGGTAAAGATACCAGTGTATACATTCATACCCCAGGAGTCACAAAGGGGTGGTTTCTAGACCCATCCAGTGAGTGGATCATGGGCACCATGTGGGCACCCCTATCCTCCAAGTTCAGCACCCCTTTGTGACTCCTGGCCATGTCTTGTTCACTCTTCCCAGCCCTGGTCCCCGTGGTCGAAGCGTTTTCTGCTCCATGTTGGTCTTCTGCTCCGTGGCGGTCCGAGCGACGTCAGGTGGCATCCGAGACTTTGGGAAGACCTTGAGGGCGAGGCGGGGAGGGCGCCTGGCGGACCACCCAACCGCGGAGTGTCCGAACTGGGATGCCTTTCAGACGTGTTCGCAGTCTGATGGGGAACTAAGTGAAGGGAGCCGAGTGGCTGAAACCTCGAATGCCACTAGCAACCATTTGTGACCGCAAAGCACAGCGAGCTCATCCACTTTGGGGTGTCTTCAGTAGCACGGATCGTGGAGAAATAATGCGCCCCAAACGGAATTGGGGCTCAAAAGACTGCCTTTTGGACTGCCTGGGAAAGTCATGAATCCTTTTGAAACGCTCCAACCGTGGCTTGGAAGTGTGGTTTTCCTCCGAAAACAAAACAAAGATGCACTGGTCGGGGTCCGACCCCCCCCTTCGACCGGATGGACGAGTCGTTGCCACAGGTGGAGCTCTTAGTGCCTCACACGCCCTGCTTGAGCTGCGTGGGCGCCTTTACGCAGCTGAAACGCTGGGCACCGCGCCTGCGTATCGCCGTGCTCTACCAGGCAGCGCCTCCAGCGCATGACGTGGGCCTTTCTGGATGCCAATGGTGTGTGTGCCGGGACGTGAGGGGACGTGGAGGTGTTGATGAGGTTTGGCTGACTTGGAAAATGGATGAACATGGGGTGCTGGTCTAGAGTCAGAGGGACATAGCATTCTTTGCCATTTTTTTGGTAAAGACCGTTGCAAACGGCGAGGAGGGAGAAAGAAGGACACAAGGATGGTGGAGGGACTCCATTGAAGGAACTGATTGGAATGTTTCATCTGTGGCACGAGTGGTCAGAGTTGCAAATCAGTTTGAAGATCCTTTTGATCCAGGAGGGCTTGAACAACCATGCAAAGTATTCAAAACCTATATCATTTTAAGGGCATGTGGCAGTGAGTACATGATGATCCTAGTTTCATCCTGAAATTTCGGTCAGTGCAGTATTCAAGATTGAATGCCAATCACCGGATGGGAACCGAAGAAGAAGAACCAGCGTGAAGCATCTTCGCAGTTCTTGTCTCCCGTCGTGGTCGCAGTTCTCAAACCAGTCGTTACTCAACCCAAATCCCCGGCGTTTGCAGCTCGCAAGGGCTGCTCCTTCGCCTTTCGCAGGGACGCTTGGGACGGTGGGTCCGATCCCAGTTCGATCGATCTCGCGCGCAGGACTGGCGGGACTGGCGGAAGCTCTTGAGAGACACCGTGGCCCAGCGTGCGACGTGAGGGGCCTGGGATCCGCTCCAGCTGCAGACCCTGACCTCCTGAGGGGATTTCCAAGCAGGCGTACCCCTGGAACGCCGGCGAATCTGTCGCGGCGAAGGTGCCGCGGCGAAGGTGCCCCCGAATGCGCCGCAGCGAGAACAGCCCGGCCGCCATCGCAACAACGAAATAGGACGATGGAAGTTGAGGACGATGGAACATGGAAGTTGGTTCTGATAAAGTATATTGTGATGATCTAGCTTTGTGTCCAAAACGACTAGTGACTAGGCGAGACCCTTTCTGGTTGACCCCTTATGCATCAAGTGAATCCAAGTGACAAACACAATCCTAGCCCTAGCTGCTGCATTTCACCAACCCTTACTTGTGTTCATGGTTTTAACGCTGTTTCTATGTGTTGTTTGGACTTGCAGGAAGGGCAATGTCTCACATCACGGACGAGACTCCAAGACTCACTCACTTGCTTGAGTTGCTCGTGTTCACCATCATGCCTCCTGTAAAGTGTAAGAAAACATACAAACCCTCTGAAGAGGCCCATCCCAGAGGCCAAAAACAGAGCATAGAGATGCATAGAGCTAGCTTGGTGAAAAGAGACGGGTAGAACTGGAGCATGCACAAAGAATGCGTTCATACATTATGATGTTCAATGCATGTACTCAAAGAATCTCAAAGATGTATGATTGAATTGTTTTCATATAATAAAATAACGTAATAATCATGTAAATGAAATAATTCATATGTTGAGTTCTCATGTAAGTGAAATTATTCATATGTTGAGTTCATATGTTATTCATATGTATTCATCACGTATATTAAGTTTACTTCATATTCCAAAACAAACAATTCCCTTCGATCCTTGGTGGAGCTCGCCAGGCCACTGCACGCTCGGTAGGTGGCCCCAGTCACGCAGAGCGTGAGACAGACATGGTGACTGCTGACCGACATGGTTCATATTTGGCCTTTATTCATAGCTTTATATACTTGTTGTTCAAACCGAGGATCCTATGATTGTTGTTTGAATGTGAACGTGAACAATAACATCCAAAGTAACATCCAATTATTTTGCTTCCCATCCACTGAAACCATGAAATTTCAACCTTTGAATGGCACTTTCCGGGAGACGAGATGATGTGTGAACTTTGGCATTATCACGAAAACCGGCATATGTTCAACCATGACATGTGTCGAACAAGTTAGTTTGAAGCACTGTGTCGGTCTGAAATAAAAGACTCTATAGACCATCACCCCAAAGCTGGATGCCTGAACCAGAGGTTTCAAGACTGAATTCCATCCATTTCTGAACCGCATGTTCTACCAAACGACAGTCCTTTTGGAGTTGTTTTCTACCAAACATCCCCCACTCAATCCCAGGCCCACCAACAAAAATATGATAAACAATACTTTTGTACCAGGGAGAGGCTGGGGACGATTCCTCCGGTTTGCATCGAGACCTGAACCCTTGATGTCACCCGTCGGTTCAACCGAGCCGTGCTCGCCGAGCAGTGCGGCGAACGAACCAGCCGCGCTGGCGTGTTGTGGTTCTTCTTGAGCATGTCGGACATGGTCCAAAGCTCTATGACTATATATATATATATCTTGTTAAAGCTACATGTATAACTATATATGACTATGTATATATATATGATACTATATATGATACCATATAGAATTTATATATGGTGGTGTGCTTTAATATGAGGACCCCCCTAACCCCCCCCCCACCTTCGATCGGAGGACTCCCCCCTAACCGTCGTGACCAGCTCCGTTCGATCCAGGCCTCCTCAGCCTCAATGGCCTCGATGACGCAGGACGCGGCAGAACCGGTCTTTGGACAGGCCGCTTTGTTGGGGACTGGTGGGATAGTATGTCGAAAGGTCCTTGTAAGGAAAAAAAGGCACAAGCTTCCAAGGGCGGGGATTGATCATGGGCCGGCTCAAGAAGAACGCCTGTTCTCAGAGACACTTGTATGTAGGTGGCCTTTAGCATAAGGTCGAGTTTTCGGAAAATCGAGATAAAGGGCACAACGCTTTCATGGACTGACAAACTTGCAGGCACTGCCGCTCTGCGCCAAAGTGGAGAGTCCAGCGCAAACTCGAGTGCAGCCAGACACCAGCTTGCCTTAGTGTTTCTTTTGCCCAGTCGAACCAGTTCCTTCTCACAAACAAATGAGCAACGTCATAAACCTCTATGTTATGAAAGAATTTTGGCAGGACTTAAGATTATGAATCTTTGCGAAAGGAGAACTGCAGTTGGGGAAAGCTTGGCGAAAGGTTTGGAGAAAGGCTCTTAATTGATGAAAGGATTTTGTTGCGAAAGGGTTGGCGAGAGAGGTTTTCAGCACAAGCATGTCATCCAAAGATTCCTGATATCCAGGGGAAAGGTTGGTGCAAGGTTCGCGAAGATGTGGCGAAAGCAGTGGTTGCAGATTAGGAATGATTCCCCTTTGCTGATATTGTAGCAGAAACTCGGCGAAAGGGTTAGCGAAAGAGGTTGTTGGGTGAAGTGGGTCGGCGAAAGCAATACATGCATGCAGCCGCGAAAGCGTTGCGAAGGGATTGGCGAAAGGTCTTTATAATCTGGCTCAAATGCAGCACTTTTTCCGAATAGACCCTAACCTTCCAATGCCTCAATACTCTCGCACAAACACGGATGAATATACTCTCGCACAACACGGATGATCCATGAAGACAGGGCGCCGAAAAACTCATGTAGAACAAAGAACTGTTTCTGCAAATACGATGGATGTGAATACGATGGATGTGGGTCTTATCCAGCATCCAGCATCACTGGTCGCTCACCACCGGTGAGACTGCCAGCCCCGGTGAGACTGCAGGACTTGTCACTGTGGGCGAGGGTGCCCAGACCAACGGAAGTGGGTGGAGGCTGCAGGTGGGGTGGAGGATTTCCTGGGGCCATCCAGGCCATCCTTTTTCCAGTGCGGCAATCAGAAGGAGGAGGAACCATGAGGACCCCATCTAGAAGAAATCGAGAACAATCCATCTCGTGCCAATACTTGTAAAATATGTGAAAGATGATCTACACATTACTGGTCTGAAGTTGGTTCGTTTCGCTTGAATAGGAACATGCACCCTCTGGCAAGCGAGCCTTTGCCTTTGGCACTTGTTTTTTGCTAGGGCTAGGGATTTCTTCCATGCTGAATTGTTGCATTTTGTTGGTCACCCTCGTTTGTGACGAATGTTTGACATGTTTGACCAAAGCATCTCTGAGGACTGGTGGCGAGACGGGCTGAGCATGGCGCGTGCACAGGCGGAGAATCAGTCCATGTTGGTGGCACTTGCCAGTACATAGGAGTAGTCCAAGGCACAACCCGCTAAAACGCTTCCAACCTGCACTTCTTGAGCAGAGGGAGTGAATCAGCGGATTCTTTTTCACCGGGCAAGGTGTGCTCCGAAGGTAGAGCTGAGGAGACTCAAAGCCAGCTGCATGTCACCTCAAGCACCCCCAAGTATGAAGATATGTGGATCGCTGGAGAAGGAAGTGCACTCCCCGGCATGTGCCGTTGCTTTATTTTACTTTCTCCAATGAGTGTCGATGAAACATAGTGAAAAAGCAGTGGTTGGACCCCATCGCTTAGCGGATGGAGACCCACCAAGTGCAAGTGGTGGTGGGTGATGTTCATTACAATATTTATTTGTCCCACTGCCATACTTGATGCGTATCATTGGAACACCAATCCTTGAGACGTTCCCTGATCGACCTGGCTAGCAGAAGACGTTGCTCCCTCCGATGTCAAGTTTGAGCACTGCTGGACTCCGGTCATGTTTCCCCTGAAATTGGTTGCTTTTGCATTCCTCAGAAGGTGAGGAAAACCATGGAACACCATTTAGTATATACATAAGCAGATTCAAAAGAATCATGCAATCTCTCCCCCAGGTTGATTCATTGAATCATTGCACAAGTTTAGGCTCATTCATCCTCCTTCATCCTTCCTTTCGTGGGAGACCGGTATAGTCGGCGGCTTTGGGGGTGCCCCACATGACACCGTCGCTGCCCAGATCTTCAGCACTGCGGAGCTTCGGAAACCCGTGACCGAGCTGAAGGGTGTGTGTTAAAAAAAGAAAACACCGCCCTTCAGAAGTGGATGTCCAAGCTACGTGTTACTGAACAACCCTGCTTGCTGTTTTATGTAGCTGCGGTTCGCACCCTCATGTAGCTGTGGGCGAAGATTTTGGGACGCGAAGGGGCACCGCTGTGTTGAGAAGTTCACCAGCTTTGTGGGGAGAGTGTAGGAGAGTCTTGTGATTGGTACTCCCCACCGGGTGTTTCCGTGCTCGCACCATTGCGTTTGAGTGTTCCTGCCAAAGTCTCATGATTTCTCCCCATCGGTTTGGACCAAGAAGAGTCTTTTTCCATGTCCATGTGGGGTGCAAAATTGGGAAACAGCCTGAGCCCATGGGACGGGGTGGGTGTGACCTCAGCGGCCTGTTTGGAGTACTGGGCCTGGGCGGAAATCGTGATCGCCGTCGCGTTTCTTCACCAAGGCGAAGGACTTCTATACCATCCGATTTGTCCTTTCACTAGGCACGTCGGGCCTAGTCGCTTTTTTTCTTTGTGCAGGGCTTGCACATAAAGGGATGGACGAGATAGTTGAAAGAGAAACACATCTCATTTCTCTTTGGTTCTTTTGGTTCGGGTTGTGATGTTTCAGAGTCATAGCCTGTCCAGAGCAGAAGAGTCATTGCCCTTTGCAGAGAAAGAAAGAGCAGACTTGAGATGCCGATGTCCAACCACGTCCTCAGAAGCTAGTCAAACCCCGTAACCCACCTCAACCACCTTCTCAGGAGGTAGTTGGAGCCCTAGGGAGAAAGGGAGCATGCCCATCGACAGATGTTGTTCCCCTCCAGGTCTATGATCAGCGCTCAAACTGTTGCTGTCCGATCGTGGCGGCATCCACTGTCTCGACCTACGCTCGCTGAACCCAAGTGATTCGAGACAAAGTCCAAGATCACAAGCTACCTACCCATACTTCATGATTTAAATAAGAGACATGACATGCAGAGAGTCATGTCAAATCTGTTGACGAGGCCAGTGGTACAGTGGTTGCCCTGGTTGCCCACTGGTTCGAACCCATTCTCAGTGTTCGAAGCCACAGCCTCCTCTTTTCAAGGGCGACACGGCCACTCCACCCGTGTTCTGCCTGTTTGGAGCTGTTCACTTTCTACCATTCGGATGCCAAGCGGCCTGGAAATGTAAAGCTTGGCTAGGAAAACAGCTTGGGCAAAAGGACACTATCCCAAACACCACCTTTGAAGCACCCCATTGAACAACTCAACACCTGGTCATCACAGAACAACCCCGAAAAACGGACCAAAATACGATGTGATCTCATCCCAAAAAGCGTCGTGATTAGGGCCGGAAAAGGCGACGCCAAAGAACGCCGAACTCTTCGTGATTCCGGCCGATTCGTCTGTGACCTTTTTCCAGTCTGCTTCGTGATGCTGGTGGTGGCATGGAACTCCCTCGCTGGAACGGGTCGCAGCTTCACTGCTGCGTTGACGCCGCTGGGCCGGACGGATGGGATGGCCTGGGGCCGACCTGGTCGGTGTCCGTGGGAGGTGTTGAGCATCTACGATGCTAGATGCTTTTGGTTCCGTTCTGTTTCGCAGCAGGTCAAAGACTGAATTTGCTACGTACTATCCAGCAAAGGATCATGCGATTTGAATTTGATCGTAGTTATTTATATATAACGAATCTCAAGGTTTTGAGGACGTGTTTTGCTCGAGCCATCGAGCCACTACCCCGAGAACTGAATGGTGGAATGGGCAGTCTCAGGTTCATGTTGATCCATCGATTGCATCCATTCCATATATTGCCATGCGAGCTTCAATGAAGCTCGCATGCCAGACGTTCGGTTCCGTTGGGTGCTCGCGCGCGAATGAAGATGAAGAAGCCCCAGAAAGACCTTCGAAGTCACAGAGCCCATTCAGCGCCGAGTGTGCCGCGTGCCGAACGGAGGAAGGAGGTGGGTGCCCAAGCGGGTGCCCCTGTCACCTCCACTCACTGGACTGGGACGAGCCAAACCACCCCGAGCTTTGTGAGTGTGTTGGAATGCTGTTCGCGTACATCGACGTCCGGACCCATGTGCTCCAGTACATCGACGAGCAGGTGGAAAACACGGTGGTTGCAAGGGTTACAGTTGGTCGGAACATAGGGGGGATGCTGAATAAGAAGATCTGAGGGTTCGGCTCACCATGTGGATCCTGGTTTTGCTTCTTTCTCTGTATTTCTACGTTCTTTCACATGTCCATTTTTGTTGCGGGGTGCGATGAAGATCAGCAGGTCCACATCAGATGCACTGACCTTTGATGGGTGAGGTATGACATTGGCCTTGTGGGTGAAGGGACCCTTCTTGCTGGGGACACCTTGCGGCCATGTTCGAGATCCAGTTGGATCCAATGGTTTGTTCCGGGTTTCGTTTTCAAGGAAAACACCGAGATCTCTAGATAGCCAGGTAGCCTTTGTTTCAAAGAGTGAAGACATAGAAACCCTGGATGATCCAGTGGCCTTGGTTTGAAAGATCTCAGAGGTTTGATCTTGAATACACCGGTCTTAATATATCATAATTACCTTTCTGGAGAGTGGGACGTTGTTGAGGCCTATGAACATATATATATATATATGTATATATATTGGGTGGAAGTTGTGTGTCCTGCACTGAACACCAAACTAGCAAGATGCTTCATATGCCGTTCTTTTGCGAGGCATGGAATGCACCAGAGATCACCAGATCCAAAAAATGACACCATACTAGCAGCGCTAGTATGACCATATGTTTCACGTGTTTCATTCCCCCAAATTTTCATTTATTTGAACGCTACATGATCTCTTTTCACGGTAGACGGCCGACGGTCTCCCATCACCACCTAGAGGTGGATCTGTGGAACTCCACCATTCGCCGGGACGGCTCTCTCCGAGGTCCAACATTTTCAGTGGAACTCAGGCGCTTTGGACGGTTGGCGCGCGCGACCGGACCGGGGCGCCAGGACTGGTTCCGGCAGTTCTGCGGTGAACCCTGGACACATTTGGGCACCGAACAAAGAACAAACCAGGAGTCCGATCTTGGAAGGTCTCACCTGATGACAATCCCAAAGACTCCATGTCTTGCATATATGCCTACATTGACCCGTACTAGGCAAATATGACAGTCCCATGACAGTGGTGTTTGGGCATGTGTCGCATGTGCCGCATGTGCAGAAGGAGTCTAGAACAGCGGACGAAAGGTGGCGGATGGCACCCGGGGGCGCCTGCGCTGTGCGGACTCTGCGGGCTGCTGCGCCGCTTTCGGCACCCCACCAGCTGAATCCCAATGACCCCATTTGAGTGGGTTCTGTTGCTTCTGATTCTTTTGTATTTGGATGACTGGCACCTTTCTGAGCATGGAGAATCACAAAAGAGGCTGATGTAGAACTGGGGGTTGGGGAATTAAGGTATAGAATGGTGTGCCGAGACAGTTGTCCAAATCCGATTTCACCGTTGATCCTGGTTGTATCCAATGATCAGTGTTGAGGTTCTTGCAAGAGTTTCACCTTGCTGTTCTTCAGAGTCCTTTGGCCGGTTGGGATTGCTACCGACGGTATGTGTTTAAGACCTTGCAGAGCCGCTTTGGCGCACAATCCCTCCATCACCTTTGGTCCGCTTCACGACTCCTTGAACCATCCGGAACGTGTCACCGCAGAGTCTCGCAGATCAAATTCATTTCCCCCACCAGGTCACCAGCTCACGGATGTTTCGCTAGCTTCCTCACTCATGAACAAAGAAACCCTGGAGAATGGATGTATTAAACCATGGAGACTACCATGGAGACACAGAACTGTTTTGAATCCACCTGTAGTCGACCGGATGAATCTCCCGTCCGCGTCCGCCGGTCAGGTGTTTGCCATCATCGCGGTCATGGCGTGTATGATCACCGACCGGGCGTTCCTGGGCAAGACCGTGAAGGGACCGACGAGACGGTGTGCTTGTTGTGAGACGGTGTGCATGAAAAAAGAGCCGGGGAGCTCCCTGTTTTGGTCTACTTATTTCCCTTCTGTTCAGGGGTGTTTGGGAGACCTTCCCTATTTCAAGACACACACTCAAGTAAGTTTCTGATGAAGGTAGGGCCGGACCCTTTTGGCTGCCACCTCAAACACCTTCGAAATCAGGTAGTTGCTCCAGTGGGGCATAGTAGGTTTGGGCCCGAATGCTTTTCGCATCCGGGGATGGGGGGACCACATCTGCCTGTGCAAACAGCTGGATGACCGGATCGTCCGAAGGTCCCACTCTTCCCGACTTGGGAGAAGAGGGGCCACTGCTTTTGCTTTTCATGGCTTTCAGGAGGGTGGCATCATCCCCCATTTGGCACTGAGTGGTCAAACCGGTGAAGCTTGGTCTCCTCCCTCGAGCCCACCAGCATGCGGCAGCATGCGCCACTCGCTCGCAGGTTGTACACGTGGTACACTCAAGACCGCATTCTAGCACGAGGTGGGGATCAAAAAGAAAGAACCGGCAGAGGGATTCGTGGCTCAGTTGCCCTAGGGCTCCAACTACTGTACCTCCTGAAAAGGTGGTTGGGGTGGGTTAGGGGGGTCTAAGTTCCGAGCCCCAAGGTGCATTTTTTGCCTGATGGCCGCAAAGCGAGACCCTTGAGGGATCTGCCAGGGACCCTCCTCCTTCGATCGACCCTCCGATGCGACTTGGATGCCGTGTGCGCACAGCATCCAAGTCGCACGGCGTTGGCTGTCTATTGAGATCACATGCCTTCCCAAGCGAATGTTGTGCATGTTGCAATGTCTCATGACCACATTGAGTAAAAGGAGTCATGAGGCTATATAACAGGAATGAATGCACTTCCAAAGCTCGTACCTTTCTCGTGTTTCTCTACGTACGAACAACATTAATCATTAAACAGCACACTTCCAATTCATGTGTATACATTTTGGTTCTGTGTCATGTTCACAAGTGGCTGCCCTCGAAGTGAAAAGATCAACAGCAAGATGTTCTGCCTTGTTAGTGGAGAACATTCCCTATTATATCATATTTTATTATTGATGTTGCCATTGTTTTCGAGCTCACCAAGGTTGAGATGGCATGACCTTAAGAATCGATGAACAGTTGTTGAGCCAACTCTCGGGTTCCCCCCGACACTGAAAGGAGAGTTCGTTTGAAGTGCTGACTCAGCTCACGCTGAACCCCGTCAAAGACGGCCTCGTTTGACTGCCGGGGCAGGAGATCCAGGGCAGTCAGAGACCTGTTGCAGCAATTGATGCTAGCTCGTCTGAAAACTCATCAAACAATACACTCCCTGAAACATGGAAGTGGACAACCCCCTGTTTTGAACATCGTATTCCAGGAGGTTATCCACTTCCATGATTGTTGGATCCATCATGTACTTGCGTGTGTGTATATGTGCAATATATAATATATATGTTTCTATATGCTGCCAACGGGCACAGTTAGTGGGCTTTTGCGCCGGTCCAGGTGAGCCCAGCAGCCTTCCGCAGTGGATCCCCGAGCGCCTCCGGAGGCGGACGGAGACAGAGACGGAGAGAAGTGAAAGAGACGGACGAGCAGCAGAACTGGAGGGAAAGATCGTTATGTCACGGAAAGCCTTAGGGAAAGCCTTAAATTACAAAAGATGATGGATGATTATTGTTTGTATGTTATATTTTTTAAAATGGTTATTTAAACTTAACTTTCCATAGAAGGCTTTTGGCCCCAACAATGGCCGCATGGAGTTTAACTAAACGTTCCCCAAGAATCAAGGACCCTCAGCCAAGGTTTGGTTCGGGTCCAAACCCTCCAGAAGTGGACGGGTCCAATGATGGTTAGGGTTGTTGATCTTGTTGGTGTTCTGCATCGTTTTCCTTTGTGATACATGGTTCGCGCTCTTTTTCTTTGGTGTGTTGTCCTTAGAACGGAGAAGTTCTCCCTTACCGTCCGCCGACGGAGGCGCACCGTTTGTCGCACCATGCTCCTACAGCGAGCGACCAACTCTCCGATGTGCTCCGCCCGAGGGATGCGCGCGACGTTCAGGTTCTTGTTGCGCTTGGGAGGCTACGAGAGTGGCTTGGCCGAGTGATGTGAGGTGGACGGGTGAGCTCCAAACAAGAACGTACAGAAGCTGGATGCTGGATGCTGGAAGGTTAACTTGTTATATACACATGACGACACCTGTTTGTTTGGTGTGAAGTCTATATGAACCTGAAGAATGCTTTTTTTCGGAGTTGTTGCACGAAGTCATTGCTTGAGAAAATCCCCGTCTTTCCGCCCGATGACCTGAGATACCCCGAAACCTGTCCTAAAACATCAAGAGGCCAGACCAACTGATCGACCGATCTACGTCAATTCACGGGCCCCATGACATCCGTTCGGATGGCGACACCAGCGGTCCCACCCAATCGCGCACACCTCAGACGTGGGGAGACTCCGAATCGCTAGGGCTCCAACTACCTCCGGAGAAGGTGGTTGAGGTGGGTGCCAGGAGGGTCTAACTAACCTCTGAGAAGGTGCCGTAGGGTACAGTCTTTCACTGTAAGGCTAGAGGGAGTCTGCAAGGACTTCATTGCCTCCAGAACTCCGTCGAACTCGCGAGGGGTTTCGAACCCGGGCCTACCTTGCCTCCACGCACAGCTGCGAGCCAATCGGGTCTCGCATGAAGCTCCGCACGCGTCGGGGCACGGACTTCGATTCTCACAACCACCGCTGACCGGACGACAGCTGGACTGCGAGCTGGCAGATCGCCCGCGGGCAGTCTTTCTGTGAAAGGTCAGACGCGAAGCCATGGCCTCCCAGTGTTTGTCAATTTAGTACAAGATTGCATTTCACATCACAGGGTTTGGGCCTTTGAAAAGACGTGGATCCCATATTTCTGCCTTTGGCCAGATCTTGATGGTAGTTGACCTGAGAAGTTGACAGAAAGCCCCCAAGGCACTGTCAGATCATAAGATCAATCTGTTTGCTCCTGCCATTATCCCAAACTTCAACAAACATCCCCCAGACACTCCATAATACATATAATAATATATATATATATACACGTCATATCAACCTACATGGTTGTGGTTGAAAAGGACGGGTTTTCCAGGGTCTTCCTGAACCGGGCAAGTAGGACACAGTCCCAGACACCCTCGAGTCCAAGCCACCCTGGAACGAGGAATGCACCGCCCGAGGTTCACCCGATCTGCAGGTTCGGCGGGTTCCGCCAGCGGTGGGAAGCGTTCTTTCTTTTGCACTCCATGGATGCCTATCATAACTTGGGATGGTTGAAAAGGGGGTCGAATAATATAAGCACCATACGGTATACAGACATAGAGTGTTGTTTTTTTGTTGGGTTTCTGGTGGATCGTGTGGCGCCGGGTCGATTGGCACCTTGAGCCAAGCCGAAGTGGTTCCCAGAGCTGGCCGCCAGTGGTGCTTTTGGTACGACCCCCCCATACGTCAAATACTTAAAATATGTTTTAGGATTTCTGGTTCACGTTCTCGTCTACTAAGTCTGATCAGACCTGTCGTAACACACCTTTGATTGGCTCTAGAAGTAGTCCTGGCTGACACGTCGGAGTGTCCGACCAGGTGTCTCGATTGACTCGATGACCAGTGTTATTCTGATGGGTTTCCAAAAGTGGTCCTCACATCCACTCATATTGATCCAATGGCCCTCATCCTCATCTGTCGCTGCTCCTCTCGTGCGTGGCCAGGAGACCACTCCTCAACGTTCCAAGATGGCCGCGGTGGTGTCCTCAGTGACTCCCCTGTCCAACGTCCTCATGGTTACGTGGAAGACCATGTTCTGAAAACCAAGAGGGGGTGAACTCCACTTCATTGATGGTTGCAGGGAGGGTACTCTACATCATATCTACCAAAAAATAACCAAGAGGTGGTGTTTGGACCCTATAAGGGGTGGCTAACAGATGTTAACAGACACCCTTAGGTCCTTAGGGTCTTTTGGTAATGTTGAACAACCCCCCTACCAGAATGGTGTTATATCTTGGAGATGTTCTCAATCAACCGTGTACGACGTTCGATTGATTAAGGTCAAACATCTCCATATATATATATATATAGAGGTCAAACATCTCATGGTCCTGAATCTGTGTGATTGATGGTTAAACTGTTTGCTTCACCATTGTTGCAGCAAACCCCGAGGATTCAGAACTATGGGACCCTGGGTGTCAATCAAAAGTTAAGACAAGTCAAGATGAGTGGAACGTCAAATGAGTGCGAGCCCACCCGAGTGTTTGGGCGAATGGACGAAAGAAATGCAGTAAGCCTCTGATGACGTAAGCGGCTGGAACCAGCATTCAATATATTGACCTTTGGGGTTCAGAGGGTTGTGACTGTTAATGACTCAGGGGGGGTGAATATTTTGTCAATCTACTGTCGTTCCAGCCTCAGGCCTCAGGGGTGTTGTTGAACTATATAGTGTGTTGACCAAACCCCTTGAAGCATTGGTTTTAGATGCCGAGATGCATGACCCATGCAAACGTCCAAAATCTTTCAGTGCCAAACAACGGAGACGAGTATCCCAAAAGAAACTCCCATAGACAGTTCGCCAAGGCTGTTTGAAGGGTTTGAATATTTGTCCATCTACGGTAGTAGCAAGAAGCTACTAGCAACAAGTGCATTGCTACTAGTAGCAAGTGCATTACTAGTAGTAGCAAGAAGCTACTTGACCAGCCTTGACCGGCCATGTGGGGCCATTGGTGTGAACCAGCCCCAGGTGACCACCAGACCGGGCTGGAAACACGTTCCTATGTGTGTTTTTCTTCTGTAGAGCTAGGACTTCTGTGGACACCTTCAAAGATGTGAGCAAGAAGGACGGTGTTGATTGCGTTTGTTGGGGACAGCTTTTGGGTGCATTCAATTGAGCCTTGATCCAATGATTTGTTTGGCCATAGCATTCCCTGTTCTTGAGGTGTGCTTGGCTCATAGCACCAAGTAACATGGTAATGATGCATTGTAATAGCACACTTCGTGCTCGTATCTTTGGTCCGCCATGATTATGATGTCTAAATAAGCTTTTCACAGACGTCAGTAAGCAGGGGCTCAAGTTGCAAGAGGAACAGGTTTGAACGCACTTTCCGTGGTTTTTGCCCTTTACCAAATTAGATCCTCTTCCGGGGGTCCTGGTCTTCAGGGTATGTGGCAGCTGACTCATTGAAGTTTGCTGACCTCAACTGCTGTGTGATAAGATGCTGTGGTTCTTCAGGCGTTGCAGATGCTGATCATGTTGACACAGCTGGTCACACTGCACGGCGTACAGATTTCAGCGTGGGACGCTAGGCATGATTGGATAGGGAGAGGTGCTGTCCGGGGTCACAAGACCAAGTCCTATGCTTCAGGATCTTCAGGTCTCAAAATGGATTGCAGTCCGAGGATCTTTGAGGCTTCCAAGAGAGGATCTTTCAGGTCCACTTCCACCAGCCCAGCTGTCCATCACGAGGGTCTCAAACTATCTCGCCAGCCCAGCTAGTCCGAGTCCAGATTCGCGATCCAGGCAGTTCCCAACCGGTTCGCTGGTGGTTCCGAGTCAAGACGACCCGACCACCGGGGTTTCTGGTCACTGGGATTCACTGTCGGATTCACTGGGTGATATGTTGTGCCTGTCGGCAAATCGAGAAGTGTACCGATAGCCGCGGGTGCCCCTTTTTTCAAGACTAGGCTGAGGTGGAAAAGGCTTTGTGCGGGTTATGAGCCCAACGACCCTGCACTAGGAAGGTAAGTCCACCCCACAGATCGTTGGCAATGCGAAGTGACAATCCCCAGCATCTGGAAACCTTCAGATCGTCCACAATGTGTTCAGGTCTGGGTCTGCGGTCTGAGTCACTGCAATGAAGATTTGTGAAGCAAAAAGGCCTCATTGTCCTTCAAACCGTGATTTTTCTTCTCACGATCAGCCACCAGTAGACGAAAGGCGGGATGTAGAGGTGTAGGGACTGTTTTTCACTGACAGTGCCTCCCGCGAAGTTCAGGCGTTGACCTGGTGACGGGAGACCGGGTTGCTCCAGGTCGTTCCAGGTCGACTGGGCTTCTGAGGCTCAAAGTACCAGCCCCACCGTCGAGCAGGCCGAAGCCGTGGCCGGCGACAGGTCCGTGGGTCACCGGCGATCACGGCGCCGGTGATGTTCCCTTCACCGAGGTGAAGGTCAAACGGCTTGCTTATGGTCCGCTCCAACGGCTGAGTTCTTTACAGCCCACATGGCTACCTGGATCCAAAGTGGGGGCACCCTTTGTTTGAACCCAAGAGATGAACCGATTCCTCGATATTCGGGATACCAATCTGCCATGTTTTGGGGGGGTCCCTCACCCAGAAGTGGAACATGGGCTCCTTCGAAAAGACCCCGTTCCTCTACATCCATCGTCGGGTGTGTCAGGTGTGTCCCGGTAAACCAGTAACAGTCCGAAGAATCAGTAAAAGATGCTCACTCTTGGTGGAAAGGTCTTGACAATTCTTGACATGTCTTCACTAGCCATCATCATTCACTGTGACTGGAATTTCAGACTCAGCTATCTTCAGCTATTTGAGGATGGGTCGTGACCCACCCCACCTGGAGCGGTTTTTTGGTAGTCCATCATAGGAGGCTTCACGTCGGTCGGTCTGGTTTCCATGGCATCCAACCGGGCACCCCTCGCCTCACCGAAGCGGCCGCGTTGGAACGAGTGACATCGCCCGGTGGGACGACGATTGGTCGGACGACGAAAGTGCTCTCCTTCGGCGGCCTTCACTCGGCCGACTGAAGCCTAAAACCCTTCAAGTCTGGCAGCAAGCATCTTGAGTTCATCCCCTTTTTTTGAATTGGTTCCTCCAGACTCCAAACCAGATGGACACCAAAAATGCTCTCCAAAAGATTGCGGATTGCCGCGGATGCCTGCTCTTCAAGTCTGATCAGAACCCTGGGACCCTTGGCATCTAAAATAGACTCTGACCTGGGAGGAAAACACATCTCCATCTGAAGGTCTCGATGTTTCATAGCTTCACGCTGGTTTGCTTCTACGTCCTCTATGTGTGCCTTGGCAAAAAAAACGAACATCACGCTGGAAGTGGAACTTCCTGGGTCCGTGGGACTGGGAGTGGGTTCCATAGTAGGACAGACAGTGGTGGTTTGTAGACTGTACAGTAAATGTGTTCTTTTACCCACATGGTGTGTCTTGTTACGTGTCCATGCTCATTTGCAACATGTTATCCCGCTTGATGATCCTCGTTGAATGATGGTCTATGAAATGGGGGTCCCATGCATCTATAATCGATGAATGTTTGGCGTTGGGTTGTGGGTTTAAATGACCAACCATGGAAGGGGGCGCCTTTGGTGCCAGAGTTTGGTGTCAGAGCATGTCATGTGCTTACCGCCGACCTGGGTTTGGAAGAGTGCAAAGGAGTTGAAGAAATGGGGTCGTGCTGGACACAGGCTGAGTGAACAAAGTCACTTCAAAGATTTCCGGCAACCTGCAGTGCCCCAAACGAACCGGTAAAAACACTTCACTGGTCACTTGTTGTCGATATGGAGCTTCGTCCACAAAAAGCAGGTTGCCAGACATTTGATGATTGTTGCTCTCCTGTTAGGACATTCAAAGCCTGTAGAAATGCTTTCAAAGATTGGTTTCTCTCCATGGACAGTTCTGCCACGATTCTGCGAAGACAGCACCAAAGAGCCTGGCCCCCCGCTAGGTCCAGGGTTCACGGGTTCAGGCTTTCTGGGTTTTTTCTGGTCCCCGTTTCCCGTGTTTTGGTGGATGCCACCGCTGCATCAGTGGTGTCGAGCAAGAAACTGTGCTTTTGCCACCCGAAGGGATATATATATATATATAATATAAGTCCACCCTTTTTATAAGGATCTTGGGAACATTTGGGCACAAGCTGTGGAGGGCCCAACTCTCACGGAGCGTCCAGCAGGAACGAAGGAAAATTGGGAACCAAGCATGAAGTACGCAGATTGAAGTAGCTCATTCAGGCCATACCGAGGGTAATCCTAAGAACAGAAAACATACAGCATTCCTTGCAGGTTTGAAGAAAGATCCCCATGTTTTACAGTAAGCCTTTTCAGTCTGTCAATCTGCAGACGACCAACAGAGATGTCCCCCTGTCTTCACCGTGCAATTGAAGCTCCACTTTCCCCGGAGGGGTGAGCCTATCCGGCTCGGGTTGGGAACCCAGCAGCAGTTGCCTCACCATGACGAGATCTTGAGGTTGTACCTGTTCTTCAGTTCAGCGCAGCTACGATACGACGTCGGGTGCTGAGCCGCCATCTTCAGATCTGTGCCTGATAGAGACCAGATCTTAGAACAGATGCAGGACTCAACAGAATTAAAAATTGATAGAAAATGCATAAAAGTCCGCCCGCGGTGTGAGGCGTTGTCTCAGTTCGCGTAAACCGCTAGAAGTGCTAGATAGCTCAAGCTTTAGCTTGCGGGTGTTGTTTTTTGCTTTAGAATGCTGTTTTTGTTGAGGTGTCTAAAAAGCCGGCAAAAAACGGGCAAATCATTGGCGATGTCGGCCATGTTGCCCGAGTAAGAACGCATTATTTGCATCGTGTTTTCTTGCAGCTGTGGCCTTCCCGAAAGAGAAACGAGAAAACTGTTGATCATGTGAGCTCTCCTGCCCGAAATGAATTGCATCATGCCTGTGCATGTGCGTGTTTGTACCTGCGGATTTCCGAGGCTTGAGTACAACCACGCCTATAGGGCCTAAGGTAGTCGATCTCTAAGACGGAACGTCGGGTTTTGTTGGGGGGACGCTGTTGAGCCCTCACCAAGTTGCTGTCGTGCAACACTTCTTCTGACCCTTCTTCTGCCCTGCCATCGTTCTTTCCCGGCTCAGTTTCGAGCACAAGTTCAAGTATCCGTGCGGGCGGTCTGAAGACCGCGATGCAGTGTGAATACCGCAGCTGCTTTTCCTCTATCTTCGTGCAGGTTCCTCTATCTTCGGGATGTCAACCTACCTACCATCATCTTTGGCAGCCATTTGTGCCGGTCGGATTTGTCCTGCGAGGTGCACCTGCTGCGAGGGGGTCTTGGCCTCACTCATAGCGTTCGGGATCCTGGTGGGGCAGACAGGGTCCACAGATTTCCACACACTGTAGGGTTTAGACTCCCTCCAGCAAACATGGAAGTGGACAACTTAAACGTAATCTTTCCAGGGGCCATGCCATCCGCTTCCGCGCTTCCATGTAAGTGCCCTCCCTCAAAGAATCATGGGCCTACCAAGTACCTTCAACTTCCATGATTGTTTCAGGGAGTGTCGTAAGCTTCTGTGTTCGGGTCTTGGGGGTTTTGCGGGGCTTTGCAGCTGGAACTTTTCGAGCTGGTTTTGAAGACGCGGTGTATTTGTTCAGAGAATTTGGCCGTGAGCCGGGTGGAATGATCCTGTGCCAAGTTCTAGGTTCTCACCTCAAGGTGGCACAGCCTGATATAGATTGGAGATGCCCGCAAGCACCTGCTGCCGTCAGTGTTTGTTCTTTGTTCAAAGGAGGTGTTCATAAAGATTGAAACGGAAAGCCATCTCGGGCACCACAAAAATTACATGCAGGCTGGTTCCAAATTATTGTCATGCAATTGGTCTAAGTAGATTGTCAAGAGGGCTCGAGAAGTATCAACTAACAACCACCTAACTACCATATAAGGCCTTTGCACTCTCAAGGCTTCGGGCATACTACACTTCTAGGTGAGCTCAGCTGAGGTATTGGATTCAAGTCAAGAACCCACAAGTGTAACTTCTTGGGAATATTGAAACAAGCATAAGGACCCAGACACTCCATGTATGGAATGTATGCCTACACTCACACGCCCCCAATGTAAATATTTATGCCATACAGTCTCTTGGCTCGTGTGTTCACACGCAACAGGTGAAGTTCGTCCCATGGCTCTTGTTCAAGGCTGGTGCAGGGCAAGCGCGCAGTCGTTGTTGGTGGCAGTCGCTGCAGTTTCTTCAAACCGGCTTTGCAAGCTAAGTTGGTGCGAGTTGGTGTGCAGATCATCCCCGCTTTTTCATTATTCCGGCATCGACCGAGAACGCGGCTTGATCCATGGGGGAAAGAAACTGCGATTTGGCGGATTCTGAATATTCCAAAGTGGTCGTGTGGCCTTGCTGTTGAACCCAACAACTTGAAGGGAGAGGGCAAAAACTTCTCAGCACAAAAAGAACAATGGTTACATCGGAATCGGTGACGAACACGGAAGCCCCTTAACCAGGGGTCCTGGTTTCTATCCCTCACTTTGTGTCACAACCGTTGAAAGAATTAAGACTCAAGTGTTTACACTGGTCAGACTTGGTCAAAGTCCATCACACTTGGACCAAGCGTCTCAAGCATATGAGGCCTACACTGCTGTGCCGTTCGTGGACGAGTTGCGGGTGTGGAGCCTCGTGCAAATCGGAGTTGGGAGAGGCGGCTCCTGAGAAGAAACCCTTTCTTCCAGAGAGGCAGAGGGGCGGCCACTGCAGGACATTGAAGTTTGCAAAGTTGATGACCAAACCAGGAGTCCCATGGAGTTGGGTGGTGTGACTCGTCCCATTGGGCGTAACGTGGGATGGGATGTGACTCGTCCGGGCCACCCCGCACCTTTATGGCACCGCACTTGGCTCCATGGAACTGGTAGATCCTTCGGTCTTCGACAGGCATCAAGACATGTGTTTCGTGATGAAACGGGTAACCAAAAGCTCGTGAAAAGGAAGACCAAAACCGCTCAGAGCTCCCAGCTTCAGCTGAAAACCAAAGGAATGGATTTGTCCCGTCCGTCGCTGAATGAGAAGCTGTTCTCTCCCCCATTTTCCGGAACGTCTTCACAGATGATTCTTTCCGGGGTTTCAAAAAGGAAGTGTCACTGATCATGTCATCTCACTTTGTTCCTTTTTTGTTGCGACTCAACGCATTTTTGTTCGACTACAGCTGTGATGAGTGGTGCTACCAACTCGGTTATCCTGAAGAACCCCCTTCTGAATTCTGCTGCTGCTGTGCCGTGCGCAGCAGTGTCCACGCGGCGAATACTCGAGGTCTTGACCGATTGGACGGTGACGAGTACCTCGATGAACCTCTTCATGTGGTTCAAGCTCGAGGTGCGGAAAACCCTCCACAGAGTCTGAGAGTTCAGGTTCCGGGATGGTTTTTGTGCAGAGTCGGCAGACCTGCATGGGTTTTTGACGCGCGGACAGACTCCTGCACACTTCTGATTGAAGATCCATTGGACAGTGGAGTATCCCATGACCAAGCTAAAGGATGGAATTTGCACGAATATGCCAAAGGGTAACCCCTTGCCACAGGAAAGCAACGCAGCCCCTCAGTCACTCAGCCTAGGATGTGTGTGTGTGTGTGTTGTTTGCTTGCTTGCTTGCTTGCTTGCTTGTTTGTTTGTTTGTTTGTTTCCGGTTTTTTCAGGGTGGTTGATGGTCAGATATGGTCATACTGCTAACGACAACATCAGATATCTTTCACGGAGCTTTTGGTGCACCCAGACGCTCCAAACAGAGCATAAATTCCACCAAAACCACTCCATATGATGGTCCGACCCCTCCATATGAGGGTCCGACCCAGAGCGTTTGGGCAGTTGGTGAAAAATCATTCAGCTTTTCTTCTGTGTCGCCCCGGGGTTGATGTTTTCAACTCAGACCATTCAAATTGCTCAGATGACTGAGGCTTTGCCGATATTTTGGGACCCTCTGTTGTAATTATTTTGTTCGGTGAATTTGTTGTTCATGTGCGTTCATGTTTCGCATGTGGTGTTTTGTTCACCTCTTTCACCCTTAGTAACGCATGCTTGGCGCCTAGAAGGTGCCTGGTGGTACCGTGGAACGACTCCGACTCCATGGGGCCGAAACGAGACCTGGTCGCCGGTCCGGTGTTCTGGTACGCATGCAGCACGAGCGGACACAGACCTATAGACATACTATAGTTATACTATACTGCGGGAGGCATCCCCGTGCCGCTGAACGAACAGAACCTTCTTCTGCCTCATCAGGATGCCCAGCAAAGTCTCTACAAGACAAAATGCGACATGAATGCGAGGAAGTATGCACTTTGGATCGCACTGGCGAAGCCTTGGATGGACAATACCTTTAGCCGGTGTTTTTTTTCGCGTGGCAGAGGTTAACGTGATTTTGTCCAAGGGTGGCTGAGGGACGGTCGATGACATTGCTAGGCCAACATGAAGCCATTTTGAGGCTTTGCTGAACTTGAACATAGATATCGTGTTCCTCACTTTGAAGCCATGATACCACATCATGAAGCTAAGCCCTCATGCCTCGCACTTCGTTCGGTCTGTTCATGTTTTTGTACAAGCTTCAGCAGAATTTTGGTGTCAGACTCAGGCAAGAATGAAAGACACGTTGTGTAGTCGGGGTCGGGTTACGTTTAAAACATGTTTTAGGAGAGTGTTTTTGGAAGGGACGTGTTTTTCTCCTGGCGTTCAACCCTTAGAAGGATTCGAGTAGTTATTGACATGGCAAAGGAAGATCTTCATAGCCTAGGGTTCTCACCTCAACGGCACCTTTGGATATGGTGGCCATAAGCCGGAGTCACTGACTCCGGGTATTGCAAGGGCTTGGTCACACAAGAAGTTGGTGAACAACACCTGCCGCCCACGCCCAGGAGTTCTCGTCCCGGTCCCTCTGGGTCCCTCCGGGTCCCCTCACTCCTTTTGACCTCGTGACCTCGTATGGCTGCGTCGACGGCGTTTGCAGACCACGCAGACCACTGGTTGTTTTCGGTGATTCCTGGAGAGTCTATACCAAATTGTATACCTGAATTCAATTAATTATTATAAAACAAAAACCTGATTTTGGGGCTGGTCTTCCAGCCTGGTCCATGCCATCAGGTTCCATTTGGGTCTCTTCCCAGCTGTTGAAAGCCCAGACAGTGTCACTGTTTGCGAGATGAACTGGATCCAATTCTTACGTGGCGTGTCCGACCGGACTCGGGCTCGCCACTTTAAGGGTCAAATGGTTTCTAAAAAATCAGAACAGGGTCGTCCACTCGGAAAACCCAGCGGGCTTTTGGTCGGGGGTCCACTCCGATGATTGAAGGATCGGCCATGATCGAACGGGTGGCGAAGCTTCGGTTTCTGAGGTGGATCCCTCGGCTGAACGGCCGGCGAGAGAGAAGGTCCTGCAGGGTGGCTTGTTCCTATTGGCCCTGTTCAATCCTCAGCTCTCCATCCAATCTGTGAAAATCCGTTGTCCAATCTGTGCGATGGGTAGTGGAAGGCAGTGGAAGGCATTTAAGTTTGGAATGAGTTGGAGATTGCTTCATGCTTCACATCCAAGATCATCCAAGCAATTTTGTACCGTCTTTCTCTCACCGCCTTTCACCTTGTGGTTCGACCGGACAAAACTGTGCCCGACCGACCCAGGTTCGTCCTCATTGTAGGCCCGCTCATGTACTTCTCCACGGCGAATATGTCTTTCGTCCGCCCATTGAGACCTGGGAGTTGAGTGGAGTGGCATGGGCGAACCAGCTGCCCGCATCGGCTGGTTCGGTGTCCGACACGGAGATGTTGCGTCGGCTACAAACAACGGCTACATAAAAGAAAAGAAACATGCCAAGCCACTTGTTGGCATCAAAAAGGAAATCCCACTCAAGTTCTGTGATGGTACACGAAGAAAATTGCACAACGTATTTGTTTGAATGCCATGAACTGACGATCAGAATGGGCTTCAGCTGGTCGCCCAACACCCGAGTTCGCCATCCAGAGGCGTCGTGAGGATCGTCGTCAGCAGGTCCAAGATTTGATATAGTAATTCAATTTGGGTGACCGTCATTCACATCAAGAGTTCATACGTTCGAAAAGAAAGGTGTTGCTGCAGAGCAGGGATATGTTTGATTATTTTTGTCTGATAATCTCACAGAAAGAGCCCTGAAAAGGTGATGAACTCTGATTTCACGAGCTGATCCCATATACCGTCTCAAAAAGGATTTGGCAAAATAAATACCTTCTTGAGGGAAACCCTACGCCCAACTGAGGAATATATGAATCCACACTGTGCCCGAAGTTCTTGGTCCAGTGGCATGCGGTTAGGGTGTGTGCCAGTTGCCGTCCCATCAAAACAAAAAGTACCGTGTTCTTTCCACGTTTCCAGGCGTCGGGTACACCGGGACGCAGCTCTCTCTCTCTCCCTCCTCCCTCCCCCATCCCTCGGACCGGACCGGAGTCGATGACGGGTGCGCGCCGCCCAGGTTTCTGAAGAGCAACTTGGTCTACATGGGTTCTTTGAAGGCCAACCTCGAGGCGCCGTGTCGGACAGATCGTTTCGCGGCGTCAGACGAGATCGTTTCGCCTCCCCGTTGGCAGACGAGATCGAGTCCAGAAGCGACCCGTGGACCAGAAGCAACCGTCCGTCCTGTGTGCCCTGAGCCTTTGGGATCTAAGGAATCAAGTCTGGGAGGGGAGGGATTTCATTCTAAGTCGCAGCACCTTTGGACCAGTTGGTTCTTGACTGTCAAACAAGATAAACAAGCCTTTGCTCGCTTCTACTTCGTGGGAAGGTCACAGAGCTCAGTGGGGGTGGCGTGAGCCAACTGCCGCTCTACGATACGGCGCAGGCCGCGGTGGGCGGCCGACGGTCGTGCCGACGTCAAAGCAAAGAACCTGCGAGGGGAAACTCACGTGTTTCGTTTCCAGAAGCCAGGATTTGCACCAGTGTGCAGTTTGGAGCCGCATGCCGGATTTGACTCCAACCCTATTTCGACTAAAGTGATTTTCGAGTTGACCAGATCTCCATGTTCGCTGTAGCTATTGGTACTGTACACCATTTGGTGCCAACGCCCACCACGGTTAGCACGATCAATTGTCCCTGATGACCCCTAACCCAGCTAGGGATGGTTCACCCTTGGCCCAGGCGGACATCGAGACCTTGACCAGCCACTCGTTTGTGCTTTGTATGTGGAGACATGGTATGTTGGGACTTGGTCCGCTTTTCTTGAAATTGAAGTTCTTACAAAGAGATGGTCGGATGGACGTTGGGAGAAGGCTAATTTGGTGAGAGCTCCTGTGTGAATTTGTGAACCCATGGTTTTGGGATGTTTTGGGTAGATTCCTAGACTTCTCGGAGGATGCTTTGTCGTTTTGTGTTTGTTTCTATCGAAACATTGAGTATGAATCCGTGAGCTGATGGAAATTTCTTTGCTGCCTTCGTATCATTTCGTAACCATGGAACATGGCTGAGCACCCATGAGGTGCTTCGAAAAGCTAGAGGATTGAGGACAAAGTGTGCTTTCCAAACTTGGTACCCTTCTTATTCAACTCATTCACACAGTGTTTGACCTGTGTGAAACGTCACCCAGAAAATGGAGCACCACTCCAGCGCCGCCAAAAAGGGGCGCGGCGTTTGAAAAAGGTGACGACGCCAAGCGCTTCGTGGCCAGCTATCCCAATGTGGGTGCCAGCCAAGACGTGAATCTGCAGACGCTCGGATGAACAGCCAGGGCCAAGGTTTGCACGCGAAGCACACGGTGGGAGGTCCGTCCAGTCGGAGTTAGTTTTTTCGGAGTGGAGGTCGAGTGGTTCAATAGACTTCTTTTGTTTTGAGACTGCTTATCCAACAACCAGATCCAGGTTTGCTCCCTTTTTTTGGAGACCGTCGATTCAAGGAGTTAATATATTCAACAGGCGCAACATGATTTGGTCATGTTTATGTTGAGCTCCAACTTTTGAGAGGAGAAGTAGCTGCCGTCTAGAGGCGTAGAGGCTGCCGTACGAAAATGTTCATGGCTTGTGATACAATGCAAACACCCCTCCAAGATGGCAGCAGCGTCCTGTTCGTTTGATGGTTGTGACGACCATTTCCACTGCACCTATAGCCTATACTAGTAGACCGAACAAGTCCGAACAAACCACCGAACAGGCGCCCGCAAAGGTTCGGGTCCAGCTCCGAACCTTTTAATCCAGTTCGCCCCCCCCCCCCCGCGCGCTGGGGGGGCGCGCGGGGGCGCGCGCCGCGCCAACGGTCTGCTGAGGAGAGTGACTTTCCCAAGCTCAGCGGACAACTTGTGGCTGGTGTCCAACTCCTTGCGACAGAAGGTGGCAACCCAACTAGGCCCCGGTCCACCCCGATGCCGGAAGTTTCACCACCGGGGTCGGAACGATGTGACCGGTCGGTGGCTCGTTCGCTCGGTGTGGTGACGCATTTTTGCGGGGGGGGTCGGATGGGGTCGGTTGGGGCTGGAAGAAGTGGTGGCCAGTGGTGGGATGTTTTTGGAACTGGTGACTAGACTGGCCGTGCTTTAGAGCGACAGAGACACATGACATGACTTCAACATTTGACAGGAGAGCAAATAAAATTGAATATATATAGGCGTTTGATGAGACAATTGCTTTTGCGTAGTCAGAGCTTGCTTCACAAAACAATAGCTGTTCAATATCCAAAAGGATCGAGAAGAACCGACGTTACCAGGATGTTAAAGTGCAGGCATGCGGCATGGGCATAGGTATCAAAAAAAACAAAGAGCATCAAAAAAAAAAATAGGATAAAATAGAAATAAAAAGCGAATCAAAAAAAAAAATCCTGGATAGGCCTCTTCTGCTGCTCTCCTGGCCTTGTGGTCTGCGGGTCCTCTGGTAATGTGGTCCCTTGGTCCTTTGGTCCCTTGGTCCTCTGGTCCACTGGTCCTTTGGTCCCCTGGTCCCTTGGTCCTTTAGTCCACTGGTCCCCTAGTCCTCCGGTCTCCTGGTCCTCTGGTCCTGTGGTCCGCTGGTCCCCTGGTATCCTAGTCCTTCTGTCTCCTGGTCCGCTGGTCTTTTGCTCTCCTACGGCGCTCGTCTGTCGATCTCCTGGTCCCCTGCTTGCGCAAATAGAGGCTTGATTGCTTTCTACTAGAGGCAGCTCCCTGGGAAGAAAGTAGGTACTACTGCTACTGCTACCACTACTACTACTACTCCTCCTCCTGCTGCTGCTGCGCTGCTGCTGCTGCTGCTGCTACTGTTGCTACTGCTACTGCTACGCTGGTGCTGCTGCTGCTGCTACTGCTACTGCTACTGCTAATACTACTACCCCAACCATCCTCAGTGGGCTAGAATATTATTTTTGTTGATTACCTTTTTATTTTTTTATTGATCCCCGTTGAATATTTTTGTTTGATTCTATTTTTATTTTTATTTTGATCCCTTACCCCATGACTTCTCCAAGAAGTCTTCACGGAGTTGATCAAAAAATGTCTGACCAACATTCCAAGTCACTCACCAGAGCAACACTTCTGATATGATTGAATCTGAATAAGGTTGACGTCCTTCAAATCACATGTTTGATCATTTCACACCAACCCCTCCTCTTTGTTTTCCAGAATCTGCGAATCTGCGACCATGTCTTCTCGAAAATATCCAGAAAACGTCATCGCGCGCAGGGAGCAATGGAACCAAAGCTCAGTTGGTCGTGATCTTTCAGTTCCAAGGTGCGACGCGGTGTCGCGCCGAACTCGAGTGCCGCAGTCTGGTGTTTGTCGCGGTTAGGGCTGGGCAGCCGCGGGAACGCGAGCCCGGCGGTTGTGTTCGAGTGCGAGGAACCAAGGACAATGGCCAAACTGTGCAAGGTGTGCTTAGACGGCTACAGCTTGCGGTTGCAAAGCTACACAGGGCAATGACCTGCAAGACCTGTCCCAGTGACCCATTCTGCATGGCCTTCACCAAACTCCAAGTTAGATTCTAAGAGGTTCAATGGTCATACTGGGAGGAGATCCACATTCGATTGATCGTCCCAAGCGAGCAGCCAACTAACACTGTCCAGTTCAATGAAAGGTGGACGTCCACTCCCTTGTTTTGCCAGGAGAGATTCCCACCACGGGGCGCGGCATTGGGCATACGCCTCCAGTAGCCCTCAATGAAGATCAGGCCATCTGCCGGATCGGTAGGGGGCTCATGGATCGCGTGAGACTTCAGGGGATCCTAGAAGCGATAGCCTCCAACCTACTAGCCGCTACTAGGGATGGTATTTTCATGTATTTTCATAGTTATTGTCACTTAGAAGAAAGTGATTCTATTGGCTGGCCGTGCCTTGAACCATCAGCAACCAGACCATCAACAGTCACCAGGCCGCCATGACTTAGTTGAGAAGGCAGATCTTGAATCTCGGGCGCTAGACTGAAGTTGCCACCAATTTTGATGGGAAGACTAGCCTCAAGCAAGACACACGGGTGTGTATTGAAATCCGGGAGACCCCCGATCAACGAGTGTTGGTGTTCATCCAGGGGGTCACATGACAAACACATGAGATGTCCTCATCTTCGCTGCGCTTTGCGCAGGTGTCCATCTTGGCGAAGGTCCTGCAGAATACCTCCTTTGAAGGCAAAACGGCATGCGGGCTTCGCAGGGCAAACACCTTGGAAGAAAACCCATGGAAGATCATGAATGCGATTGCCCCACTGGTGTACGATGTTGTTGTTGTTGTTGTTGTGGTGGTGGTGGTCGCGGTTACAAGGCTCTCAGCTGTCCATGTCAGGCAACCACATCAGTCAGTTCACCTGCGACACCTTGAAAAGCTTGTGGATCAATCTGGGGGGGCAGGAGCTTTCTAAAAAGCTGCAAACGTCATGAAGATCGCACATGTCCGTCCACCTCCCATTCCACCGGTGCGGTCGAGACACGGTCTAGACCTGCACCCTGCGTGCTTCATCTACGCGAGTCCGAGTCCAGCCAGGAGAGGCCAGCATCGACGTGCCCTGCAGCATTCAAACGGCGATCTTGATCGACTCCTCCGGGCAGGTGGGCTCCGGAAGAACGGATCCGAGGTGATGGCGACGTTTGGATCCCGGCTTCCAAGCACCATTTGGATTAACAGGCTCTACCGAATCAACTAAGGATTTTACACTAATTACAAAAGCCAGGTCAAGCATTGTTTAAATGGTCTTGGAAGTCTAGGCTTTGGGTGTTGGTTTATGAATTTGGTTTCTTTGGACTAATGACCCTGTCGACTTGGTGTCGAAACGAAAGGTGACGGGAAACGAAGGTTGACGGTCATGGGAGAGAGAACTACAAGAAACGACGCGGGAAAGAGGAAACCTGAAGCAACCTTAAATCCTCCAGGTGTTCTAAGAGGCTTTCAATGAGGCTGTGGGGGACGCTCTCCACTGAGTAGCTCTTTCCAGACAGTGACCTAGTGGTGATCTCCGCGTTGTTCAGAACACATCGCTGAGACCACGAAGCGCGGGAATGATATATAATATGGGGATGGGTCAAAACCTGGAGCAAGCAACGTAGCTTGACCTTCCAGGCTTCCAGGTCGTCAGTATCCAGGTTTTAACTTTGAAACCCACGGGACCCACAGCCCTATGATGTGCATTCCACTTCCTTCGCTTTTTTGGGGTTTGCCACCCCCAAAATCACGAAAAACACCTCCCTCCAAGGCTTTGGTGATCCCCTTTGCCACCGGTGGACTCGTTGACACCCCAACCCGCCGCGGTCGACGGCGGCGTGACGGCCGACGGCCGACGGCACCAGTTGACGTCGATGGGACCGAAGAGCTCCTTGCGCTCGGGCGTCCCGAGGGGAGAAGCCAACGGGTGAGGTGAAGGAAGTGTCTACTTTGGTTTCTTTTTTTGGCCGCTGGGTTGGAGAGAAGGGGTATATGTTGGACTGCATGTGATGAAATTGAATTGGGTTGGCCATTTTAGGATGTACATTGGATTATAATGGTACTGTAGAAACTGTATAGATGTAGATGTGATGTCCCAGCCTCCCCAGAGGACCTCCATTGTTTTGCACCCAAGTTCCACGGTCTGCGCTTGCAGGGTTTGGGGACCATCAGACAGACCGGTCATGAAGGTTGACCGACACATATCTAGACACATGAACTAGGCATACCTGGACCTTCAAAGGGGTGTCCAATGGAGATCCCGAGGTAGATTCTAGGTAGTGTAGGGGCTTCCAGCCAGGTGACCCCGACATGAAATGACATGAAGGTGCTGGTAGAGTTATCCGACGGAGATGAGATGACCGCAGTTTGGGCGGTGACGCAGACGGCGCAGTGTGATTTGTATATGTTCTTCAAAAATATGCCATGAATAAAATAGCTTTGTTTTGGCAGAAGGACACCACAGCTATTGAATTGTCACAAAAATCTCTCAGCATGGTTGACAGCCTACAGAAGGTGGCCTCAAGAGAACATCTTCAGCCCAAGGCAGAAACACGATGTGGAAGCCACATGGTCTCTTTCACCAACCGAACACGCCGCACATCAACCGCCTCATTCGTTCAGGCCTGACGCTCTCCGCCTCGTCTCCGTTGCCACAGTGGTCGATGGTTGGGGGCCGAGGCGACCGAACGAGGCGACGAGGCGACGAGGTCGGTGGGAGAGACACACGGTCGGTGTGAGACGCACGGTCGGTGTCGAGTAGGCGACGGGCGACAGGGAGTCCAGACGAAAAAGATCAGGGTTTATTATGTGGTACCTGTGTTGTGAACAGGAAGAGACAGACAGAGAGAGAGAGAGTGTGTGTGTCTTTTTCCCCGCATGTGTAGCGAAGGGTTCCCGTAGCACCTTTGGGGGTCGTGTTGGCGCGCCGTGACTTTCATGTCCGAAAAAACCGTCCGCAACCGTTTGCCCAATAAGGCCCTCCCATTGCGGGATGGAAGCATGAAGTGTCAGATTCGTGTGAAATAGCATCGAAGCAAAAGTGTGAAGGATGAATTTGCTGAGGTGTCGTGTTTTGTGAGGTCAGCAGTTTGCATCGCTTTGCCATTTGGAGTGGCATTCTCGTGGTCTTTTGGGGGATTTGCTCTTCAAACGTTTTCCTCGAAGCTCTGTTTTCGTCACGAGGGTAAATTGCATTGCGGTTTTGAGGGGGCAGCGGGGAGAGCAACCTCGTTAGGAGAACCATGGAGAAACAGTTTTCACAGATCTGACACTTGCGGCGCAAGACGGGCTATCGCGTTCCGGATGACATGCTCGGACAAAGCAGATGCACAAAGAAAAATATGCGGAACCTCTTGCCGTGCTGGCTTGCAAGCTGCCTTGTCTTGAATGTGTTATGAAAGACGATTAAGACGATGTCTGGGCTTGGACCGCGCAGCACTGACAAATGTATGCCGGAAGTCGACTCCACGTGTGACTTTCGAAGACTTGACGCGTCTCACCTGCATGATGATGATCAAGTGTTTGATGATGTTTGAAAGTTTCATTGCAGGCTGACAGCGTTGCTTCAACTTCACAACTTTGGACGACGCAGCTGGCCGGCCGGAAAAAGGAGTTTTTGTGCACGTGTGTGCATTCGGGTTTTCGGGCGTGGGTTCCATCTTGTTTTCATCAGCTTGGCCAACATAACCCACACTAGTTCCTCAGTTTGTGGAGATTTGAGGTGCTTGCAGTTCATAGACACGCTCTGTAAGATTGTTGCCCAAAGCAATAGAAAATCTTTTGGTTGAATTTGGGTTGCCTCGGGTACTCTATGTCTTCCAAGGCTGCTGGCTGTCAGCCATGTTCTTCACTGCAGGCACGCGGGGCACGGTGCGTGTCAAGCAACAATTTTTGCAAGGATGGTGGGCGGCTGTCCCAGAATGTTGTTGGTTCGTACCATGCCCAAAAACATTAAGCAATGCCCAGTTATCATCAATCATGTTTCGTGTTGTTTTTCACCCGAAAACATCGAGGAACTTATAGAAGAACTAGTCAAACTTGTTGAAGTCGGAAAACAAATTAGTAAAGGACAGCCATCAAGCCTGTTTTGCAACATGTTTGGAAAATCAAGTCGTTTCCACTACAATCAGCTTTTGGAGTTTGAGTGGAAACAGTGAGAACCGGCCACTAGACCTCAAAAAGACCCATGAAACATCATGAATCATGAACCTAGCAAATTGATACACATTGGAGGATGTTGTCACAATGTGCAACCTCGTCCAGGGAGTGCGTGATCTTTTTAAAGTCGAACCCGCTACGGTCTGAAACATGAAGGGCTGCCAGATTTTCACACGGTCAGGCTGAAATATGTTGATTCGTCCGACCTTTGACCTCCCACAACCCAAAGAATGTCCGTTATACCACGTGGGAGGCCATGAAAAACACATTGCTTTGGAATTGGTCAACCATCAAAAATCAAAACTGCCAGATGACTGCCACAACGACATAGAACGAGGCCACCAATGATTTCTGCAGCATTGCCTTTCAAGTGGCAAGCGAGAAGGCGCGGACAAATTTGCGTTTTGCGCGGTTTGCGCACTGTGACGCCTGGTGAGGGCGTGTGTTGGGGTGGCCGAAAAAGAACACGATCCGTTTGGATGCAGTTTTTTATGGTTGGTGCCTGAGCTCACCAGCATTGGCCCAGGGTTTTTTGTGGGTTTGTGGAGTTGAGGAGGTGTCGATTCAGGGCTCAAGGCGAATTTACCCCAGTATCGATGGGGAGCATGGAAAGGTTCCAGAATGATCACAGTTAGCCGGTTGGCCTTCACTTCTTCACTGGTCAAGATGGTAGATGACTCCCTGATGGGTACAAAGATATACAAAGACAAAGATCGTTTGGTATAAGTATGGTTCTCTCCCAAAATGAGAATCGGTTTGTGCTTTCTTAGATACCCACCGAGTCACTGAATCACCCCTTCATTCCACCCTCCAACAACCGTGTTTGTGTCATGCAGCTCCTCCAGGTGGCTCCGACTCCGACAGGGGACAGCAGCTCCTCCAACTACAGCCTCATGGGGATCTACCTAGGCTGGAAGAGTTCGTTTAATCGAACAGATCGAGACCACCATGGATGTTTAGTGCCCTGATAGTGGCTATAGAGATTATTGGCACAATTGAAAGCACCTTGGAAGCCGTGGCAGAGGGAAAACATCCTTTGGACTGCGGTGCGCGGTTTTTGAGGCACTAAGTCGGTGTCAACTGGTTGATCCAAGCTAGACATGGCTTTCAGGCGTGGTCTACACCATTGGCCGATTCCTGCGCATCTCGGCAAAAAAATATACTGGGCTGGGTGGTTTGGGAGACATATGAGGAGACGATGAGAAGATGATGTATATTTCCGATTATGGCCCTGGCTGTTCCCAAGCGCAAGATTTGCGTGCTGCTTCTCATTTGAACCGGTGGTTTGCGCAGGGCAGGCCAAACAGATGCCGTTTTAAAACATCGATCCTCAAGGCATTCCAGATGCACCTCCTTCTACACAGAAAGACGTCGATGTCGTGATCGATCCTCTTTAGGATCGCCATGTTGTTTGTCCTTCTAGTAGCGATGCCAGCAGCTACTAGTCCCCAACTTGGGGGGTGATTATGGGATCTGCAGGTCCCGCAGCAATCTGCACCAGGACGATGCATCAGATCCACTTCACATCGCCGGTGGAAGCGGAGTTCCGACCGGCGGTCGAGACGGTGTCGAAAAACCCGGCGTACTCGAGAGCAGAACACCCCGGGTTGCCACCGCCCCTCGGGTTGCCACCGCATGGGGGGACCATCCGGACCCACACCTCCCAGAAGATCTCGATTCCACACCGAAGATCTCGCCTCGCGAGCGGTTGGTCTTCGCGGCCAAAGAACACAAGATGCCGTGGTCGGCCAAGGCTTGGTGTTTCAAGATGCCTCGAAGCGGATCATTTATGAAGAGATGAACGACACCGACTTGCTTCAGGACCGTTTTGTTTTTTTCCATGTGTCTTGTCGTTTGCGACGCAGGTGGGAGGAGTCTGATTGGTGGGACCTTTTCATGCAGGTCTTTTCCTCGCTGACTGACGGGTTCCAGGAGTTAGACGGTCAGACATCATGCACCCTCTAATAGCTCGCCTGCAACTCATAAGTCAACCAGAGCCTCCATGTCGGAGATGGAGGAAACCTAGTTGCAGCTCTGCGACGAGATCCTCCACTCCGTCGACCGAGCGTCGACCGAGGGGTCGACCGGGTTTGCGGGACATTCGCACGGGTCGACCGGGTTGTGGCGAGAGATGGTGCGAGAAGGCCACCGATCAGCTGGCAGTTCAGCTGGCAGCGACATGCTGTTGAAAAGGAAATAGGTTAGTGAACTAACCACAAGAATTGTTGGCAGGGTGTGTGTTATTCTGGAGGAAAGCAAATGGTCACACCTGAAAAAGACCATCGAACGCACCCCTGGCACAAGCAAACATCATCAAACACCCGAAACATCTCCAAAAAAGTGATTTTTAGGGAAAAGGATGGAAAGGATACCTCAACATACCTCAACAAACAAAAGTACATGGGCCCGGGTCCTTCCTTAACTCCTGCGCACTGCTTTGGCAGATCTGGTTCCTAACATCTGCATCTCAGCAGCTCCAGCAGCTCACTCCGGCACGAAGCTGCAGGACCTGTGCAGCGGGATTTACATTGCTCGGATCACAGGGGACTTGAAGAGTGAGTACGCGTGCACTGGACAGCAGGGAAGATGAGCAGGTCGGTTGGGACAGGGTCAGGTCGGAAAAGCATCGCGTCGTGTCGATGAGTATGCCGCCGGTCGTGGGGATAGGTGATGGAAGTGACTAAAGTCCAATGTGCAGTTGACTGATCTAAGCCTTATAAGTAAGTTGCTTTATAACTCGATATCTCAACAATTCTCAACAGGTCAGATCATCCAGATTCTTTGGTACATGATGAATGTTGGAGAGTTGATAGTAGGAGACAGGTTGTTGGTTGGAAAGGGTCGGAAAAAAACACATCCACCAGATTTGGCTACTGGCTAGTGGATGCTAGCTGCTTAGTGGTATAGACTCTCATGCCAATGGGTTTTGCACCTTGGAGATGACATGTGCACTTGCTCAATGCCGGAGCCCAAAAGACGTGATTCATGCTCCTGTGCTTCCTGGAACGGTCGCATGAAAGAGGAGGACCCACCAAACAGATCAGCACAGATGAAGGTTTAATTGTTTGAGATGAATCTGTTTCAAAACCCAAGATGCTTTGAACATAGAGGTTTTGAGAAATACAGATCATGCAGGCCATAAAAGGTGTTTGTGACTAGTCAGGGGATATTGTGAGCTTTCAGGTGCCATTGTGGCACTGAAACGTTGTTTTTCAAGCCTTCGTCTTCCACATCTTCGAATTCGTTCTTCAAACACGTGGAGTGAGCCGTCCAGCTCCGGTCTGCGGGTCTGTTCATTTGTTTCGCGCCAAGCAACCAGACCCGAGCCCTGAGGTTCTACTACGAACTGATCCGCATCTACCGGAGCCCTGAGCTACTCTTGGACATCTCGAAGCCCAAATCCAAAGTGGTGCGGCTCCCTGGGCGAAACGACACACACACACACAGTACAGCCGGTGGAGGGAGTTCGTCCCTGTGGCCAGTGGCTGGGAGGCCAAAGCCACAAGTTCTTTGTTTCCAAGCTGACAAGAGAGGATCCTCCTTGAAAGAAGTCGCAAGTTGCATTCGGGGCATATGAGGTGCCTAAAAGCAAACATGGGGGGTTGCAACTGGGCAGGTCCACAGAAACCATACCCAGATCCACTTACCACTGACTATATGGAACTCATCCATTCAACGGCATTTGCCCGAGCCACCTGCTCCACCTCTTGTGACCCATCGGCTGAAGTGGGTTGTTGGGAGTCAAATCCGAATCCACCTTAGTGGCTGACAGGGAGGAAGATGGGATGCCGACAGGCAGGGAGAAGGCAGGCAACATGCATCCAACAGATCGGGATGTGCTGGTTGACACCCCAAGGCTTCGGGCGGTGTCCATGGCGGGTGTAACAAGTGACCATCGGTTTACTATGGTATCACTTTGGATCGAGGAAATTTCACGGGTGTGCATTGGCCAAGTTGTGCATAGGATCGGGCAGCTGGGTCAAAAGGAGACGAAAAGGGATGTCCATGTTGCATCCATTTGATTAGTCCAACTGTGTTTCAATATATGTTTCCATATCACTTTCCCGCTTGTGGGAAATAGGTTTGTCCCTTTACTGTGTGAAGCTTGATAGTTTCATGATGTTTCATTATGGATTAGAGTTTTCATGAGATTTCTGGAACCTGCTTGCAAACATTTGGCAAAGATCAAGTCATCAAAGGAAAACAATCAACACATAACATCAAGTTGAGATATTCGGCGTATTTCTGTCATTAGCTCATTCCAAGGGTGACATGAAGGGAGACGGAAAGGACTATTCATCTCGGGTGTGCCCGTCTTGAACATTTCAGGACTGAATGGAACATCCTTTCAACAAGTTCAACTTAGGATTAAAGAGTCCGATCTTTAAAGCTGGCCCACACCAGTGGTTTTCATTATTTGTGTGTGTGATTTTTGGCAGCCATTTAGGAGCATGGATTATTGTTTTGTGTCCATTCCCAAAAAACGATGTTGGATCCGTCACGCGTTTGATTGGCAGTGCGGCGTGCCCACCGGATGCCACAGAAAAGTAATAAAACAGCTGTGCCACCGGCTATGCCACGCCACGGTGTAGGACATGCAGTTCTTTCGTCCAACGGCCACACTGAGCGCTCCTGAGCTGGACAGCCCAGGGACGGAACCGGGTTCAAACGTGTGGGAGGTCCCGCCTTGCGAGTCTTGCTGGACACATTGTGTCCACTTTTTTTCTGATGTGTTTTACAGGAAGTTCCATGTCTTTCGTCTTGCAGCTTGCAGGCCTGCCGAAAGTGAAACCCTTGCTGTCGATTGCTCCCAAGCAAACGAACTGGGGATCATCAGCGGGAAAGCAGACCCTGTTGAGCTTGACTCTAGTCTGACTTCGTGAAATGACTCAGAAGGTGTAGCATAAGTGGGAGCTCCATTCTTGAAATACCACTACTCTTGCTTCTCGGACATGCCTACAGCTCATCATCTTCAGAGTTTTCATGTTTGGAATCTGAACTAAACATGGCATGTGTTGCCTGCCACCAGCACCTCAGCCCAATGGTCAGCACCAGCACCACCCACAGCACCTCAGGCCGGACAGTGAGCTGCCGGATCGAACTCCATCCTCGCTTCAGCGGAGACCGGTTTCCGGTGGGATGCATCCGTGGGATGGGGCGGTGTGAAGACGGTAGAGAGCAGGAACTGCCAAGAGAGGTTGAGAGACCATATAGGACCCTGTAGTGGTACATATTGGATTATTGGATGGGCTATAGGCTGTAGGACTGTTCATTACATGTGGATGTTTCTCTTGATACGTACTTTCACTTTCTAGCTAGCTGTTTTCCCTCCGCGAAAGTAACATGGAGTTCGAGAAAGATTCGCGAAAGTAAAGTGTTGTTGTAGAATTGTATTTTAATTAGAAGAACTTAGATCAACCACCATACCAAACCTGCAACAAACCCTGGCTGGTGTTCAAGTGGCAAGTGCCAAAGAGACAGGGTTCAACTTTGGGTGACTTTGGGGGAGAGCGTCATGGAGAGTACGCCATGGTACAGATTGTTCAGAAGAACTGACTGGAGGTCTCCAGATGGTTTGGGAATGTTTGAGATGTTACCCATCCAATCAGAATTAGTAACAAGTCTCTTGATCAATACGTGCAACACCATGCATACATTCCCCCGATTGGTGGCTTTCTTTCCAGTTGCTCGAAATCCTCCAACTGCCCTTTTGAAGATCCCAATCTATGCCATCTTTGGATTGCAAATTACTCCTCCATTGCAGAGCTGGGACGCCTGATTTCAAGCTTCCCGGAGGCCGCCTGACTCCGTCAGCTGACTGAGACGCGTGAAAGCTGTAGTAAGTCAAAAGTGTGGAGCAGGTTTGAGAGGGGTGAGAGTTGTTAATGTTGGGGCCTCCACCTATATTCGAAGAATGTCGAAGACATGACCCTGGCTCATAGTTTGAGCCTCAGGGTGAGCTGTGCTGGATTTCGTTTTTTGGGGTTGACCTATGATGTTTGAAACAGACCCAAGAAACAGTGTATCTGTCGACTCGTACTGGCGTGCTCTCGCAGTCATGGCGACAGAGATGTTGTGGGGTCGACTCCTCCCGCAGCCGATCACTCACATTTTTGTGATTTTGGTGTTTTCACCCAGCCTCCTCTTCTCATGGCGGATTTGGCGGATGTGCAGAAAGCCTTGCAGCAGAAGCGCGAGGAGCGCCTTCGCCATGAGGAGGAGAGACGTTGGCTGGTTCAGCGGGACAGTAAGGAGAGGAAGCTGGCTTCGGCCTTGGACCTGGCCACGAAACGCGCTAAGAAGGTCCCATGGATGTCTTGGATGTTTTGGTTCTTGATTTTCACAGCACGTAGCTGGAAACTTGGTAGACATTGTTATGAGATGTTATGGGATGCTTCGGGAAAGGTTGGTTTGTTGCATCTTGGTTGCTGCTTTGAATTGATATGGTCTTCTAATTATATATATACGTATATATTGCCATGTATGGTTGCTTTTCAGTGTCCCCCAACTTCCACGGGCGAGAAGGAAACATCTTCTCAATTTTGAAAACATTTCTAAGGTCAAGACCATCGATCTTTGCTTTGTGGTGGACCTGACAGCTTCGATGCAGTGCTGGCTGAAGATGGTTCATGAAAAGATCGATGAGATCATTGAGGACAACCTGAAATGCTTGGGAGACTTTGCTCGAGTCAGGGTTGCCGTCGTAGGATACAGGGACTATGCGGACCGGGATCATTTGGTAGTGCTTCCGTTCACCCACAACATCCAGCAGATCAAGAAGTTCTTGCATGGCTTGAAAGCGACAGGTGGAGGCGATGCAACCGAAGATGTCCTGTCAGGCTTAGAACCTCAAAAGGCTAATCAGCAGTATTTAATTGTTTGGAGCCTGAGTGTTCGTTCATTTTTGGAAGTATCCAAAGAGGATGTTATTGTGCAGTCCCAGCCACTGAGTGAGGAAGAGGCATTGAAGCTTGAATGGTCGTCCACCGCCCGGGTCTTGTATTTGCTCAGCCAAACTCCTCACCACGGCTGGCGTTTCCACAAAGCTTTAGAGGTAAACTCAGATCGTGCAACCCTGAAAGAAGCGGTGGCAGCGTCAGAGGTGCAGGACGGAGTGGAACGGAAGGTACAGAGTTTGTGTGAAACGACCTGGTTGGACTGTCTTTGACAGGAAGACATAAGTAGGGAATTTGCACGTTATAAGGAACATGGAGGAATCCAAATCAACACGGGGACATTGGTGCTATTCCATGCTTGTTTTCAAACACTCCGATCGTTCAGGACAAAGAGGAGGCTGAGGCTGCTTTGGCGACCAAGTTCTATGACTTGCATTGCGAGGATCCCAGGCCTGGGAGATGCTCCATGGGACCCAGATGCGACCCATGGGACCGGCGTATTTTCATATACCGATCAGTTGGGGTGGTGGTTTGGGGGTGTCAATTGATCGGCATATAATATGGCAGTCCCATTAGTCGCGTCATACTTTTTCCTACGAGTGAATCATCGTGAATCGTTTAAGATGTTTTTAGCGTTTTCCCCTACGATGCCAATCCTTCCACAGGCAATGGGCACCGATGGATCACGCCCTCCAGGAAGATCAAGCTCGTGAAACGTTCGTGTCGGATCAGTGACATCGTTGTCATTGACCAAGAGAGATTCCAAAGCGTGAATGACATCCTGACTGCAATATGGAGTGATTAGATGTGAACAGACGTGAACTTGGTTTCTTGATTCTGCTTGTATGGGCACATGGTATTTGAAATCCAAGGAATCTGAATCACATCACGACTCCATTCACTTTTTATTCAATGGATTGGAGATAAAACTCTTGCATCATGTGAGTGCCTGCTGAACATTTGGCATGTAAGAGACACATCCACGCTGTGGTCACTACAGGATGGACTCGGACAGTCGAACCAATCGTTGGAAGGAGCTCCAGCAGCAGCAAGTTCAGCTGGTGATGCTCCGTTTGGGGCCGACCACGGAGAAGATGATTCAGGTCGCGGGGGGGGGGTAGCGATCCGAATCGGATTCTGCGGATGTGCGAGGGAACTCCCCGGCGAAAGGAAACCAGAAAATGAGGAGCTTTGCAATGCCGGTTCAGCGTATAGGCGACCGTGATAGGCCTAGGGAGACCCCCGACCATTGGACTTTGGCCTATCTTTACTCGTTTTTTGGGGGGTCAATGGGGGTCTCCGTATTTCAATCCGCACCCATGTTGGTCTTTTCTCAGAGTGTGAAGTGAGGGCCCCCTATTTAAGGATCGCAGATTCACCATCAATCAACCAGGGGATCGCTTATCCATTCCTTTATCGTATGTAGGCATGGCTAGCGGTTGACACCAACGCTGAAATAGCGGCAGTTGTTCAATGCTAACTCGATTGCTGTTGAAAAGCTCCTCTGGTTTGGGGCAGTGAGTCAGGAATCAGAAGGTGTTGTGACTCAATCTTTCGATCAGCCAAAGACGATGCAATGGCTAAAACATTGGGGATGCAAGGTCACCATATTAACTCTAACCCGGATCTATTTGGTCCAACGTTTCTCCAGCAGATCTTGGATCTCCAAGTACCTTTCTGTTCCAAGAGCCGCACAAGACTCTCAAATACCCCCCATTGCGGTTGATGTATGAGGTTCTTCATGGTTTTGCTAAAAAGGGTCTCAGAGCTTACATGGAGCTTCAGCGGCACGCTCAGAGCTCTCATCAGGTCTTCAAGCAGCAGTATTCCGTCCCTGGAGCTGCAGGACTGGAGCTCAAGGTCTACGATGCCCGAAAAGATGCCAAGCACTTGCGCTGCATCGTCTCGTCCTCATCCGTCGCCACATTCAGTGCTTCAGCCTCTCGGATGGGACAAGTTCCAGTCGATAAGCACCAGAAGTTGTTGCCCTATGTAGTGGAGCAGTCCGAACCTGACTGGGACCACAGAGATGAGTGGTGCACAGTAGAAGCCGAACTCTACACCTATACCATTGTGGACGTGGACGAGAAGCCTGTGAAGAGCTCCTGCCCTTTCACAGCAGTGCTGCATCCTCGGCCCTTTGGGAAGGGCGCCATGCGTTTTGCCTTCTATTTGGTCGATCAAGGAAACCCAGACTCGAAGTATGTGGGTAAGGTCTACCAGTTCGAGGACCCAGCCTTCCAACAGCGATCCACTTATGAAGGAGATATGACTTCTCAGGCGGTGGCGGGCTATTTGGCCAAGGAGTTCAGCCTTCAGTATGTGGAAGATCCAATCGAATTTGTGCAGGCCCAGCTGCTTCGCATTTCTTGGGGTGGGATGCCTGGGTCGCGTTTCTTGAGCAGTTGTAGTCATCCTACCACTTACAGTTTCGAATCTAAAGATATGTATATAGATGGAGGTGGTGCGGGTTAGAATCAACCTACTCTGATTCCAAAGCCCACTTGGTCCCTATTCCATCATCTTCCAGCTCACAAATAGTGGCCGAGCTACAAACAGCTACAAAGCACCCCATCTGGTCCCGCCTCTTTCACTGTGCTTCAAGAGCCCATCAATTTAAAGGGCCAATAAATAAATACCAATGAACATGATCTCTCATTTACAATACATATGATGGTCAGATGAGGGATCCACCAAGATCCACTCCGGCCAAGTTCGGATGATGTGAACCATCGATTTGGTTGAGAAGTGCGGACGACCCACCCGGATCGATCCGGTCCGGGAGGTCCGGACCTCGGACCGGAGAAAGATCGGAACCAACGGAATGGGTTGTTCACCCGGAGCCGCAGGCGCAGCTCTTGGATTTGGGCGCACACTCAACCTTTCCTTTTCGCTTCATGGCGATCGAGCCATTCATCCCAGGCGAGGGTATAGCGCTATCGGAGTGAAGCATACAAGCAGCCGAGCTGCTGCAAAGAGGGTTTGTCGTGATGAGTGGAATGTTCATGGTTTTTTCCCTTCACACTACATTTGAAGTGTCCTAATCCCACATTCAGATGCCTTTCTGCATCTTTGCAAGGAACATACCCTTTGTTTTTGTTGCCCAATGTGCAGGCAAGTATGAGAAGTTCACCTCCAATGCAGGGCACATCTCTAAGGACTCGGACTTGGCGCAGGCGTTCTCCCACTTCACCTGGGAATTCACGGCCGGTGACATCATGGTCGCTGACATCCAGGGAGGCGGCAACACATTGACTGATCCGCAGATCCATAGTCAGGATATCGATCGTTTTGGACGTGGGAACTTGGCCACCAAAGGCATGAACGCCTTCTTTTTGAACCATAGGCAGGGTGAAAAAAGGAGTGATGGAATGGAGATGAATGGAAGGCGTTTCAATGTGTTTCAGCTGCCCAAGAGTTGTGTCCTTTCTCCTCTTTTCTTCGCGCGTGGCAATTGTTGAGCGATGGGAGGTGCAACCACATTTGCCATACTCTACAGCTGCAGGGGCATCCTCTTCAGCCGGGCATGGCTCCTGAAGAGGCCATTGCCTTGCCGCTTGCGTCCATTCAGGAAATCGCTGAAAGTCCAGGTTGGGAGCTGCCGATGTGATTCAAGTCTTGACAGGATCCTCTAGGAGCATACACAAGATCACTCACAGCTAAGGGCTACGGGCTACTTGCAATGCCAATCTTTGTTCCCGCCCAAAGATATGACTCCCAAGCTGATCTAATTTTGCTTGGTCCAAGCTTACTCCATCACCACCTTTCAACGACCCTGCTAGGTGCTGGTCCGGCACTCGAGGTTGATTGGATGCCATTGCCCGACTCCAAGCTCCGCCGCTTCCTCGACGCCGTGCGGAACGCTGCAGCTGCCGGATCGACCGGATCGACAGAGACCGCCTCGCTGGGAGGCGCCGTGATTGAGT